TTAAACTTCTGAAAAAACATAAATCGTCCAGTGTCAATGTCAATGTCAATGTCAATATGAATAAGGGTGATCTCAGGAACTTAAGAGATGAGATATACGTAATTTACCACAAGGGTTGTACATGTTGAACAGTCACTTTAAATGCATTCCTTCAACTCCTCCTTGTATTAATTCTCCAGATTGTTTCAAGTGCCTTTTTATTTGTTTTTCTCATTGCAGACATTTGGCCAAGTACCCTATCTTACTGGCTCAGATGGACTGGAGCTATCTGAATGTTATGCCATATTGCGATATTTTGGACGCAAACTTAATCTCTATGGCAACAATGATATTGAGGCTGCCAAGATTGATATGTTACTAGAGCGTGAACACCAAACATTGGTTGGGGTACTTATATCACTGTTAGTAAGTTGCTTATCATACTAGAAAAGAAATCTGCTCTAGAGTAAGCAAATTCCACCAATCAAAACATATTTTATCAAGTCCCTCATCATTTTCATCATTGCATGAGAGCAACCAGGAAGGAATAGACTAGACAAATACGACAACCTCTTAAGTTCAATATTTTAAAAAAAGAAATATGAAAATCTACCCTTTGCATTCGTTCGACTTTCACTTCTCAAGAGAGCTTCATCTTCAACTCTTTCAGTTTTTAATAAATCTCTGAACTCAACAAGCCAATCAGAGCTAATTGGAATAAATATTAATCAACCGTAACCAGAACTATACCCAGCTATGTATTTACAGAAAAAACAAGATGATGCTGCAAGGATAGAGAGTACGAAGATATGTGATACCCTGGCAATATTTCAGGTATGATTGCTCCTATCATGATTACAACTATCACCTCATCATTTATTTCCAAAGATTCCTCATTATGTATTAATCATCTGCATGGAATTTCAGTTCTTCTGAGCAAAAAAAAAAAGTTCCCTTCATTTTGAATGGCATATTTTGAGAGAATATTTTGGGAATAACAATCTTTAAGACTAGCACTAGTGTGAAAGAGGGATTTTCTTACAAGGCTCTGTTCCATTAGAGTGAAATTCAATATTTGATATCCAGTAAAATAAAAATGAGTTATGCACATTATAGTCTATTACATTGTAAAAAAAATATTAGAAACTTTTTTAGAAACTTCTGGAGAAGAATAAGAAAGGAGAAGGCTACTTTGTTGGAGATAAGGTCTCTATTGCAGACTATGCCATGTTGGATCTCCTAGATGCCTGTATAAGTCTCTCAAGTACAATGCTAGATGCCTACCCAACACTGAAGGCATTCTATAACCGCATGGCTTCAAGGGAAAAGATTGCAGCGTGCAAAGCCTCAGAAAAGTACAAATCTTTCTATGTTGCTGGCAATCTTGGACGAAAGTAAATTGGTATAGAAACTGTACCTAAGTTGCAAACATGAACAGTTCAAATTGTTGCCAGAAATGCTATCATTGTAATTGACAATTGAAATGTGAACAAATATTAAAGATTTGAAAATATTCTAAATAGTACTATGGCTCAAAATGTGAAGTGATTTCAGTCAAATTGACAACCATATTTTGGACATCTTGTGATAATTATAATGAAATTAAATGATAGTTTCTTAGTTAAAGCTCAATAATTAGTTTTCTATGAGAAACTGGTGACAGACGGGTATGGAATTGCAATAGCTCACAGTGTGAGCTAAAAATAGTGACTGTAACAATATATCCCCACTTCTTGGTGGTTTTCCATAATAACATGATAATATTATTTATGTACAAAATTTTGGATTATACGCAAAATAAATGAGATGCTTTTTAAAGATTTTTGAGATTAATTTGTAGAACTGGACAATGGGTGTTTATCAGATAGGGATTGAGGAAAAAATATCTGCACCTACACAGCATTCAATATAAGGCTATTCAAAGTTAATTACTGTACTATATGTTTAATGACCTGACAGAGGGCCAAATCTTTGGAGAAAGGGTGGTGAAAAAAAAACTTTAAAAACTTTTTTGTTTATTTTATGAAAATTCATATCTTCATGTTTCAATATTAAAAATTCAACATATACAGGGTGATCACTAAGTTCTGGGGATTTATCTGTCATTTCATTATTTTTCAACCAATTTACTTGAAATTATTAAAGTAAATGGGGAATGTAATTTTGGGTTGGATAAAACAGTCTCATTGTCATCTGATGTCACAATGGATAATTGTTGTTACTATGGCAACATGACAAATGGCGTGGTGGGTCAAGTAAAACAAGAACACAAATGTGTACAAAATGTCCCCACCTATGGGTGATCCCGTCAAATGGTTATCCTAAAAATGAGTAGACAAGACTTTACCGAAACAATTTGAGGACGGAATATCCAAAATGGCCACCTTAAAATTTACCCAGAATGCCAAAAATTTAGTCAGTTCTAGATTTTCATACTAAGAACCACCCCTGAAAATTTGAAATTGATCCCTTACACAGTTTTAACCAGAAAACATGTAAACAAGACTTTACAAACAAGATTTTAGGATGGAAAATCCAAAATGGCTGCCTTGACATTTATCCAGAATGCCAAAAAACTAATCTCTTCTAGATTTTCATACTAAGAATCATCCCTGTAAATTTGAAATTGATCTACCAAACAGTTCACCTGGAAATGCGTAGACAAGACTTTACAGACACGATTTTAGGACAGAAAATCCAAAATGGCTGCCTTGACATTTACCCAGAATGCCCAAAAACTAATCAGATCTAGATTTTCATACTAAGAATCATCCCTGAAAATTTGAAATTGATCTACCAAACGGTTCACCTGAAAACGCGTAGACAAGACTTTACAGACAAGATTTTAGGACGGAAAAATCCAAAATGGCCGACAATAAAAAAGTGATTATGAGAAAAATTATCACATATAACTACTGTTAACAATAACATAGGCTTTTACAACAAAGTACACCTGAAATTATTTATAGAGCTACTAAATAGTTAAAGTATGAAAACTGAAAAACACCATTCAATATGATACAAAGTAATATCGCGCGCTAACTTTTCTTAAAACAATCAAAATGGCTGACATGACTGAGCTAACAGGTCAAAAACCTAATCAGATGAAGAATGAAGTGAGCTGAACAAGATGTTAAAGTTTCAAAAGCAAATGTGAAGCCATTTTTCTTAAAGTTTGCAGACAAGGATTTTAGCATTTGACTTCAAAATGGCCGACAGGAAGTAGGTATCGAGTTAAATTTGTTTCATCCACATCTAGATGCACTCATACGTTATCCCTGAAAATTTGAAAGTGATATCTGTAGCGGTTTTGGAGAAACTACTATGTGGTGGGGACATAATAAAAATGAATTCAAATTTTGCTTGGTCCAAAAGTATGGTGAAAAAATACCTATTTGGTGGACATATTTCTGTGATTTTCCATATTTTCAAATACTTCTAACTTTAGTTTCTAAAGTAACATCTGTTTTGTTATATAAGAGTGTACTTTGCTCTAGTTTCGTATCATTCATCAGCATCTCAAAGTCACAATCATAACTCAAAATAGCGGGGAGTTATCTTCCATTATGACTATGCTCCTTCCCATTACCCAAGCTGCCCATACTACTCTTGAAGAATTAGGATTCACACATGTTATTACTGCCCCATATTCACCAGACAATATTCACCGGATGAAGCACCATTAGGCTTCACTACATTTTGGGTGCTAAAGCATTATATGAGAGGTCCTATAAGGGACTGATTTCAACGGCTTGAGCAAATCTTCAAGGGATACCAAGGGAGGACCGGAACACATCTTTATGGACTAAATTTGTCAACAATGCATGTGCGTCCAGGCTAATGGAAACAATTATAAATGAAATGATCCTCTCAGCAATGAAGAATACTACTGAATAAATGACATCAAGAGTACTGTTCTGCCTCTAGTACAAGTACTTTGAAGCAACCATCTAGGCAAGATGAATATGTTTTGGCAGGAAATTTTCAGATTAATATTAGACAAAATTTGCTAATCGCGGACCACTTTTACTTTTTTTGTAATTACAATAAAATAAATTGAAGATGTGATATGTACATGAAACATTGCTTGTAAATTCAGAATCATACAATGTACACCTGCTGAAAATTTCAACTAAAATGGTTGAGAAATCTTGAAATGGCAGACCAATTCCCAGAACTTAATGATCACCCTGTACTAATATATAATTTTATCCCCAAAACTGTCAATATTTGGAAACATTTCCTATCAAGGTGGTTGTATCTACCTAGGCCTAAATTACTTAACAATAAAGTGTGTATCTTTGTATTAAAATCTTCTAACAATCATTCTGCTTCACATTCAATCATAAAAGTTGGTGTCACCAACTTTGTTTTTTTGCTTTAGAAGGATGGCTTTTCAAAAACTGAACTATCAATTTATTTTATTTTTGCACATGTGAAAGATTGTCAATCAACCAAAGATAATTATAGGTCACTGAAAGGAAAGTAAGGAGTTCTATACAGTCAATATGGTACAACGAAAATGGGACTTCTGCGCATGTTAAAATTTTTCGTCAAAACTCAACTTTTGTTCAAGTTGATACGATTGTCTTTCGAACTAGAGACTTACCTCATTCGAAAGATCATAAAAGACTTTATCTATACTGAAAATCTTAGATCCAAACATAGTAGAATACGCCGTCAGTCCGCATTTGATTTTTTGAAGTGAGTTTCGTAGATCGTCAGATTTCTCTAACTGATATCGGGTTATCTCAAACTGGTTCGTTTATAAATACAAATTTCTTTACCGTTGTAAGGCGCATGTGCAAAATTGATTTATAAACCTTATTGGTTGATGGTTTTTCTCCTGCGCATGCGTGAAGTCTGATGAACACTTATGACGAAGACCGGAGCAAACATTTCTAGCTCTTGAACGAAATTCCAAGATTCAGGTCATTTCGCCGTGTTTGCTAAGCGTGTATACGTGAATGACAAGCTGTTTTGAGTAGATCGGGTACCTGTTTTAGACACAACATTGATTTAGCTTGACATTGATGTGCACATTGGCACTTTTGAGCATGTTAATACAAGTTTTTACACGCTTAGCACGAGACGGGTTTTCGAAAAATCTGTTATCTGATTCACTCGATTATCGTATGGATATGTATTTCTGCTGACATTTCAACACCACATCACATAGAACTACGATGCAGAATGATAATAAAACACAAAACAACTACTAAATTCCACTTGTTATTTCACAGGAGGTAAGAATGCACACTGCCTAGATTCTTTGTAAGGGTCGTCAGACATCGGATTGGCCGCCATATTTGAAATGAAAATATCACTAAATAGAGGTCTGCGCATGCCTCAACATTTCGACTGTATAGACAAGGCATTAACATGACAAAATGTCACCACCTAGTTGCTCTAAATATAATGAGTTCAATCTTAAGTCACATTTGAACCTGAAATTTGAAAGTCCTTTTTGACTTTTACCTAGAGAAGGTCATTGAAGGTAAAATCTTAAATTATAATCAGATATGAATTTCTGAGAACTTGTAGATGATTTTGAAAAAAGATTTGGTCAATTTGAAGTAACTTGAAAAAATACCTTGAGAAGGTAATTGAAGGTCAATCTCAAATCTTAAGTCAGATTTGAACTTCTGAGAACTTGTCAATTTGAAGCTAGTTGAAAAAATACCTTTTTGACCTTTTTCACCCGCATAGAAAGTCAAATCTCAAAGCTTAAGTCAGATTTGAACATCTGAGGACTTGTAGATGATTTTGAAAAAATAATTAGCCAGTCTGTACAGTATTTGTTCAGTTACTGAACGTTGAAAGAATTTGTAACAGATGCCGGACACCAAACACCATTACACACATCGGTCACCAACTGCCATTACAAAAAACAGAGACCATAAAAGTATGTCATTCCTTTTGAAGGTGACATAAAAAGTCAAGAAAGCTATTCATATACATCTGGATAAACCAACTCTGAATAGAGATTCAGGACTCATAGACAAACCGTTGCTAGAAACAGTGAGGCCAAGGTTAGGTTCAAGACCAAGGTCAATAACAGCAGCATTGGCGAGGAATCAAACAATAGAACATTACTGATGAAGGATGCAGTTACATTTGAAAGCTCTGACAATCTAGCTATTTACGGTTAGTAAAGAGGAATCCTCAGTTAATACATCTCAATTCAATACAAGAAACAATGAAGTGGAAGAGCAAACTTTGAGCAACTTAACTGTTTACCACTATCATTATCAATATCATGTCTTGTACAAAGCTTGTTTAATATTGTACAACTTCTCAAGTTACACTGATGACATGAACTTTAGACAGATAACACACATATCTGTAAGTGTAACACAAGTAATAGTTTGTATAATCATTTAACCCACTCAGGTTACCTACCGACTCACAGACAGTTATCATGGCAGAATACAAACTGTATTATTTCTATGTAAGAGGTATGATAACTATTCATTTTTAGGAAAAACGATTCATTCATGACATGATAATTAATGTAACAAGTTTTGTGAGTGTTTTAATCTGTCTATATGAAAAAAGTTTGATAAATGTGCATTTTTTCAAAACAGGTAAGGGTCAAGTGATCAGGTATGTCCTTGAAGACAACGATGTCTCGTTTGAGGATATAGTAGTTCCATTGTGGTCAGAGGAGATAAAGCAACGTTGTCTTAGCAACCAGGGACTTTACAGCGAAGACTTTGCCAATTTCAAACCAGACTGGCAGAGCAAAGAATGGCAGGAGTTGAAACCAAAAACTGTAAGTTACTAAATATTTTCAAACTTTGTCAAGTTTCCTTGCTTTAGAAGTAGATATTTTTAAAGGCTTTCCAAAACTCTACAAAGGGTGGCCAACTGGTGATATGATCTTCTGTGTAGGGCCTTCATGTAATATTACAATGATAACAACAATATTACTGTATCTCAAATTCTAAAATGTGATTCTTAAGGGTAGATCTTTCTAGACATACCATACGCATACATAACTTTAACCTGTAATGAAATATCATAAACTGTTGAATAAAAAAATACAATTGAGGGTGATCTTGACGAACTTGAGAGATATAATTCACCACTGGGGTTGGACAATTATGTTTTTTTCTGATCTGCAATATTATAACCAGTAGCTTCAATACATGTAATATCCCTTCAACTTATCCTCATTTTAATTCTTGTGTTTGTTTCAACTGCCCTTTTTCATTGCAGACATTTGGCCAACTACCCTACCTCACTGGCCCAAATGGACTGGAGATTGCTGAATGTTATGCCATATTGCGATATTTTGGACGCAAACTTAATCTCTATGGCAACAATGATATTGAGGCTGCCAAGATTGATATGTTACTAGAGCGTGAAAATCAGACCATAACTGAGATATTCAAATCATTATTTGTAAGTTGTTTATCATACTAGACAAAAACAACAACTCCCTGGAGTAAGCAAATCCCACCAATCAAAACATATTGTATCAAATGACTCATCATTTTGATCACAACATCATAGAATCTACCAGAAAGTATTAATTCAAGGGGATGCATTCATTTAATAAAATATATGAAATTTAGGACAATATTGAAAGTTCAATATGGCCCCACACTATCATTCAAAGCTACATCTTTATCAAAAATATTTGGAAAGATGTAGCTTTGAATAATAATGAGAAAATAGGGATAGGAATATTAGATGAATGATAGAAATAAATTTAAAAAAAATTTAAAAAAAATATGGCCCCAGACTATCTGGTGGGGACATAAAATGTAAATATTATAACAAATATCACTTAACCATAAACCATAACTTATATGTACTCTATGTATTTTAAGGTAAAACAAGATAATTCTGCAAGGATAGAGAGTACAAAGATATGTGATACCCTGGTAATATTTCAGGTAGATTAATTATATTGTTCTTACTTAATAATCACATACTATCACCTCATCATTTATTTCCAAAAATTCCTCATTATGAATACATCATGCCAGGAATTGCAGTTCTCCAAAGCAAAGAGGCGAGAGTTCACTTCATTTTAAAAAACAGGCTGGCACTAATTTGAACAATACAGTACTTTTTCAAAGTGTGATAAAAACATTAAATATGCCTTACTTGAATTAACATAATGGAAATCATGAAAATTTTGCATATTTAGACAGATGTGGGGAATCGTACACTATTTTAACATGAATGTAAAAGAGGGATCAACTGATGGATGGATTATTTCCCAACTGGGCCCTGTACCAATTGTGAGATTCAATATTTTTTTAGAAACTTCTGGAGAAGAATAACAAAGGAGAAGGATACTTTGTGGGAGATAAAGTCTCTATTGCAGACTATGCCATGTTGGATCTCCTAGATGCCTGTATAAGTCTCTCAAGTACAATGCTAGATGCCTACCCAACACTGAAGGCATTCTATAACCGCATGGCTTCAAGGGAAAAGATTGCAGCATGCAAAGCCACAGAAAAGTACAAATCGTTCTATATTGCTGGCAACCTTGGACTAAAGTAAATTGGTACAGAAAACAGTTACGAACATGAACAGTTCAAATTGTTATCTACGTTCTCTGCAAACCATTGAAAAGTGAATAAATCTTTAAGATTTTAAAATATTCTGAATAGTACCAATGGCTCAAACTGTGAAATGATTTCAGTCAAACTGACAACAATATTTTGGCCATCTTGTGGTGTTGATTATAATATAATTAGAGGATCATTATATTTGAGGATAATTTATTTGGCTTAATTAATAGTTTACCATGAGAAACCGCTGACAGACAGGTATGGAATTGCAATAGCTCTCTATGTGAGCTAAAAATAGTGATTGTAACAATATATTGCTACTTCTTGGTGGTATTACATAATACAGGAAAATATTGATGTATGAATGAAATTTTGGGTTCTTCGCAAAATTAAAAATGAGATGCTTTTTAAACCATATTTGAGTTTAATTTGTAAATATGGCCAACGTGTATCTTCATGTTTCAATATTAGAAATTCAAGATATACTATTGTCATTTTACCCCTACAACTGGCAATACATTTCCTATTTAAAAACATACTTAGCAATATTTGTTGTAGTTTCCTCTATTATATCTGTGAGATTAGTCTGGCCAATCGTCAAATAGGTCTGCACTGCTTTATGAAGGTTCGTACACAGATCTAGGCACATCTCATCCACAACTTCTTTTACATAGCCTTTACAAGCGTCCCACATTTGCTGAAATTAGTTAAATACAACATAATATAAGCAGTGCTTTGTCTTAAAGAAGAGCAGCATGCACTGCATTAACAAGATTTGTACAAGAGTTTCAGACACATACATGGAGAAGTATTTATATCATAAACACATTAGTTTATTCCTTTTTTACTTGACATACATCACACTATTGCTTATATAGAAAAATATACAAGAAAAAATAAAGTTGAGGTCTGCAACCAGCTACTAAGGCTATGGCTACTGCAACAGACACAACTGAAGGCTGAGATAAGGGGGGTAAATATATAAGGGGTAGAGCAAAAGGTCAATTTCTTTTCTATTACTTTCATGCACACCTGTTTTGTGTATGGGAATTTTTGTTCCTCTGTCTGCTTCAAGTCCTGACCTGCAGCCTCATCCAGGGAGGACTTTGAAGGGTGGGCTGCTTCATTAGTAGTGTCTACATCCGCAGTGGGGGTTTCTTCACCTTCAAGTTCAAAGTATTGAAAACATTTTTTATTTTATAGGATTTTATCTACAATTTGAAAGATTTGTTTGCCTCAGTTTGACATATCATTTATAATTGAAACTTTGGATTAATTTGTATAAATGTAACTCAGGCCCGTAGCCAAGGGAAGGGGGGTTCGCAGGGTTCGGGCAAACCCAAAAATTCTTTCAAAATCATGCAGTTTTCCACCATTTTGAGCACTTCTCAAGTAATTTTAGCCATATTTGGGCTAAGTTGAATCAATCTGGGCTAACTTCACCACTGACAATTCATCATTATCCAACCCAATCTTTACTTTGTCCCAAGAGTTGGGGCGTATTCCATCAAGAATAGAGCTGACATCTAGGCAAATGTACCTATCAGTATAATATCATGATAAGTGCACTTTATAACATTTCATTGAATGAGCATTTTCAAAATCATTCTGTTGTGCTTTTAAGGTCATGGCAACTTATGTTCAATGAAATTAGTAAAAAATAGTACCGTGAGTACTGGGCTCACATGGTGTTGACGGACAAGTGAGTGATTGCAAATGTTTTTTTTAGCTCACAATGTTAGCTAAAAACAGTGAATAATTCCCATTAATAGGGTACCTTGATTTTGTTGCACCTGAAGAATCTGTGTATTCTGTCCTATGTATCTGTGATTGGAGTTAAAACTAGAGACTGGCTGGTGTAGGATATTTTCTGGTAGTGGCCCATTATTTACAACCTTTAAACATTTTGAAGAAATTAGAAACAAGATGTAGAGATTAGTTAAAAATCAGAGAAAGTTGAATAATGTAATAAAATGTAGAAATTAGAAACAATATGTAGAAATTAGAAACATGATGAAGAAATTAGAAACAAGTTGAAGAAATTAGAAACAAGTTGAAGTAAATGTTTCCAGTAAATCCAGCTTTTTTCTTTTGCAAAACTTAAGAATGGCTTGTTGCTTGGCAACGTTGACTTTATCCATTGGTGAGTTAAATGTGTTTGTACTCTAAATATCCTTAAATTTGCTCAAAGTTATGGAGGCATTTCTTGTAGTAACACTATTGAAAATATAATGATCAACCTCTTTTATTATGTTTTTCAAATACCCATTTGATACTTAACTCCTATATGAATAGCATATCAAAAAGAGGAGTTGGTATAATTTACCCCACTTTGGAATTGGATGGTGACATAAGCAACCCACCTCTCCATATGAGACATCCAACTTGCCCTCTATAAGCTTCAAGGATCGTCTGGATTCCGGCGCAGTTTCAGGCATAATCCAATGCGACTTATTAAACATGATAAAATCATCATCGCTACTGAGGCCATGCTGCATACAGAAGTCTTTCACCTCAAAGGCATCTTCAAATCCCAACTGATTGCAGAGGTCCACGATCGGGAACTGAAGTAAGAATATGAGAGTTAGAACACCACCCCCAATCCACACTCTGAAATCACGGTTAATGTACAGTACATCAACCTCTTGACTACCCAGAGTGATGATATTTCTTCTCATCTTAGAAATGACCTCATCCCCTAGAGTGATGATATAATTTGTCACAAAATTGATCACTTAAGTTGCTCTAATTTAGAAATTTCATCTGATTTACACAAAAACATCCTAGAATGTGTAAAAATGATATCTGTTGGCCAATTTCACTAAGTTGAGCATCACCATCAAATGTACATGTATGTAGTGAAATGTCAAAAGTTGAAAAATTCTTTTGGTTTAAACCAATTTTAGAGTTTGGGATTCCAGAGGTAAGAGTGTATGGTATTGTGGCGAAGTCAAGTCTCTCTATCTCATCACAAAAACATGAAACAAGTTTGAATTAAAAATTCATTTATTTCCAAAAACCAAAGGTCAGAAAAATATGTTGTTACAGTTTCCATTTGACTCTAGTTCATGCAACAAGGTTCTGAACATTTAATGTAATATAGAATGTTCATCCCCTAAATATTGAAAACTGGATAATTAGCACTGAAACACATCAATAATATTTCATATTTCATTTTTTTTTTTTTTGATATTGTATTTTTATTTCAAATTATTACAATAATTTCATTGTTGATTTAGTCATATCAGAATAAACTTTTTGGACATGCCAGTAGGTAATATTTTTACAAATCTAAATTGAAATTTTGAATTTATGAAAAACATGTACATGTAGATTAATATTGAACTTCCATACCTGCATATCCTTTCCAGGGCTCTTATAACTACGTAGCATTGTAGACAGGGCCTTACTGCGGACCTGATTGAAGTAACGATGCATGATGCAGGAATTCAGAAATGAGCCTTTCTTGACGAGTTTGAAGAATTTAACATAGTTGTTGCTATTGAGGGCAAAGTAGGCTTCTAAGACGAACTTCATCTCTGAAGAGTTGCGAATATCTGGTCTCAACTCTTGGGCAGCTCTGATGAGTTGTAAATAAAACAATGGAATACATGTATCACAAAGGAAAAATAATAAAATTAATCTTGAGTTTTCATGCTGCCCCCTAACTGTTGTATACTGTTGGGACACAATAGACATCTGACTATATAATGGAAACCATGCTTTAAAGGGGCAACAAGGACTGTAGAGAGAAAATTTGAAATTTTCTATTTTTTCTGAGCTATCAGGTCAATATTTGGCTTAACATCTTCTTTGACATACCTATCTTCTTAAAATGTATGGATAAACTCTCAATTTCAGCATTTAGAAGTGAAAATTCAGTTCAAAGCTCCCATAAAGGAAGTCCCACTTATAGATTTTTAAGATCCACCACGTTTCAAGAGGAACATCAGCTGAAATAATGTTCATCCATGGGGTTTCTTTAGAGATAATAATAAAAATATATGTTAGTCTTGATGAAATATCTGAACTTAAATATAATTTGACACTGGACGAGGATCGTTGAATGGCCCCCCTGCACTAATTGTTGCACCTTTAAATAGGAAACTAATGAAATTAATCTTGAATTTCATACTGCCCTGTAAGTTATACAGTTGGGAAACTGTAATGGATACCATGTTTCAAATAGGAAAAATAATGAAGCAACATTGCTCTTTGAGAAAAAAATAGTTTACATAGCATAAAATACAAATCTCAACAGAACTAAAATAACTAAAACTAAAATAAATACCTCAATGTATCTCCCTCATTGAGGTTCATGAGTACAGTGTACGCCCGGAACTCAGCCTCATTCTGACATAACTTCCCGTGTTTGTGCTCCATATCCCAGTACATTTCCTTCAGCGTCTGCAGACACTTCGTCATATTCTCGCTGTTTATCTTCTCATCAAATGCCATAACGTCTTCCTCGCAGAGTCTTCCAGAGCACAAGATATGAAATCTACAGCATTTTTCGACAAGATCTACAGCTGTCTCATTACACAGCTGTTGCTGGGTGATATCCTGTTAAAAACAATCACAAAAAACATCATATCAGTACTGTATAATACATACATACTGGTACATTCATATAGAAAGTGAAGGAATGAGTTTTCTCCAAAATATGTAATTCAGTCTGCACTAACTTCTAAAACCTGGTGTTGTTATGGTGAGCACAGTATGAAGGCACTTCCCATTTTGATGATGGTTTAATTTAAGAGTTCTAAAACATTTTTTATACTTGACCTTGTACAAGTCAGCCACTGTAGAGTAATTGTAGAAATAGCCAACTTGAAGCCCACATTGTTAAAGTACATATTATATACAAGACTAAAAAGATATCATCAATTGTTCTAGCCTACTAGCAAGCCTATAAATGAATTCTACAGCTCACCTTTCTAATGCCTCTCGTCCTACTCCAGACAAACTCGTACCAATCAGCCCAGTTCCCATCATGGCCCTCATCCATTATATTATTGACGATATAGTTCATTGTCATAGCCAACACATGAGGTGGCCTCAGTTCATGGGCCAGTGGCATTTCCTACAAAAACACATTACAGGGAATTAATTTCAGATATGGTTCAGATTTATTCACCTACTTTGTGTAAAATGCTCTGATGATTAAGTCATATCTAAAACAAGGCATTACTATTAACATGCAAAATGCCATTAACTACCATTTGTTACAGACTACAACTGCCGAATGCCAAACACTGAACAACAACTACCAAACATCAACCAACTGCCAAACACCAACCAACATGCAAAATATCACCACCTGGTATTTCTTAGACACCATCATTTGTTACAGATGCCGATCACCATCCACAAAAAGCTGGAGACTATAACAATATGTCAACACTTCTGGTCGTGACATAACTAGACTGACAAAGAGTGGAATTAGCAAGGAATAAAGTAAACAGGAATGAATGGCACAATCTAAATTATGCAGAAATCAAAAAGATTTAGGCACTTCTATCAAAATTTAGAACAATACTAGACAAAATAAACATTAAAAATTAGTACCGTGGGTACTGGGCTCACATGGTGTTGCTCAAAAGTGAAGTGAATGATGGCTAAAATAACAGAAAATAAAAAAAAACGGATACAATTTTTTACTGATTTTTTGTAACAAAATTATTTCAAGCCACTTGCCACTATTTTGGACTGACTGAGAGACAGATAGACAAATCGGTGTAAAAATGGCTGAAAAAAAAACGGATAAAATTTTTTGCTAATTATTTGTAACAAAATTATTTCATACAACTACTCTTTACAGTGACATGGCTTTTTGCAATGCAGGACACCTGAAATTATTTGTAAAGCTAGGAAATGGGCCAAAACTGAATTTCGCGAGACTAAAATGGCGACCATTTTGAAAATAGGCAAGCTTTTGAACCAGGAGTCATAGGGGAGTTTTTTGTATTGATGTTGAACAAAAATAACTTGAAACTGGAATCCTATCGACAGAGGTTTTAAGCAAATGGTCCAAAAGAGGGTTTCGCGAGACAGATGGACAAATCAATGTTAACTAAAATGGCTGAAAATAAAAAAACGGATATAATATTTTGCTTATTTTTTGTAACAAAATTATTTCATACAACTACTCTTTACAGTGATATGGCTTTCTACAATGCAGGACAGCTGAAATTATTTGTAAAGCTAGGAAATGGGCCAAAAGTGAATTTCGCGAGGCAAGAATGGCGGCCATCTTGAAAATAGGCGAGATTTTGAACCAAGAGTCATAGGAAAGTTTTTTTTTATTGTTGAACAAAATTAACTTAAAACGGGTATCCTTAACAGAGGGTTTAAGGCAAATGGTCCAAAAGTGGATTTTGCGAGACAGATGGACAAATCAATGTTAACTAAAATGGCTGAAAATAAAAAAAAATAGATGTAATTTTTTGCTGATTTTTCGTAACAAAATTATTTCATACATCTGCTTTTTACATTGATATGGAGTTTTACAATGTAGGACACTTGAAATTATTTGTAAAGCTAGGAAATGGGTCAAAAGTGAATTTCGCGGGACAAAAATGGCGGCCATTTTGAAAATAGGCGAGCTTTTGAACTAGGAGTCATAGGGGAGTTTTCAGACGGATGAGTGAGTGATTGCAAAAGCTCACCATGTGAGCTAAAAATGATCATAGATAACCCTCAAGCAGAAGCAAACATACCTGGTCTGCCGAGGACCTGCTATACTCCTTAATACACCTGGCGTGGTCAGCCTCAGGGTTCTTCCCAGGGATATGTTCAGTGCCAGGGAGGATCTCAAATAGTCCCAAACGTCTCCTGTCTTCACGTACATACCGCTCTTTTTCTGGGCACATGTCTGGGCATGTTCCGATGATGACTGCAGCTTGGGCCAGTTCTGTGCCTGTTTGCTTGCCTAGAGCATACATAGCACATTAATATCATTGCATTGAACATGAAAAGACTCAAACTTGAAATGTGAGTTTTTGTAAATACAAAAGTATGATAATAGGTTATGACCAAATGCCAAAAACTTTTTGAGGTAATTTAATAACTAATAAACTCCATTGAAGTAAATCATCACATCAAATATGAATCATTGGTTTATTCCAAAAGACTCCTCATTTTGTATATCCTATGCACGACCAAATAAAAATTATGACGACCTTATTACTTAACACTGAAAAGTTGATGATTCAGCTACTTTATTCAAATTTTAAAGACAAACAGCGAGTAAAAAAGATGAGTCAAATGGCATTTACGGTCCTGTTCCTACCTCTATCCAGTTTCATTTGTTTGTCGATTGCCTCTAACAGTTCATACTTCTCACCAGCAGTGGTTGCCATGGTATTCAGGAATTTCCCTCCAGCTCCAGCTGAAAAAAACAACAAACTCTTAAATATTTGTAGATAAAATATACATGTATGCGAAACAAAGACATTTAAAACTTGGTCATCCATTGCATCTTTGAGTTTGGATGCCAATATTTTAAAGAAATACCCAATAATTAATAGTTAATTAGCCAAAATATACTAATGCCTACATCAAATTAACTGCATCAAATAAAAGCTCAAATTCAATGAAAAAAAACAACAAATTGTGTACAAGCTATTATTTTCAATAAATGTACTACCATTTATGATCCCAAATTTTTAACAAGAAAAAGTCCTGTCATGGCAAAAATATATCATTACAGTAATTAGACTGCACTAAATGTGTTGTGATGCCCCCCCCCCCCCCCCCCTCTACATCAAATGAAAGAATTGTACTTTTCAGCTTCCTAGCAGGGCTTGTACTCCTAGATGAGGGCCCAGGGCTCATTCTTCTCTCTGATGAAGCTTTGGTGATTGCCCTCCGACTACTGCCCTCTAAAACACATAGAGAATAAGATTGAAATATTCTTCTAAAAATTACTTCTTAATGCTCAATTGGTGAGAAGTGAGAAGCTGTATTTCTAGTTCTCGAATCTACTGATCAAAATCAATTTTTGATTAAGTTCTCAAAGTATTACCCAATCCCTGGATTTAATCTACAAAACTTATATTTTTCACTATTTGAGAATATATATACAGTATTAGATATCTCAATAATATGTCAGCGACTTATTTTTATCCATATTTATACAAATATTTTGGATACGTGAAACAGAAAATAAAATACCACACATAATTTTTCCATAGAGATTTTTTCACCTTACAGTATAGTATAGTATAAGTCAGTATACATTCAGTATATTTTGATACTAAGAATGTTTTTCACCATTCATATATGCCCATCAATTTAGCATAAACCCTAGGTAACATAAATAATGGATATAAAGGTTGTATAATAAAAAAGCATGTACTAGTACAAGACATCAACATGAAAAAGGCCAGCTCCTGCCATTTGTTACAGACACTGACCACGTAACATTGTTACAGACGCCAAACACCAACTGCCAAACAATGTTCAAAAAATTGGATACCAAACACCATTTCACCATGTCACCATTTCTAGTATTGACATAAAAATGACAAGTCCAAGGAGAAGCAAATCCCAATGAACAAAATGTGTTTCAAGTACAATTACAGTTTGGATCCAGAGGAACCAGTCTGAAACATTATGTAAAGTTTGAGCTTTATTTTAAAATCAATGAGAATTCAACAATAATAAATCCACGTAAACCCCTATAAAGAATGAATAAAAGTGAATCAATACAAAACAGCTGATAATGTCTGATTGATAAAATAATAAATTTCTCATTAATTCAAACTGACATGTCAGCAATACAAAGTTTAATTTCATTCCTTTGTTCCATGTGCCAGAACATCCAACAAGCACCAAGAAGGTAAGATAGGTTACACTATTTAAGATGTCATTTTGTTAAATATTCTGATATTTAATTCTATAATGTTTATTTATTTTTTATCAATTACCATCAGAAGTTGCAGACAGATTACAATATTAAATACTATAAAGTTTATCTCATAGTTACCATGAGGATTGTGACAGATTACAATATTAAATTATCTAACAGTCACCACGAGAAGTTGCAGAGTATTTTGTGACAGATTATAATATTAAATTCTTTAAAGTTTATTTAAAAGTTACCATGAGAAGTTGCAGAACATGTAGTGTGTCATTATCAGATGAGAGTTGCAGAATTTAAACTGTCATAAAAATGTATTACTTTTCCAGGCTGCATAATGTGGATAGCATTGGTGTTCTGCCTCCTGGGCCTTTGTTCACCAAATATAGCAGAAAAAGTGGTATGTGGTATAGCTATTTGAAAAACAAAAATCTTAATAAGCATATCTCTGTTTTATTTGAGCTCTTATGACATGCTCTAATGGCTATCATGAAATAAAATAACAAATACAAAACACCCAGACAGTTACATCTTTTGGAAGACTACGCTTGGACATACAAGTATATACTAAATAAGACAGTAATATCCAAATTTAAAATTATTAAATCATCAATAGAAAAATCATAGGCATTTTGATTTGAGACTTTGGTCAACATTCTACACACAGCATTGTTAAAGATATTCCCAAAAATATCATTAAAAAATTATATTTGTTTATGAAATGTGAGGACGTTTTTAAATTGATATTAAAATGCCTAAGTTCTAGTCCCACGAAGCATTGGGCTACAAAATTTGATCAAAATCTGACATACGTTATATAAAAAACCTATATTTTTCAGGAAAACTTATTGCCAAAAATTGAAAATTCTATTTAGGGAGGTCAAGTGTGCCCATGAGGCATCAGCCTATAAAGTTTGAACCAATCTTATGACATATCTTGAGTTATCAAAGTAAATATGACATTTTTATGAAATCAGGGCTATTCTGAATTTAGCAAAGGGTAATCATTAGTATGATTAACTAAAAAAAAGTAATGTGAAATAAATCAGAACTCTCAATTTGTTTCTTGTCTTTGTTGCACCCCCTCAATATCTGTTAAACATCCCTCCAAAAGAAATGCGGAGGTCTAGTGACTTAATGGAAGACTTACAAAACTCAAAACAATTTTGAAAATAGTTGATAAGTTCTTGTGCCTTTCCTCTCAACTTCTGTCAAACATCCCTCTAAAAGAAATGCAGTGGTCCAGTGACTTAATGGAATAATTACAAAAAAGCAAATCTACAATATGTAACCAATTTTGAAAAAAAAATTGCTAAGTTCTTGTGCCCCCCCCCCCCCTCAACTTCTGTCAAACATCCCTTCACAAGGAATGTGGGTCCAGTGACTCAATGGAAGACAAACAAAAAGTCAAATCTATAGTACAGGGTGTACCGAAAGTATGGGGCCCCCCCTAGGCAGACATATACCAGTGTCGTCATAGTATGTGGCATATATCATTTTAAAGCTTATCCAAAATTACATTGATTCGGCAAGTATCATGGTTCAACTCTCAAATGTGAAAAAATTACAGGTATTTCAAAATTTAGTATTTGGTCAAAATGAAGTTCAATTTTACACCAAATCACTAGTCAATGTGTCCTCCCAGGCCATCATAACAGCAGCAATTCTTTTCGGGTCGGATAGATATTGAGTTGGAAAAAGAGAACGATGAGGGTAGAAACTCCGAGGAAACTCTTCTAAAGTGCCCATAACAGGTTTTAAGAGGGTTATAAAATTCTACACCCCTATTTGAAAGGCTTTTATCTGAAAGGCTTTTATCTGAAGGTAATATCTGAAAATAATTGCTGCTGTTAACATGGCCAAGAGGGGACTCATTGACTAGTAATGTGGTGTAAAATTGAACTTTATTTTTACAAAACACTAACTTTTAAAATGACTGTAACTTTTTCCCATTTGGGAGTTAAACCATGATACTTGGCGAATCAATGTAACTTTGGATAAGCTTTAAAATGATATATGACACATACTATGAGGACACTGGAATATGTCTGCCTAGGGGGGGGGGGGGCATACTTTCGAGAAACCCTGTATATATAAAACAAACATTCACAAAACCCTCAAATATTCAAAGGTCTGACCATGAGACATGCAACATCATGACAAAAAACAAATACTCAAGGATTCATCATACTGTAAAAGAAATTGATCGTAATTAAATGAAAGATCATAATGAAATACATGGAGAGTTCAAAAAGAATGAGATAAAAGTATACAATTGAAAAAATCATTAAGATGCCAGGACTGGTAAGCAATTAAGTATAAAATGCTTAAAATTCCAGCCTTATTAATCTGTTTATCTGAAAAGCAATATTATAATAACAAATTTAAACTGAATCAAGGCAACATAAAGGCAAATTGGCAAATAATTAATGAGATACTTCAAAGAAAGAATAAAAATAATAACATTCCAGACTTCTTCATTCAAAATAATGCGAAAATAACCAACAAACAGGATATAGCTAATCAGTTTAATAATTTCTTTGTAAAAGTTGGAGAAAAATTAGCTGCCAAAATTCCAAAGTCAGATAAAAAACCTTTAGATTTTATGCAAACATTAGGTCAACAGGCTTCTTCAATTTTTTTAGACCCAGTTGATGTTAATGAACTACAAAAAATAATTTCTAATTTAAAACCTTCTGCTGCAGGTCATGATGATTTTAAACCTTTTATTATGAAAGAATGCGGTTTTGTTCTATATCAGCCTCTAATGCATATTTTTAATTTATCCATTTCAAACGGAGTTTTTCCGGACCAACTTAAAATTGCTAAAGTTATACCGATTTATAAAAAAGATGACAAACATTTTTTCACCAATTATCGGCCAATATCTGTATTACCTGTTTTTTCAAAAATTTTGGAAAAAATAATGCATAAAAGAATAACAAAGTTTATAGATATCATTGACATTTTGTATACTAATCAATTTGGATTTAGGGAAAAGAGATCAACTTTCATGGGTGTGTTAACATTTATTGAAAAGATCAGAAAATCTATCGATGATGGTGAATTTACAATAGGATTATTCATTGACTTTTCCAAAGCTTTCGATACAATAGATCATAACATACTATTTGACAAACTTCAATATTATGGTATACGTGGTGTTGCTCTTGACTGGATAAAAAGTTATTTTAAAAATAGATTTCAGCAAACTTTATATAAGGAAACAATCTCTAATCGTGAGTTGATCACTTGCGGTATTCCTCAAGGCTCAATTTTGGGACCCCTGTTTTTTATATTATATATTAATGATATTTATCTTTCTTCTCCGACACTATTTTTCGTCTTATTTGCAGATGATACTAATTTATTGATCAAAGGCAAAAATCTACATGACCTGACAGAAACTTTAAACACTGAACTCAAACATATTGAGGAATGGCTGGTCACAAACAAATTATCACTCAATGCTAATAAAACAAAATATATCATTTTTTCCTCAAGACAAAAAAGATTTAATGCAAATAATATAAAAATCTATCTAAATGACAAACAACTTGAACAAGTTGATCATATTAACTTTCTTGGAATAACAATAGATAACCATTTGAACTGGAAACGGCATATTGCTTCTGTTAATGCAAAAATTTCTAGGACAATTGGTATTTTATATAGAGTTAAACAACTGTTGAATATCAGCGGTTTTATGAGTATCTATTATTCACTTATATATTCCCATCTTATATATGGCAATGTTATTTGGGGTGAAACATGTAGTTCATTAAATTCCCTATATCTTGTGCAAAAGAAATTCACCCGCATTGCAACAAACAGCGATTATAGGGCTCATTCCCTACCATTATTCAAACAGTTAAACCTTTTAAATATTTTTGACATACACAAACAACAGAAATGTTTATTCATGTATAAATGGATAAATAAGCTTGATAACTACCAGAAAATTTTTCCTAACTTTTTCAAAATGGTCCAGGCGAGACATGATCACAATACCAGAAACAAGGATTCTTATGATAAACCTAAAGTAAGGACGAACTATGGCATTTCAATGTTAACTTTCACAGCACCAACAATTTGGAATCAATTACCAAACAAGATTAAATCTTCTCGAAGTGTTCACATCATGAAAAGAGAACTGAAAAAGTACTTTGTCAATAATTGATTATCATTCGTATACTTTATATTTTGGGCTTTATGACACACAATTCATTTACCATCCATTACAAGCATTTGCACACAAACAGATCCCCCTCTGTTTCTATGTAGGCAACTTATTACCCTGTCGGGAATATACACAATTTGTGTCACCCGCTCATTGTATGTATTTCAAAACTTAGCTTACTGAATAAATAAATAATAATAATAATAATAACTAGACTTTGGAAATTGAACGAAGTTCAATTTCAGACTCCAGATCTAGACTTTTTTTTAGCCGAGTCATCCAGAATAAGCCGAGTCATCCAAAATAAGCTGAGTCATCCAGAAAAAGATGGATGGATGGATGAAAAAGGAAGGAAGGATAGGCTAGAATAGGAAGGAACGATAGGATAGAATAGGAAAGAATGATAGAATAGAATAGGAAGAAGGAATAGAATAGGAAGGATAGGAAGGAGAGGATACGAAGGAAAGGTAGATTAAAAGGATACGATAGGATCACAAAGGAAGGATGGATGCAGTTTTCAATATTTTCTTCTCTACTCTTGACTTTCTATCAGGATACCATCAGATCGATTTTTCTCGAAATTTCAAAACGCCATAACTTTCAAACCGGAAGTCGGATCGAAATTTGGTTTGCAGACTCGGATTCCTGAGAAAATTCTACCCTTAATTCATAACTAATATGTTAAATTTGGAGAACTTTTTATTTTGACCTACTTTTCGGACACCATATCTCAAAAGTGGGTCAAAATACTTTCTGACGGCAAAAGGCTAACACTATTAGCACACTCTTTCCTACCTGTATACAAAATTTTGAAGGAAATCATTTAAATATAGTGTCAGAATCACAAAAATAAGGAAAAACTATGAATTTGACCTAGATTTTGACCTAGGGATTTTGGTGTCCAAATTTTTATGAAAAGAAGGTTTTGAGGTCCCTTTCTTTTATGGGCTTCCATTATGTTTAGCTGTGCTTAGTCTATATCTCGTATTTTACACTTCAAAAAAATATTTTTTCCCATTGAATTAACATGAGGCACCAAATTTAGCGATTTTTGAATTTTCAAAACGCCATAACTTCCGAACAGGAAGTCGGATCGAAATTTGATTTGCGGATTCGGATTCCTGAGAAAATTTTATACTTAATTCATAACTCAAACGTTAAATTTGGAGAATTTTTTATTTTGACCTACTTTTCGGACACCATATCTCAAAAGTGGGTCAAAATACTTTCTGACGGCAAAAGGCTAACACTATTAGCACACTCTTGGCTACATGTATACAAAATTTCGAAGAATATAATTAATCTGTAGTGTCAGAATTGCAAAAATAAGGAAAAACTTTGAATTTGACCTAGATTTTGACCTAGGGATTTTGGTGTCCAAATTTTTATGAAAAGAAGGTTTTGAGGTTCCTTTCTTTTATGGGCTTCCATTATGTTTAGCTGTGCTTAGTCTATATCTCGTATTTTACACTTCAAAAAAATATTTTTTCCCATTGAATTAACATGAGGCACCAAATTTAGCGATTTTTGAATTTTCAAAACGCCATAACTTCTGAACCGGAAGTCTGATTCGAATTTGGTTTTCAGATTCGGAATCCTGAGAAAATTTCCTATAAGACTGATATCCTGGACATTGGATTCGGAGATTTTTTTTTTGGACCTCGTTTTCGGACACTGATATCTCGAAATCGGTTTGAGATACCAAAAAACTAAATCGACCCTAGATTTTCTACTTTTTTATGAGGAACACAATGAAAAAAACCCGGATCAAAAATATTGAAGGACGACCGAGAAAATCGAAAAAAGTGACAAAGTACTGGATTTGACCTAGTTCTTGACCTTTGACCTAGATAAAAATTTGACCCAATTTCCGAGGAACTAGATACTGGACATAAATTGACTGCATAATGATCTTTATTGGAAGCCTTATGGTTATCGAGAAAACTGGGAAAGAATAATAAAGAATAATAAAGAATAAAGAATAATAAGAATACTGACGAAAACAATAGACTCCAGATTTACATCTGGAGTCTAATAATTAATGGCAGTTTAGATCATGATAATCCCATAAGGATGAATCAGATTACTGTAACATTTGTGAAAATGTGACAAAACTGCACTAAACTGAACTATATTTAAATTTAACCTATTTATGACATGATATTTTTTATTACACAATTCATTATGTGACTTTAATTAGATTTTTATTCTCTAAACATATGCCCATGAGATAGATTACTCTAACAAATGCGAGAATGTAACAAAACTGCATTTAATTCAAAATTAAATCTGATTTCATATTTTTTATTACATAATTTATTAAATGGTTTTTATCAGATTTTTATTTCTCCAACAGATTGTAATTAAGATGATGGAGAGAATGTAATACCAGAAGAAAACATCAAAATCACGAAACAACAAACAGTCCATATAACTGCTATCAACTACCAGGACATATGCACAAATATGACCCATAAATATTATACAAATATTTAATTCTATTGAGGTGAATACCTGTGCATCTTTCACAAGTGATATTCCACGAAGCCCGAAGGGCTAGTGGAATATCATCTTGTGAAAGATGCACAGGTATTCACCTCAATAGAATTAAATATTTGTTTTATTATATCACTGTCATAACATCTTCTATAATCAAATGAGTCATACGTTGACATTGAAATACATTTATATTTCTTCTAACAATATAACAATAAATATCAACTACCAAATTATATAGTCAATAAATATCAACTCCCAAAGTGTAGTATTTTCATTTAAGGTTTTCATGTTAACATTATAATTAATTGTAACATTGCAATGGGTCAATGAAAATGGAACCATTGTGTTCATACTCATAGTATTGGCCGTGTGGGAAACAGGGTTGGGAATGTTTTTAAATGTCCAATCTGAGATGACTCCTTTTTAGTACTGCCATTAACACTTGTATAATATGTATGTATAAGTCATGACTGTTGAATATCATTTGATATTCACCGGAAGTCACGTGACTTCCCTTGAATATCGCTAGTTATTTTTTAGTCAAGTGTAGGACATGGATCAATAAGAGAGTGAGGAATATGACAGTGATAAAATAAAACATGATATACAAAATAATATGGAATCAATAAATCCTCCATATCCACCAACAGAGTATAATATTTGTAGACACCCCACATGAGTGCTGATGATGCGTAGACTCATTCAGAACACATCCTAATGAAAAAGAAAATAGAAGACCACAGATCCAAATCAAGTAAACTTGTCCAAACTGTCCAAAGTTATTGCTTTTGTAGGAGAGAGGAAATGCAGGGGATCATTCCTTTGAACAGTTCTTACAGGAGACACAGCGTGAAGCTACCAATGGCCTTATGTATACAATTGAATCACCAGAAGAAATGGAGGCAGTCATAAAAACAGCACAAATTAAAGAATACAAAGCGACAAAAGGACAAACAACAAATACTGTTAAAGATAATAAACTGGTAATTTATGGAATCGATCCATCTCTGAGAATCAATGGAAAATTTTTTGTTCAGGAAAATGTTTTATTTATTTGGAACCTTTGCTTACATGACAGTAGCTCTTGTTTTAATAAATTGAGCATTAGTCCACTTTGGTCGTTATTTTTATGGAAACATTCACAAGTGTCTGGACTTTTTAAGCACATTGCTCAATACATAGTACATATACATGTATACAGGAACTCTTTTAATTGCACAATTTTATATACAGAGTGGGCCAAAAAACAATACACAAGTTTAAAGATATATGTTAAACCATATACAATGTATTGTATATCATTTGAAAGATAAATCCAATAGAAAACTTTTCATTTCTTGTGGATTTCGAGGTTAAAATTGAATCCATTTTTTGTGAATTTCGAGGTTAAAATTGAAACCAGGGGTGCCATGAGTGACCAAAAATCAAAAAATGACAATTCCCCATGAAAATTGGATTTTGCACTAAACTTGTATAAATGTGCCAAGATTCAAGACAAATTTCTCTCCATTTTCCACAATTTGGAAATGTGCAGTGAATAATTTTTTGGTCACTCGTGACACTCCTGGTGTCAATGTTAGCCTGTACCTCCACAAGAAAACAAAAGTTTTTTAATCAGATGGAATATTGTTAGGGAAATGATTTATCTTTAAACTGATATAGAACACATGGCATGGTGTAACATATATATAAGGGTTATGTACTGGGAGGTTTTGGATATGGGGTTTATCCAGAGGGAGATATGCATATCTACCTGAGGGACCGTAGGGACCAAAGGTAGATGTGCATATCTCACGAGGGATGAACCCAATATCCAAACCGACCGTACATAACTGCTTTATCCTATACCAAGTAGAGTTTCCTAATTTTATTTCAATTTATTTTTCAATTTTTTCACATTTTTCAATTTTTTCTATTTTTTTCTTTTTTTGAATTTTTTTTCTTTTTTCAATTTTTTTTCAATTTTTCTTATTTTTTCAAATTTTTTTTTCGAAGCGGGAAGATATGCCCTGGAGCGGGAGATATGGCGGGAGATATGGAGGTTCAGGATATGGAAACCTCAAAATCAGGATACGGGATATATCTTACCAACTTATTTCCCTATAACTCTACTTGGCATAGGATAAGATATGATATTTCCCTTTAAACTTGTGTATTGGTTTTTTGGCCCACCCTGTACATATTTATCTTTGACTTGTTTGTTATTTTCTCATATAATTGAGGAATTCATTCTAATAATGACATTATTCATATGTACCTTCCAACAGCTCAAGAAAAAAGAAGCGCCAAAGCAAATGAAAGACACGTGGAAGACAGTAGTTAAGAAAATTAAAGAAACCCCTGACAATCCATTTATAAAATACAAAGGCAAGAAGGCAAAGAAAGCCAAGTGGTACAAAAGACAGCAAGAGAGAGAGGAACAAAGAATGAGAGAGGAAGAAGAAAGGCTGAGGAAGGAGGAAGAAGAGAGACTGAAGAAGGAGGAAGAAGAGAGACTGGAGAAGGAGGAAGAAGAGAGATCGAAGAATGAACAAGCAACAAGGGACAAAGAAGAAAGCGGAGAATCGGAGAGCAAAGAAAGTAAAGAAAGTAAAATCAGTAAGCGTAGTAGTGAAAGTATTAAATCAAAGAGTGAAGAAAGTAAAATAAGTAAGCGTAGTAGTAGTAGTAGTAGTAGTAGTAAAACAAAAAGTGAAGAAAATAAAACAAGGAAGCGCAGTGTAAGAAATATTCAAAGGAGAAAAAGAAACACACCAGAAAACATAAAAACCAGAAATCACAGCAGGAAAAGGAGAAACATCCACACCAATTCCAACTCACTCTGGGAAAAGGGTTTAGATGGCTATGTATCCATTCCATGGAGTTGGGGAGTTAATGCAAGTAAGAATTTCAAACAGAATTGAGCAATAGCTAAATCCTCTGGATAACTAAGTTGATAGCAGTAAAAATTGGCGTAATGGCTTTAGAAATGCCAAGTAACATCAAAATAAGAAAACATAATTTCCGGAATAAATGATTAATTCTCCATGTTTTGTTTCAGGTGATGCATCTACAAATGATGTGCAGCTTGCCCAAGAGTTCATACATGACCATACTTGTATACGCTTTGTCCCATATTACAGCACAGTTCATGCTGATCTTGGCCTGGAGCACAAATCTTGGTTGAACTTCACACATGATGGCAGGTAAATTGAAGCTAGGATTTATTTTTCTTAATATTATTATTTTGTAGTGCTCTTTGATGTTTCTTTTTGTTATTACTGTTTTGTAAGGCCCTTTGATGTTCTCCTTTTAGCATTTGTGCTTGTCTGAGTGGGTAGTAGATCATATCAACACAAAGAACATATAAAAACCTAGAGAAAAGTCAAATTAGAAAAATTGGGATGAGATTTATGAAAATAATTTTGATTCAATATAATTTGTAGTCTATGTAGTCTTTGATATACAATTACATGTACACCTATTTTGTCTTAGGTGCTGCTGGTCTTTTGTTGGAAAGATGGCCTTTGGTGGTCAGAAAATCCATCCAACAAGTATCCATGTATGTATCATTCAACTTTCTAAACAAAACATTCATGATAAAAAACTGAAATTTGCTTATTATCAAGACTTAAACGAGATCCAGCATTTTTTCATCTATTAAAAAGACAGATCATATGTAGTAGAGGTGTCAAGTATTAACCGGTTAACCGGTTAACCGCCGATAATGCCTTGACCGGTCTGTGTTTTTATGGGCGGTTAGTTGACCGTGTATAATTCTGTGATTTCCCGTGCTTATTTTGCATGCTAATCCGTTTGGTTTTATGGTGTCAGTTTCACGTAAGCTACTCATACATGTCATAAGTCCTATAACTCCTTACAAACATCCAATCAGCAACTTTAATCCCTGCCATATTGCTTTCCCGCGCTTACTTTGCATTTTAATCTGTTTGTTTTTCAAGCGTCAGTTTCATGTGAGCTACTCATACATGTGATAGGTCCGATAATTCCTTACAAACATCCAATCAGCAACTTTAATCCCTGCCACATTGCTTTCCCGCGCTTACTTACATAGAATAGAGTAAAGCTTGACGAACGTAAAAAATAAACGCCGATATATCATTTTTACCAATTTGTTTCAACTTTCAAGATCGAAAATGAAGATTTCACTTGAAATTATCAGTTCAAATTTCCCGCCGGTTAACCGACTTTAACCGGTAAAAACCCCCGGTTAACCGGTTAATGCTCAAGCGGTTAATTGACACCACTAATATGTAGGTATGTTTTATAGGACAAAAAAATATCAATGCCTTTGCATGAGTTTGGTCATATGTTGGGCATGGAACATGAACAGAGGAGTCCTGGAGCAGATGAAAGAATAAAGTACAATTTTTATAATGTCAATCGTAAGTACAGTTTCTAAAATACCAATTGTTATTAATTTAATCATAAGTATATGATACAGGGGGCTGTTGTCTTCTGTCTTTGATGTCTTAAACTAGAGCGATTTGTACAATCAATTTTCTGTCATCTTGCGCATGAATAATAACCCATCAAAGAAAAATTTTCTGACTACCCTGTATATAATCAATGATATCTCGATAAATACTTGACTAAAAACAGAATTGAGGATATGAGTGTTTTGCTCTTTAAACAGCTGTTTTATTCATAATAGTTTCTAGCGATATGGTGAAATAGGTGAAATTGTACTTAGTCATTCAATGATGTTTCAGCTCTAGCTAATCCAGTTATCCTGAGAGAACTTGCTCCGATCTATGATGTTACAAGTTGGCACACTCATGACATCACCTCTGTTATGCATTATCACCAATGGGTAAATAAATAACATACAATTACAGGGTGGGCCAAAAAAACACCACTTTTTTTCAAGACATTACAACTTTTTCATATTCCAACCTACATACCCCAAATTCTGCAGTTATACAGTGCCAGGGGTTCTCAGTAATAATATAATGTAACAAGTCCTTCAACTTAGATTATATTTTATCTAAAAGTGGAGTTCAATTGGTCCGCCACCCTATTTGATGATATATTTTAGTTTCAGTCGCCTTGCTGCTATAGCAGTATCAAAGAAATGTTAGCTAAGTTTTTTTCAACCTGTCTTTAGTTGAGCAATTTTCTAGATTGGATGCCTTCATGCAATCTTTTGGAGACCTTTCCATACCCTATATTCACTGTGGTTTGCATTAGGGCTATTAGCTTGGCGAGCATCAGGCCGTATCAGTTCAGGAACATTTTGCAAATTATGCTTATTTCTCATGGCACACCACATGTTTAAGTGAGACGCTGGTGACATGTTTTTTTCAAGTAAAAGTATAATTCATGATCCATGGCTAGATTACAACCTCAAGTTTCATTTGGTATGCAAATTATGATCAAAAGTTTAAAAAGTTATAGCATTTTTAAAAAAAGGTGGCGTTTTTTTGGCCCACCCTGTATGTATATAAATGTTGCAAAATAATTTAATACTATTATCAGTGAGAATACGATAGAATAATGTTATTTGTGAAGAAAAAAAAATCTAGAAGGCGTAAGCTATGTTTAATCATCAATTTTTAAATGACTTATTCAGCCTTTAAGCTAATTTAATTAATCTTTAGGCTGACTTATCTCAACTGTATGCTAACATACTCAACCTTTTAACTCTCCTTGTTTTTTCCTTACTTTAAGTATGCAAGTTGGAACGAGCATCCATCAATGGAGTCATTGGACCCACAATGGAACTACCTATGGTCATCTAAAGACCGTAAAGGTTATGGATTTTATGATCTGATGGACCTGACAAAGGCCTACGAATGTGATGGTAATACACAGTTTCAAAACAAGGCAATTGGGCTTAAATGTCCTGCAGGAGTTCCACTCAATGTTCTTACAAAATATCAGTGAGATCGGTGGGCAATGCATTCAATGAAGCGAGGCATTATTTCAACTGTTTTTGAGTCATGATTTGTCTTCAAATTAGCATGATACTGCAATTGGCAATGTGGTGCATTTTACTGAATTGGCTGAATGATAATATTTTAGCAGCAGTACTAAATATCAATGAAACACACCATAGATATACAATACAATACAGTACAATACATTTATACATTTATCTATGTTGGTTTGTGTTGCTTTTCTTTTTCAAAACTAAATTGCAATTCCAGCTAAATGTTCTCCTGAGCAGAAGGCAGCAGGCTGTGAGAATGAAGGATATCTTGGCTGGTTGAATGACCAGTGTGCGTGTATATGTGTACCAGGCCTAACAGGGGAAAGGTGTACAGAGTTTGAGGACCCATGTAAGAAACATTAAGTCATTAATCTCACACAAGCTTAAGGATGGTGTCCGATCATCCACAGTTGTGGGAAAACAAAGTTAATTTTGTTATGGTTGGACCCGCTCCCCCCACCGAACGGAATTTTAAAATGTTAATTTGTCATTCCTTTGAATATTAAATCGATACTATTCACTAACAAAACTATCATTTACCTCTCCTATAATGAAATCAACTTTGTTATTCCAAAACTGTTGGAAATAGGAAAAGGTCAAAGGTCACTATTTCAGCATTGTGTAAAAGCATAATTTGATGACAATGCAGAATGACCCCCTCTCACAAAAATTGTGGTTGTTGAACATTTCGATTTTCTTTGAATTAATAGTTGAGCATATCCCAAATGTGAAAGGTCAAAACAAAACCCAGTATAAAAAACTTCACATTAATCATTTTCAAATTAGAACCTTCCCTATTCTTGCCAACTTTATCAAATATCCTATCAAATATTTCAATAATTATCCATCAATCATTGAATAAACTCAATTTATAACGAAACCCTTACGTATATAACTATTTTAAAAGCATTTTAATTCTTTCAATTTTTTGCTATTATAGCAATACAAGCCCCAATTGAATGGCCCTCTGGTACATTTGGACTGTTAAATACAAGAGCTGGATGTCCAGATGACATATTCTTAGATGGTGAAAGGTCAGGCTTTAATTAGTATAATTACTATTTCAATAGAGAGAAATATAGCATTGCTTGATGCGAAAGAACAATGTCAAATATTAGATATATACATGGTGGAAAGCCAAATATAGTAATATTAGTATTTAACAAAATAAAGTTCATTAAAGACCTGGAAATATTTACTTAACTTTAACTCCCATTGTATGATTTTACTTTGCATCTTAAAATTCTCAGGCTTCACTATGGGGAGAGTTCAGTAGATACTCACTACGCTCGTAATGGGCCAGATGGATCCAATGGTCCAAATTGGACCACAGAGAAGTTTTGTATAAAGGATGTTGATATCAGTGAGGTTGAGGTGCAATGGCCAAAAGGATCTTACTGTTTATTCAAATCTGGAGATTGCCCATCTGGTAAGGGGAATTGATTGCGAGTTCAAAGACTGAGCATTTCCTTAGAGAACACTGAGGTAGCATAACCAAAATGATCTTATTACTCACTCGAGTCTGTCAGATATAGTAAAACTGGTTAGTGGTGCAGATAATAATGAACAACATTTCAGCAAATCTGGAGAGAGAACACTAATATCTTTGTGGTTGAAGTAGCATGACCAACAGGAACATAACAACCATGTTCTGTGTTCTAGGTTTTGCAAGTGGTAGTAAAACTATTAATGATGACAATAATCTTGGCCTTAATGACTACAATGGAATACTACCTGATGGAGTATATGGCAGCGTAAGTCTTGAATCAGACCAATTCACAGAATAATCAAGCTTGGGATTAAGTCATTTCTTTATATAGATGATTGTTATCCACATCATCAAGTATGCAATAGCAACTTCATGTTGTGTTTATTTTCAGGATACGCGATATGATTTCTGCTGTAGGAATGACCCATATGATGAAAGCACAAAGTGGCCGATTGAACTCCCAAATGCGAAGCCTTTCTATTTAATCAAGAACTCAGAAAATTGTCAAGCAGTAGCAGGTAAAAAACAATATAAACAATTTTTCAATCAAGTATATTACTATTTTAGATTATATATGTTGAGGTTTTCAGGATGCATGGAATTCACACTTGTAATTGCATACTTTTTATTGCTTTCAGTTTATATTTAAAACTTTTAAACAAATCTCACATTGTCAAGTATACTGTTTTTGTATTTTGTCAAAATATCATGGTCAAAAAAATCGGAAATCATAAAATGGAATAGACGTTGTCGTACACTCAGTCGATAATGGATTACATAATGAACTCAGTAAATCAAATTAGACATTATTTTCCAGATATACGAAGATGTCATATTCTTTCTGTTTTTCTACAGGAATGGAGTTCACAGAAGACACTGTCAGATTCTCTGGAGGCTCACAGAATGGATCTGCTCCATATGATCCATCCCTCCCTGAGCGAACAACTCTCAGCCTCTGTTACTACTACCCCATACAATACGGTACATCATCTTTTATGAGTCATTAGATGTCATGACCATTACCATGACCATTACATCAATAGTATGTTTTCTATCCTTTTATACTATAAATATTTTGACCGACCACGGATGATAATTACAGTAATATTCTCTGAAGCAGCTAAGCCCTTTTTACCATGCAATATTATTAATTTTTTATATGATAATCTATTATTACTAATCACAGATAATTCAACTTGAATGTAGTCTGGCATTTTCTAGTTCCATTCCTGTTACTGTTATTTTGGGTCTATTGTTGTAAAGTTATTTCTTAATTTGATCATTAGGTTGCAACAATGTAGTGACTTTGGACAGTAGTTCTCCATCTGTCACAATAGAAACACCAAACTATCCAAGTGCCTATAATCCCAACCAGGAATGCAACTGGCTTATAAAGGTAACTTAGTCTTGCCTAGGTACCCCTCCAACCACTGTATACTTCACCTTCCCAACACAAGAAGGTGAAGGTGTCTTGGGACTTTGGAAGGTGAAATACACAGGGGGGGGGGTGCACAGTCTTGAGGACTAAAGGTAATTTAGCTTATCCAATTTTGAAGAGAATGTAAATTCCACAATACCCAAAGGGTTGCAAATATCATAAACCATGATTAGTCAAAGAAGATAAGTGAAATATAGTCACTTGACCACTACACTGTAATCCAGGAAAATTGTGAATGCCATAGTTCCAACCATGTGACAAATCACAATTATAAACTTGATTTCATAAGCTTTAAAATGATAGATCTTGTGGTTCTGAATTATTGGTTGTTTGTTGGGAAGGGGTCATTCTTTCTTTCTTTGTTTCTTTCTTGACACTTTCGTTCTTTGTATGTCAGCCATTGTTTTGATCTACAATATGCACTTTTCATCCAATTGTATTTGACATGTAAATTGGAATAAACTTAATCTTAGTTGGAAAGCTCATAGTTTGTTTCCCTGTTAATTGGTTGTGCTTTTGGTGTTCCACTTTCGTATGATGGTTCTTTAACAATCTGTAATTTCTATGTGCATCCAGGCTCCAGAGGGAAGCAGGGTGAACATATTCTTTGAAGCATTTGACATTGATGGTGACGAACTTCTTAACCACACACATGTGTGTGAGGACTATGTTGAGATAAGGAAGAGTATGTTGGGACAACCAGGAAGTAGGTAAGATAAACAGATGAAACCAAGTGAGAAATAAAATATTATCTCCCCAATGCTTGCTCTCTCTCCTCTCCCTCTCCAGCCATGGCATAGCTAACATTTTATGGAAAACATTTGAGAATAGCTTGATATAACATCTCCTAAATGTAGTATTTCTAAAAATTGGATATACCATTAAACAGGTGTCATTTTTCACCTTTGACAACATATGTTGATGCCCTAAAAAGTTACTTGGCATACTAATTATTCATTAGTATATGACACATGTAAGCTTTTTCTTGAAGTCCACATTACAAGATCAGTGTATACAATCCACTTCACCACTCCATCAAAGTGATCAAAATCACCAATAATGATGCTGTTTTGACATATTCAGAGGGAAACATTGTTTCTTTTCAAGTTAGGTAATTGTTTGGGATAGATGGGTGCTGTTTTCCTTTTAACTGGTGCATTCTAAGATGTGTTCTGTAACAATTTTTGGTCCTTTTCCTTTTGGCACACATATTTGTCCTTATTTTAGAATCTGTGGGGAACAAGTAAGAAGGTCTTGGATGACAGAGGAGAGTACCACCTGGTTGAAGTTCAGATCTGATAGGGAGGTAGAGAAAACTGGTTTCAGAGCAGTCATCACATACAACACTGGTAACATTACAATTGATACAACTTCAAAGTTGAGACTGTTAGGTCAAATTTGAAGGACTAGTCAGATCTTTTACCTTAATCCTAAACTGAACAAGATGAAATTTGAAGATGGACACATTATTAGATGTGGGTATGTGCTCAATTTTCAAATATGACATTTAGCTTTATCTATATTTGTTTGCATTGTAGATGACGATATAGTACCATTTTACAACCCATCTACCAAGGGTGCATCCTATAGGGGAGAGATGGCATATACACAGGGATATAGACCATGCAAGAACTGGCTATCTGTGAAACATTGTGATGTGAATCCCTTGGATCCAGAGTAAGCACCCAAAAAGAAACAACATTAAATCATATAAGTCATTTTATAAGCAGCAGGCAACAGGCATTTTTCACTGGTTGTTTTCACAAAATCGCCTGTTGCTTTAGGGACATGTTAAATTCATGATTTCCATTAATTTTGTCTGTTATTTTCATTTATTTAGCCTGTTGTGAGAAATTCAAGTTAAACCCCTGATATAAAACATCTATGAAAACAGCAATAAGTTTTGGTCTATTTACAAGGGTTCTAACAAGATTCAAGATTTTATTGTGTTTCGAACCAAACACTTGGTTTCCTCACAAAATCAATTAAGAACAAGATTTCAGTCAAATTTCACCAGATTTGGGTTCTAACAAATGACTATCTTGATTTCTCTAGCCTATTTTGCCATAGTATCTCCATCAAACCATAACATGACTTTAATGAATATTTCAGATACTTTGAAAAGGGTCTAGGTGACCACTTTTTCTGCAGAAATCCCAACAACCTCTACCGACCTTGGTGTTACATAGATGACTTCTGTACTCAGGACTTCTGTGATATACCAAACCTAGGTAAGACTCCTCAACATGTAACTTAATTAAACTTATGAAATTTGAATTTTTTCCCAAGGGAGTTCAGTGAGAAATATGATGTTTGTAGTGGTGTTAGCAATGTGCCAATTTGAAACTTAAAATTTCAAATCGTGAAATTCATTTAGGAATTACAAATTGATGATACCATCAACATATTACTTAAGTACAAAAATTTTATAAATATGCCTTGGCAAACTAACATTTTAGAGCCTTTATGTAAAGATGATATCTGTATTTGGTTCTACGTGTTTAGGTGTATGTCATGATATCTACAATGACTGTAGTGAGCAGATTGCCAACAACAGTGACACATGTTCTACTGTAGATGGACTGAGAGGATGTAAAAAGTCATGTGACTATTGCAGCCTCAGAGTAGAAGAGAAGGGTTTGTAAAACATATAATTATTCAATTTATTTGACCTAAATGAGTTGATGTAAATACTTTGTAGAAAAATGAGAAATGTGATAAACGTCAAATCCTCTATGGATGAGTGTCCATTTGAGCCATATAACAAAGATACAGGCATTAATAAATATGAGAAAGCTTTGCATAATACAAACACTGGTAAAATTGGCAATAATTAATTCAATGTGGAGCCTACAATTCACAGTACGATGATCTGGTAATAGCCATGAGAAATCTTCTGACATTTCATTTTAGAATCATGCGAATAAAATATGATAATACATGTGTCTATTGTTCACCTTTTTTTTACTGTAGAAACTATCGAGGCTCCATCCGTCGTAGACCCGTACGCTTTCACAGACAGCACTCTCAAACCACCATACAATGATGGGGATGTTATAAGATATCAATGTTCTTTTAATGGATCAACAGTATTTGGGTTTGATGATAAAATGGCACTGACAGATGGAACTTGGAGTGGTAGAAAAACAATATGTGGTTGTAAGTTATAGATCACTTTATATTCTAATCTTCAAACAAGAACAAAAATGAATAAATCAAATAAAAAATTAGCATATGCAATTTATTAAAAGCACATGCAAATGCAAGGGCATACAAGTAAAATTGGACTATGATACAGCTGGAATTTATTAGAAACACAAATTGAAGAACTGAAAAGACATTCTTCTAAAGTAGGATGTCCATCATGAAGTATTTAACTTTATACCAGTATACATACACTTTTTTGAATCCATTCCCATCCAATCATCTTTGCCAGATCACTTATCGATTAGACAGAAGGCCCCCACTCCATAAAGGATTCAGATAATAAACCAAACCACAATAATAAACCAAACCACAATGATTCAGATAATAAACCAAACCAAAATGATTCAGATAATAAACTGAACCATGAACATGACTTACATGCTTCTTCCTCATATGCATATTTTGATTATATAGTATGTCCTGTTGGTTGGACAGAACGTGAAGAGTTGTGTTACAAGGTGGTGGCTGAAGCAAAGAGTTTCACAGATGCACAAGATGCATGCGAAGCTGATGGGGCAGATCTTGTTAGTTTCTATGATCAAGCAGAACAGGACTTTGTAACAGATCTGGTTGCTGAGTAAGTATTTGGACAGATGAAAGTAAAAAACACACAATATACAGGGTGTTCAAGGATTTTTTGGTTGCATTTTTCTAGCACCCTTTTCACACTATAACAATACACAACAACACTCCTGGTTGGGACATAAAAATTAATACTGACTTTGATACAATTTTTGACAAGTTTTTGTCAAAAAAGAACCATGGTGATTCCAACGTATCCAAGAACATACTACATAACTAATTCAATTTCTATGCACATACAACAGGCATCAATTGAGTGAAATCTGGATAGGACTGACTGAAAATGTAGATGAAACATATCCACGCTACAAATGGTTGGATGGGATGAGATCAACCTACACACGTTGGTGGTATAATGAAAGGCCTAACAATGGTGGTTCACTACTAAATAACCCTGGGGAGGACTGCACAGCAGCAATGCCGTACTTTGGACGATACTGGGACGACTTTGATTGTGAACAGAAAAAGGCATATATGTGTAAACGTGAACAGGGATCAGGTATACTTCTGCACTTTATTTGAATTTGAACATGGCTGGCTCCAATATTAATGTTGAAAAACTAGTCAGCTCCACAGCTAGTGGAGTGTAAGACTGTTTATAGGTCCAAGTCTGTTTATAGAGTGACTTTAGCACAGGATTTAATTCTGTATTTCAACATTTGAGATTTGGTGATGGGGACAACCACAGATGCGTAATTAACTGGAATTCGGTATAACCATCTATTTTCAACTGGACCTTTAGTGTTATTTCCCATTATTATTAAAGGATGTTCCCCAGGGGAAAATCTGTTTGGAGGGTATTGTTATTGGGGGTCCACTTCTACTCTATCATGGCAAAATGCAGAGGCAGAGTGCACACTCAGTGGTGGACACCTTGTAAGCATACACTCTGAGGAGGAAGATAACTTTGTCTTTACAACAGCAACATCCAGGTTGGTAGAATTTGCAACAAATCTGCCAAGTCCGCCAAATTAAGAAGCCGCCAAACGTTCAAAATAGCAAATCCACCAAATTAAGAAGTGCCAAATTGAGTAGAAGTACAGTATCATATTGGTGACTGAATAAATTACACTAATGTAAATGAACAGTTAACATAGTTCAGAGTTGACATCGATGACAGTCACCTTCTTATCATAACCAGAAATCTACAAAAACTATAAAAAATTGTCCTTTGATCCTGTGATTTTGAACTGTGATAATGACTATTTCCAGTTTGAGTAGAGGAGAGCATAAGACAGTGTTTCTTAGTGCATCTGTACTTTGTTAGGAATGTCTCTTAACTGCAGGTTGTATTCTCAAAGCCTTATTAACTGTTCCCTTTTGTCACATGTTTCCACATATATTTTCTAGTGCCGGAATAACAGATGGCTACTGGATAGGCTGGAATGACATCGCAAATGAAAACCATTTCGTATGGTCAGATGGATCAAAGCAATACTTTGAAAACTGGCAATACGGAGAACCAAACGGTGCACCAGATTCACAAAACTGTACAAAAATCCGTAAATCCCAAAACTGGCAATGGCAGGATGAGTTTTGTGGCTATGAAAAGGCATATGTGTGTAAAGGAGAACTCCCCGTGTTGGACATGGAGTGTGTTGATGAAGTGGATGGATGTATTGACTATGTCATAGCTGATCCTACAATGTGTGAATCGTACCCAAATTTTGCAAATGAATACTGTAAGAAAACATGTGGTAAATGCCCAGGAGAAACAAGAGGTAATTCAAATACATGAAATTCTCACGTGATTGTCATTTTTATAAGGTGCCCCAGATAAAGGCATTTGTTCAACAAAATCACACCCTAAAACCAAAATCAGTTCAAGATATTAATACTTACAAACATCCCTGAAAATGGCATATCAATAAGTCAAAACAGTTTGGAAATGAAAAAAGAACTGAAACACTGCCAAATGTCACCAGCTACCCTTTTTATGTACAATATATCAAACTCTCTTAAACTTTTAGTATGTGATCGTCCTGGTGATGTGAGTAATGCTATAGTAGTTAATGACTTTGCTAACGACCCTCCAAGAATAGGAGATAATGCTGAGTTAACATGTGACAAGGACTTTGCCATTAATGGTGGCACATTGGATTTTGCATGTGTGCTTGATGGCAGGCTTAACTATGAACCTCAACTGATACCTACTCATTTACCAACATGTAAAGGTGAGGCATTGAAGGCAACATAACCAAGGGGACTAGCCATGCCCTGCTGACATCATGTGCAATGAGCATCATATCTCTCAAGGCCCCGCTTCTAACATGAGCTCATTGCTCACGATGTCAGCGAGAACTTGCTCGCAATATACAGGGCCTGGATAGTCACCATGATAATAAAGAATTATAATCATTTGTTTTCATGTGTTTATATAAAAAAACTAAATTATGTAAAATTAAACAAAGCATATTATTTCTTTATGACTATTCAGCTGAACTGCACATAATTCATTTTTGTTCACTTGGCTCCCGTCAGTTGATGAACGCGCAGAGAAGACTGGTGCGTCCAAAGATGACATAAAGACACATTATTGCACATAATCTGTAGTAATAAGTGATATATTTCATATCTCCTTCAAATACAGTTTTAACAAACTGCTAGTAAATATGCCTAATGGTGAATATTATGATATAGGTAAAGGAGAAATAGCTCGTACTTTATCGAATGAATTGGTGCCTCGTGAATATCGTGACAATTTGAACACCATCACTCTGGAAAGGAGTGATAATTTGAAAATTGAACATCCTGGCAAGATAACTGGATGGTTCGTGTACTCTGAATTAGAATCTACTGTCTTCATGCAAGTTTGGCGTCCTGGAGCAGGGGATACCTTCTCTCTAATTGGTCAAAATGAAGTCGTAACAGAGATTCGCCGCACAGCAGTATATTCTGTTGATCTTGCATCACAGATTCAGGTAAATCAAACTGAGGATTGAGATTTTATTACATATGCATCTTAAAAATTTAGTTTTCAAGCTTTAAATAACTTATATCATATGAAGGCCAAGAAGATAAAGATTATTTAATCTGTTGACATTTCAGTTTCAATGATTGAAAACAAATCTTTACACAGAACGAGATCCTTTAATTTCGTTGGAAGTTGTAATTTCCGCACATTTGCATAAAATGAGCTACAGGTATCTGTTAAATCATCATAATGACGAGTTTCAACTTTCTCAATTTCTGCTTCAATAGAATCATCTTGTTCATCAGAATTTTCACTTACATTCGCAATAAGGGGAAAAGCATTACAACTGTGACACTGTCTTTGATTCAATAATCTCCGTACTGTCATTCGTGCAATATGTCCAAGAGACATACTTATAGCAACAGCCTTTTCATTAATATTAGATTTAGTATTGTTCAGAGAGTGTCTTTGATTAGACATTCTGAACCAAGCACCATGTTTGAGAAGCAATTTAATATTATCAACTCTTTTACTCTGTAATGCAAGGGTAAATGCATTTTTCATGTGACTGTTCATAACATTTATGTGTGCTCCATATTTGATCAGTTCTTCTATACACTCTGGGGATTCACTTTCAGCTGCAAGCATCAGAGCAGTATTGCCTTCTGCATCACTGATGTTAGGGTTGATGTTTTGATCTAGAATAACTTTTAGTGATTCATGGTCACCATTCATAGCAGCTAACAACAAAGCAGTAACACCATGATCGTTTGCAATATGCATATTAGCATTGTGTTTAATCAATGTTTTAACACATTTTGAATGTCCATGTTGAACTGCATGAAGTAATGCTGTATAACCTGAACTGTCAATCAAGTCAATATTTGCTCCTCTATTGAGGAGAGCTCTCATGCCATCATGGTTACCAAAATATGAAAATGTCATCAACGGTGTCATTCCATCTGAGCTAGTATCATTTACATCAGCTCCATTATCTAAAAGAAGCACTGTACAATCCTTAAGTCTGTTTGAAGAGGCATATTTCAATGGGGTCATCTCAAAAGCATCCTTCATGTTAACATCTGCACCATTATCAATCAACAATTTCACACATTCTTTGTGCTCTTGGGCAATTGCAAGAAACAAGGCTGAACAGTTTCTTGGATCATTCTCATCAGGTTTATCAATATCAATATCCTTTTTCAAAATATTTTTCAGCACATTTGTATCTCCTAGCCGTGAGGCCTGCCATAGCATGGCATAATCCATGGTTAATCAAATTCAAAATATAACCTTATCTTTTATCATCACTATTTTCTTTCAATTCATCAAATGGGAAATGAGTGGCAAAATCAGACTGAAGTCAGTTATTGTTCTCCCCAGACATTTATATTTACTTTCTAGCAGTGAACATCCAATCTGTTTTCTTATATTATCCTCATTTTCAAATCTCTGTAATGAAGCAATATTAATTTATATCTTCAACTATTAAGCTGGTAGATATAACCTTCCAAGTGTATTGTAATCATAATGCTGACAATATTGACATTATTGGACACCTGCACGGGTAAAATATGCTCCTTTGTGTATGTGAAATGCAGTTCTATTGATCCCTATACAGAGAAATTGATTTGTATTGTTTGAATAGTTATTCAAACAAACCAATATAGAAATTATGGTCAATTTTCACCCTATATACAATACAAGTATGCAGTGTTGTGTTCTCCCATAAATTTCTTCATAAAAATACAACAGGGCATTACCATGCAAAATGTCACCACCTGCCATTTGTTACAGACACCAACCCCCAAACATCAAACACCAACCACCAGATGCCAAACATCAGTTGGAGACTATAACAATATGTCAACACTTGTGGTAGTGACATAAAAACTTATCAAGGACAGATGCATATATAGGCTAATATTGACACAGGAACAATATAGCACCTCAATGCAATAAATATACATGTACAACAATTATCATTGTTTTGTTACCAAATATGTGGATTGCGTATTTTAGGTTGAGGCAGGGGACGTCATAGGATTTCATCAGCCTAACTTTCCAGTGCCCATACCATATGATGTGTGCCACACAGGTAACCCAGGCTACCCAGGTGCTTATATATGGCAGACCGAATCACCTAGGAAACTATCAGATGGAGACTCACTCTCATTCAACATACTAACATGTAGAATATATTCTGTAGGGTTCGAGACTAAACCAGTTGCATAGTGGATTGAGTCTCTACATTTAGAAATCTGACAAAAATCCTTGTGAACTTTGACATTCAGTTATATTTTGAAAACTTTGTAGTTTGATTTAAAATGAAATACATGAAGCTATAATGAAGAGCTTATTTATAATATTGAAACCTTTGACAATTCATACTATGTATACTCAGTGGTGAAATTATGGTGTATTTATTGAAAACTTTTGACAATACACAAATTGTGTAGCTAATGAAAAATAACAAATAAATAAAAAAACAATAAATGAGTTATTTTGTTGGGTAGTAACCCCACTAACATTTATAGTGGCAAGGTATCAAAGATATATTTATCTAATGCATTAAGAATGAGGTTGACTAAATGAGCATACAGTTTAATATATTTAGGGCTGTTTAGATTTTTCAACGATTTTAATTTCCCGCCATTTTGATAACAAGAGCTTGGAATAATTTTAGCATGACAAATAAGGGTGACAAAACAAGATGGCTGCCATTTGATGTGAGAAATATCAGAAAAATTGCTTCACTTTTAATATTTACATTGAATGCAGTTTCACAGTTAACACTGCACTGGTTAAGATTTCTGTCTAATTCTAACCATTCATCGTCTAGGTCATATATAGAGATTGTAAAGTCGAACCTTCAGCTGAATCAGCTGCTCAGCATGAATTCAAGTGAAACTCAATGCGTATGCACATAATTCTGAGAATTTTGGATTGGTCAATCAAATAGAAGTCACGTGGCATCACTCATGGCTCACCATGAGGTCCGCTTGCTTACGAATACGGTTTCACAATAGCCCTATAAACAGGCGTGACAATCATGGGTCAATCTCAAAATCACTCCAATATATAACAAAATTGACCAACCAATTGGTGATCAGATTTTGCAATGAAACAGAAAGATAAACATACCCTCCCGCGATGATAAAATCGAGGTTATTACCCAAGAGTCTGCTCAACTTATCGGAGAACAGTAGATACATAAACATCCCCCGTGCTGCCAATTTTACAAAAAAAATAATTTTCAGAATTTCAAGGTTTTACCGTAGATATAATGAGATTTCAGACAATGATCGAACCAAACGTGGAGTCAAAAATGTTTAATAGATGAGCATCAAGACTTGTAGACTGGCTACTTAATAAAACTCAATCAGTCCAAACCCTACATCACCAAATTTGTCCCGTGGTCGCCTAAGAGAAACACTGGGTATCAAACATTTTCAATTTTTCAGTTAAAAAATACTGTCTCACCTTTAGGTCTCACAGGAAGCTTTGGCCCTGCACTATCAAAGTCTGCCCCAGCCATACTCGACAACTCATCACTCACATCTTTGGAAAACGTTGACTCTGTAACATTTAAAAACAAGACATTAACATGCAAAATGTCATCACCTGCCATTTGTTACAGACATCAACCACTGAACGCTGACCATCAAACACCAACCGCCAAACAGCACCAAAAAAAGTTGGAGACTTTAACAATACGTCACCACTTCTGATGGTGACATGATTTAAAGTAATATTCTCAGAAAAAATATTTTCATATTCTCGACAAAATAGTTTAAGGTATGCTTGAGAGGGATTTGACTCAACTAGGTCTAAAACATGAAGTGGGTAAACTTACTTCAAGAAATTGTAGAAATCAATAATAATTGTATATTCATTTTACATTAATAACTAATGTCGACCAGTATATATTAAGAATTAAAACTGCTTGATGAATAAGAAATTTTCCGGAAACTTACTCAATGCTTTTTTACTTGGTCTCCAGAATATAGTCATTTTTGGTAAGCCAGGTTTTAATTCATGTCCATTCCTTTTTGCCTCTGCAGCGGCTTCCTAATAAGGATAATAAAATTTATAAAATTCATTAACATTAAAAATTCCACCACCTGTCATTTATTAAAGATACCAAACACCGACGAATACCAAACACCAAACGGTGACTGTCGAACACCATCAAGAAAAATGTTGGAGACTATAACAATATGTGACCACTTCTTAAGAGGCATTCAACATTATATTATCTCTGAATGTCGTCGAATGATTGTTTGTGATGTTGGTATTTGCCTGTTACAGAATTTTCATTGCTCTAATTTTGACATGTCCAATGAGTTCGAATTATGTTTTAAAATGTGTGAAATGAGTCCATGTTTATTAATCTCATGAAATCACACATCATATAATGCATATTCTGAAATTAACGTTATATGTTAATAAGTGTTAAAAACAAAACAAAATGTTGAGATAAACATCCGATGTTCTGAAATTAAAATAGTAACATGTCTGACAAAAAATGTACAAGGGGATTATTCCAATGACATAGTAGTTTCTTAAATTAAAATGAAACGAGAAAGAACAAGAAACTTACATGATTTTCAAAATGTATTATCGCTTTTTGTTCCTTAGGATTTGGAAACACACGTGTGACCTTTCCAAATCGTTGAAAATGTCGCTTCAGGATTTCCTTTGTGTTATACTCCTCTGGGATTGGCTTACAACTAATTGATAAACTGTTACTGATATCTTCACTGGATAAACGCCTGGATGTAGGTTTCAAGGCTCCTTCAATGAGAACATAAGAACATTTAAAATATAAATCTGAAACAGAGGCATCAAAATACTTTAAATCAAGGCATTAATATGCAAAATGTCACCACCTGTCATTTGTCATAGATGCATGTTGAGTGCCAACCATCGAGCATCAACCATTAAACACAAACATCAATTGTCAAACACCAACTGCCACCAAAAAAGTCAGAGACTATAACAGTATGTGACAAGGCATGACAAAATGTCACCATCTAGTTGCTCTAGTATTATTAGTTCAATCTTAAATCAGATTTGGATGATTTTGAAAAAAAATTGGTCAATTTGAAGCAAGTTGATAAATAACCTTTTTGACCTTGAGAAGGTCATTGAAGGTCAAATCTTTTTTGACCTTGAGAATGTCATTGAAGGTCAAATCTATAGTCAGATTTGAACTTCTGATAACTTGTAGATGATTTTGAAAGAAATGTTGAAGCAAGCTGAAAAATGACCTTTTTGACCTTTTTTTGACCTTGAAAAAGTCAATGAAGGTCAAATCTAAAATCTAAAGTCAGATTTGAACTTCTGATAACTTGTAGATGATTTTGAAAAAAAGCTGAAGTCAGTATAAACAGTATTTGTTATTGGAAGTTAAGAATTTGTTACAGACGCAAGAATTTGTTACAGATGCCAATTGCCAACCGCCGCTACAAAAAAATGGAGACCATAACAATATGTCACCACTTTTTGGTGGTGAGCAGTATGGGGTCAACCCAGTTGTCCGAAACCCAGTTCTCCGAAACCCAGTTGTCCGAAACCCAGTTGTCCGAAACCCAGTTTTCCGAAACCCATTTTTCCGAAACCCAGTTCTCCGAAACCCAGTTCTCCGAAAATTAAAAAATTAAATTTCTTAGTAACGAATCTTGTCGCAACCTCGTGAATCAGGACAGGATAACATTGGTATCACGTTGACATCGGTTAGCCCGGTCAATAATGGGTCCGAAAGTTCACGATCATATATATATTCTTACTAGATTCTCGGCACATAGACTTACAGTGTATATGGACATTCTACAAATTTTGAACCGCATTGTCCAGGACGAATCACACTCCTTCTTGTTGAAAATTCAAGACTGCCGCCAACATTTTAGACAATTATCACAGTCGGAGAGAATATTCTGGCGAAAGGAACATCTATCTCATTAGAATAACGTATGGACGTCCGTGACAATTATATTCATTTGATGATTTTTTTCATTCCCTTTTCTCAATAAAATATGGTTAATTATGTTTTCCAATATCAATTGATAATATTTCTACCCTGAAAAATATCTAAAAAGAAGATTTTGGTTGTTCAGTACCACCCATTGTTAAGATTTCGTCCAAATTTTCGATAAATCAATAAAATATGCTCATTTCGTATAACTTATATATGTGGCATATATACATATCAGATGTCTATCCTTTTTTCATCATAATATAAGAGGTTTGTATGTTTTAGTAGAAACGTATTCCTTTCCAAACATTTAGATTTAAGAATTTCTCCCATTGGTGATATTGTTCAAAATCAAAACTGTGTTTTTGCGATATATTGAACTGTTGAAGTAAGTGTGTAATAGTTTGTAGTAGAGCCAAGATTTGATCTGTATCATGTACGTACCCTGCATAAAAAAAATTCGTTTTTAGTGTGCCATAGATGTCAACCATTAACTATTGCAGAATCAAAAAAAGTTTTGTGAAAAATTAGGATAATGTTTAAAAATTATACACCGGACAATAAATAACTACTCAATGCAGACAGGGAGTTTTAATTGCCCAAAAACTGAGTATCAAAATGCATTTGTATCTCTTTAGTATCTTGCATGACTCGTTCATATGAATTCTTTATTTCTACCTCGTTCCCAATACATTCTGAGACAGTTCAACCTTTGCCCCACGTCCTGTTCGTCGTTAGTACATTGTCACTCGATATAATTGCCACGCGGTCCTAACTTCGACCGTTAATTTGAATTTTTGACGTACCGGATATTTGAAAATCAAGGATTACGAGTCTCATACTGCACCGTTTTTCTTCAAACTTGTTCCATTCAAAGCATGACAAAAATCTCTTTCTGGTGGTACGTCATTATCTTAAACAGAGTTCCTACTTCCAGCGTAATTTTGGTCCCCAGCTGTAAGAAGGCCTTCTAACAGCTGGGGAGTGTGGACCAAAACGCTGCTAGAACGAGAGACTCTTTACAATAAAGTAATGCACTGACAGAAGTGCAATTTTGTTTTGCTTTTAATGGTTTAATGGAAGAAAAAAGGTGCAGTATCAGACTCGCAATCCTTGATTTTCAAGCATCTGGTAGGTCAAAAATTCCAATTAACGGTCGAAGACCGCGTGAAAGGGTAGTAAGTAGACCCCAAACGGTTCTAAGTACTTCTAATCCGTCCATACAGTTTAAGCCCGTTCTCGAGAGCATAGTGAGAACTAGTTTGGTGTGATAATAGGGTCAGATACTGAAAGTGTAAGCATGGACGACCTCCAACCGTCCAATGAATACAGTGGGTTCAGAATCAGAACGCGTTTCAGACGGCGTTCTGAAACAGCTCACTATAGCTTATTCCTTAAATTTTGGCCTGAATGCTTTGTACGTTGAGAGACGGGACGGGACACGACAAGTGTGACAGCGCCATTAGCATTAGGCGCACGATGGGCACATTTTAACTTGGTATGAGTAGGGGGTAATTTATGAGGATCAATAGGACTCAGTCGGATTCAAAATGCAATTTTTTATTTTATCATTGGTTTTCATTTTCTGTTCCTGAAGAATAACGTGGATTGCATATGTGTCCCCGATTTGTGGGAGTTACACCCCAGTCACATTTCCAACGGCCACCGTGCGGTCTATCATTTCTGCGGCCAATAGCTTTTCCACGCTCGCCGTAGAAATTCTGCGCTCTCATACTTTTGCAGTCACATTTCCCACGGCAGCCGCCCGGTGAATTTTAAATTTCTGTTGATAAATAATACTTTTTTCATTTTATTTACATCAGGGCAATTTATAAATGTTATTCATAGTGCTAGGATGTAATATCAAATGAAAAGTGATCGTGAAGCTAGTATTTAGCCTAATAAAAACTGTCGAAAGATAAAAATACAGGTGATACAGATCTTCAAATAAACAAAGTTAAATTATGCTATTCTCATTGCAAAGTGGCGTTTACATATTAACATACATAGGGGTCTACAATTTTTAAACCAATTTTCTTTATGCCCCATGGGGCTTTTTGAGAGGGAACAACATTTTTCCAATGTGTGATGGGCGTTCATAAAAGGGAAATAGTTTTCCCAAGCCAGTGGGCATTTATTGAGTAAAGTTGACGTGTACATCTTTTGAAACCAAAAATTATTCTTCATTTAGGTACTCTGTTCGAGAAATAGAGATTAAATTCAAAAAGATGAAGTGAGTACATGGCGAAAATGAAACTTCTTGCGAATGGGAGAACATCCAATTTGATACGAGGACAGCCTGTCTTCGTTTCCAGTTAATCCCAAGTGATTACGTTTAGAATGTTTTGTTCTTTTACATTTTACGATTTGATAAGAGACAGAGACTAAGAAATTAAATGCGACGAAACATTTTGACAACGTAATATGTGTACTGTTTATTCTTAAAGTTTTATGCGTTAACTTATTTTATCGGTTTCAAAATGTTTCATTTTATTTTGCCTATATAAAATATATTGAATAAGATAAGATCAACTGTTTCGTAATATATATTGTGTTTTGATGACCTTTTTTAGAATCACAATGTAAAATAAATCCCCCGTTCCTGTCATTCTGGTAACGCCGTGTAATGGATGCAATTCAAAGTGAGAGAGAGATCTATACATCAGAATGCGTCCATGCCATTAATTTTGCCAAATACATGACATGAAACTGGCTTGAGGTGCGTCCCCCGTTATCTGGTAAATTATGACTAAATTTTTCGGACAACTGGGTTTCGGACAACTGGGTTTCGGACAACTGGGTTTCGGACAACTGGGTTTCGGACAACTGGGTTTCGGACAACTGGGGTGCACCCGAGCAGTATAAACTTCTAGTCAGAACCCCATTTCAATAACTCTGTGGGTAGAGTTGGAAAGTAAATACATAACAGTTCACTATAAACATATGTGTATGAATAAAATGTACTGGGAAACTTGATCATGGTTCAAAGAGTCACAACATCAAACCAGAAGGCACTAGCAAACAAAACTTTATAAATATGAATATAAAAATTACTTTTGTCAGCTTCTGTTGACTTTCTTCTTGCTATATCAGTTCCTATAGCACTTGAAACTGCCTTCCCAAATAGACCTAGAAATACAATAAATCAACAGAAACAGATAATCAATACCAAGATGAATTTTGACATGAAATAAATCAATTGAAATTAACAAAAAAAAGTAACAAAAATCCATATGAAAAGAGTGATGCAAGACTGATGTAACTCTTCAGGTAATATTTTCTGGGCAACATTTTAATGCACATGATATCCCAGAGGATTTTGGACTTATATGACCGCTTAATATTGAAAAGAAATGGGCATGTGAAGATATTTTGAACCACCATTTTTTTCTGTAATTCTTTGTCATGCAACAATCATTCTCGGCTGTATTGCATCATTTAAAACTTGACTCATGTGATAGTGTATTTCAGTAAAGCTCACCAACTGGTTTTCGTTTTATCATCATACGACGTGATGGACTTGAGTTGTTTTCTCTCTCTTCATCAACAGCTACACCAGGATCTGCGTCTTCATCTGCAGCTGTTGAAACAAACACAACTGTAAACAAAAAATAGTGGATCATGTTTCATATACATGCTGCTGTTATTTCATTATTTGATCAATTTTGTTGCCCTAAAACTTTAGCCTTTTTAATTTACTTTTAGGATTGTCACCTCTCAAAGACATATTCCAATGCTATCTTATTCTTAGTTGTACAGGGCTCTCACCAGGAAATATTTAGGGTGTAGTGCTAACATCTTCAGAATAACAGTTCAATTGTGATAAATCATATTTATGTTATGTTTTATCCTTTTTACATGCTATTATTGTATATTCTGTCGAGTTAAGACTGTGGAAACCGTCATGGTTTGCCAATAGGCTGTGGAGGGAGCTAAATAGAGTGTGGTGCTCACCACAGCCTAAAAGCCTGGCGAGAGCCCTATTGTAACTGGATATCAATGAATTAGTGATATAGTTTATTTCACACCTTACCTGGATTAGACTTTAATGCTGGTTTTCCAAATAAACCTTGAGTAGATCCCGATGGGTGACTTTTGCCGAACAGGCCTTCATTTGATGGTTTAGTGTCACTTTTAATTCCAAACACTCCCTTTGGTTTAACATAGCTTTTCTTTATTTGGGGATTTTGAGATGTTGATGATTTTCCAAACAAGTTCTGTTCAGTGTTAGATTCCGCAGTTAAAGGTTTTTGTTCAGTTGTAGATTTCGCAAATAACCCAGTGGGTTGATTTCCTGTGGTACCAAACGTAGCTTTTGAATTTGAAACACTTTTTGTTTTTGATTCGAACAAAGGTAAAGTTTGTTTTGATCCAAACACATTTTGTTGATCTTTCGTGTCTTTCTTTGAAGATTCATTAGCAGTAGAAGAAACACTACTTGATCCAAAGCCTGAACTTTCTGTTGTACTTCCCGGCCCAAATCCTAATGGTGAACTACCAAATGTGCCAGAGGAAGCATTAGTTGAACCAAATGTCTTTGATGCATTAGATTCTCCGCCAAATAGTACTGATGTTGCATTTGAAGCTGATGGTTTTGCACGTCCTGCAGAAAATGGAAATGCAGGTGAATTAAATGCACCTTCGTTTGTGGCTGTTGATCTAAATATACTTGGAGCTTTTGATGTCTGCCCAAAGGCAAAGGTAGCTGAACCAAATTTACTGGGAGCTGAAGTTGTTGAACCAAGCTTAACTCCAGCAGCTGGTGTTGAACCAAATGCAGTTGGAGTAATTGAACCAAATGCCATTGGAGCAGATGTACTTGAACCAAATGCAGTTGAAGTAGTTGAACCAAATGTCATTGGAGCTGATGCAGTTGAACCAAATGCACTTGCGCCAGATGTGTTTGAACCAAGCCCACTTTGAGTGGAAGCTGTTGAACCAAATGCAGTTGATGCTGATGTTGTAGTGCCAAATCCACCAAGTACTGGAGGACTAGTTTGTCCAAATGAAGAAGACCCAGTTCCAAATGAACTTGATGATCCAAATGGGCTGGGGGTACTTCCAAATGTAGAAGTTGTTGATGTCATACTTTTAAAAGCATCAGGCTGGCCACTTTGCTGCCCAAACATTGTTGTTGATGTGGCATTTGGTGCTTGTCCGAATGCATTAGATGGTTTCTCTCCAAATGGATTTGATTGTTGATTGTTTCCAAACATTTTAACTTCTAGCAGGCCAATATCCTGTAATAATGAAAAAGCATAATGTAGGATATCATATCACACAGGAAAAGCATGCAGGTATTCAAATTAGATTTATAGTAAAACAGAGATCTTTCTGATCATGCCGATTCCATATCTTCTTAAAAATGATTTTCAGACAAGGAGGATTGGCTCCCAGAATGCAATCTCAATATCATTCTGTTTCATTTGTATACATACTAAGCCCCAGATATTAAACTAGAAAAACAGCTACTCCATGGAGTAGCAAATCCCACTGAACAAAACATGTTTTAATAAATAGCGGCCATATAAAAGTTGAGCCAAATCCATCCACTGGTATTTGAATTATCAAAGATTATGTTTTAATGAAACATGGTTGCCATTTTCAGCTGTCATCTTAAGATTTCTTCTTTAGCAGAGCTCCTAAGTCCCAAGGCATCAGAATATACAATTTAATCCAAATCCGTCAACTGGTACTTGAGTTATCAAGGATTACAAGTTTAATGAAAAATAGCAGAGATTTCGATAAATAGCAGCCACCTTGAAAATTCTCAAGCAGAGCTCCTTTATCTCTAGGCATCAGTATATAAAATTTGAAGTAAATCCGTCCAATGGTATTTGAGTTATCAAAGATTACCTTTTTTATGAAAAATGGCAGTCATTTTGAAATTCAGCTGACGCCTTAGAAATTTCTTCTAAAGCAGATCTCATTTTTTCGAAAAATGGCAGCCATTTTGAAATTAAGTGGCCATCTTGAAAATGTCTTCTTGAGCAGAACTTCTTTGTCTCTTAGAGGCATCAGCATATAGAATTTGAACTAAATCCGTCAACTGGTATTTGAGTTATCAAAGGTTACATTCTTTTATGAAAAATGCCTGCCATTTTCAAATTTAGGCCATTTTGAAAATCCCTTTTCGAGCAGAGCTCCTATGTCCCTAGGCAGCAGCATGTAAAATATGAACCAAATCCATTCAATGGTATTTTAGTTCATAAAAAAAACACAAAGTGCTCATCAATACTGGCTACCAAGATACATCATCAGTAGTCTCCCTTCCTCGGATTTCAGGGGCTACGCATGGGACTTTGCCCATACTTAGACTGTATCTGATTATTATTTGGAAGGTGCCCCCGGCAGAGGTTAAACCTCCACCTGTATCTCTAACGGTTGGCCTTGATGTTATTTGCCTACTGTGAAGATATTGGTATTGGAAAAACTCCTCGTTTGGTGCTTTGTCAGTTGGTAGATGTTTCTTTCTCAGCATTGAATACTGTTCTGTTCTGCATGCAGGAGGTCCATAGTGTGAGGTTCAAAGGCTCTGTGGGGTTAATCCTGGCCAGGTCCCTCTACGGCTCAGGTAACTATTAAATCACTGCATTGCTACTTCTTCTCAAAAAGAAATCTGTTATCAAAGATAACGTTTTTTTACGAAAAATGGCCACCATTTTGAAATATGTTGGCCATCTTGAAAATGTCTTCTTGAGCAAGGCTCCTTTGTACCCAGGCAACAGCATATAAAATTTGAACCAAATCAATTCACTAGTATTTGAGTTATCAAAGATTATATTTTTCCGAAAAATGGCCAGTCATTTTGAATTATAGGCCATATTGAAAATTCCTTCTCGAGCAGAGGTCCTACACCAACTAGATAATGGCAACTCCGCAAAGTAGCAAATCCCAACGAACAAAATATCAATTACCGAATTCCAATCAATTATACTCATTACTTTGGTTAAAATTGAAAAATTTGGATTTTAGAATTGCGAATTCCTGCAAAGCAGCCATTTTGAATTTTCTGAGGTACAAATCTGAAAAATATTACCATAATTGTGATCTACTCCAAAATTCCTTCAATTTGAGTATTATATAGCCATACGTTGAAGGGATCGAAAAATTATTGCGAAATCGTACATTAGACGGCCATTTTGAATTTTACTAGGCTCGAATCAGAAAAAAGATACAATATTTGCAATCTACTCTTAATTGCCTTTCATTTGAGTATAATAAAGCTATACTTCAGAAAGATCTACAAATTAGCGAAAATTTCTGTTTTCCTGACCCCCCATACACGGCCCCTGGGGGTCAGGATGAAAAACACGGAATATATGTGGAATAGATAGATGTTGCGAATATACTACCAAAATTTCAAACAATAATATTAATTACTTTGGTTTAGAATGGAAAATTTATGATTTTTGCGAAAAAATCCCGTCATTTTTAAAGCGGCAGCCATCTTGAAAAAACTTTTTTTGCGTAAAACTTTTCATCAATATACATCTCTCCACCAAATATGAAGAAAATCCGTCTACTAATATTTGAGTTATCTTCCGGACGGACGGACGGACGGACGGACTGACTGACGGACTGACAGACTGACGGACTGACGGACGGAGGGCTTCACTATATCCCTACCGAACTTCGTTCGTTGGGATAATAAGGCATAAGCCTGTAAAATTTGAATGAAATTCATCAACCGGTATTTGAGTTATTGCCCAGACACAGGGACAGACGGACGAACTGACTTTTTTCTATCTTAGCAATGAAAAATGTTCATGCGGACCCGCAATTTCAGGTTGACGGTAATGCCCATTCATAAACTTCTTACATGACAGCGCTTGCATTAGGTTAGAAAATTTGTGAGTCCCAAGGACGCAATTTTTTTAAAAAAGTGTGTCCTTTGAAAAAAAAGTGTGTCCCCTATTTCTAGCCTGTTTTGAGGTATAACTTTTTTAAAAGCATTTTTTACCAAATCACCTTGAAGTTAATTTTGTCACATAATTGTCTTTGCTTCAACACAACAATAGGTCAGTAAAACATCTTTCCAATGTTACTTTCAGTTTTTGATTTCTTGCCGTGAATTCAAAATGGAAGTAAACGTTAAGTACGGACTGAATAAATGCATTTTCGTTCATTCGACAATGAATACATTTTATTTCATGAATAACCTAATATTTGTTTCTGAATAGGAAAAACTGTTGCGTGTCATGGTTTCAAATGACTTTCCGAATTTTCCAGCAAATGTGTGACAAATACGCAAATTGCGGGACAGTTGGACGGCCTGCACACAGTATCAAGATTTTATTGAATTTCAAAATAATCAGAGTCTAGATTTGTACTATTGTTCATTAGGAGCACAGTCAGAGAGAATGTTTCTGGCGAAATTCTGGGATTTCAAATACTTGAAGTAAGGAAACCGGAAGGGCTTACCTTTTTTAATTCCCGAATCTCACCGAATCTCTCCGAAATTAGCTCATCTTGGTGACTGTAAATTGCACAGCTGTATTCAATGGAGTCTTGTCATATTCAATCAGCCTCAATTTTAAAGTGTATATTTTATTTTCAACGTGATTTCATCGTTTTTTGTCGACTGGTAAGAATACGCTGGGCAAATGGCAAGATGGATGACTTTTGACCTGACCTACACCGATGGCGGTGACGTCATCAATTTTATCTATACAAATTCTATTTGGTCACGTGACCTTGTGCCAGAAGTCCGACTTTTTGGTCAGTCGACCTGTTCAAAGTACATTTAGTAATAATTATCGCTTTTCAGAACAATTTAGGAAACAATATTTTCTATCTACGTCGATTACAAAGCATCTAAGGTACGTAAATTTATATGAACAACTGAGTCAATAGGGATAAATAGCCCAACGAGAGTCGGCGGTCTTAAAAAATACTTGGATCTGGATGCCAGTCCTGGTATAGATATAGTTCCAGGGCAGTTCGAAGAACGTATTAGATGTCCGTGATTAGGAGCACAGACCCCGAGCCAGATCCAGTTCCCATTGGTAGTAGGCTCAATATATGTGTGGATTAGAGATGAAGCTAACAACAGTACGTACTGTTTGAGGTATGACTCCAAAATAGAGGAAATAAAAATTTTCTGAAGAATTGTGTCTTGTCCTGGGGTATATGCATTGAGCCTACTACCAATGGGAACTGGATCTGGCAGAGGTCCGTGATTTGGAGTGTCTGGGACAATATCAAGATTGCATTCTGGTAGTCCAACAACATTAGACCTAGCCCGGGCCTCGTTTCTTATCTGACATGTGTTCTGGCCCGGCTAGGTCTAACCTCCATGACCATTTTGCCTTTGATGCGTTAATTTAATCGTTCAGCAGGTTTAGACAAGCGGAACTAATTGAACCCTGAAAACATAGCAATATTACACAAAGAATGTGATTCAAGCATGCATACAAACCTTATAAACACATACACCCCGTCCCGTATCCCCCTTAGACCCTATTGATGCATAATTACGAAAATATTGGAGACAGGTTTGGAATATGACGAAAATGTCGGTCAGTTTCAGTAACATCGAAATTGCAAATCGTTTCAGGAATTAACCGTCATCACGGCACTGCATTAACGAACAGTTGGTTTGCAATTAATAACTATTTTGCGTGTATATACGCGCTTTATAAATTAATCAAAGATACCTGTTATCCTCAAAATTGATCTTTTTATCCCAAGTAATCGCGATAATAATTATCATTCTATTTGACAACAATTTCGTTTCGCTGGTAGTTTAATTTTACGATCAGGGACACTCAGACGAACAGACACAATGACGGACATGCGGAAATGTCACTTCAGAGATTGGTAAGTGTAGCCTCATTTTACTCGTATAAATGAACATTTAACACAATAATATTGTGTTAAATCGCTTGATGTTATGTGTTTTTATATTATTGTCAAGTATCAGTTGCACGTTATCGCGGAAAAATGGTTTCGATGGATTCAGAACTTGCATCAAAGGAAAGAATAGTAAGGAGGTTAAACTCAATAATGGCCCCAAGAAAATTCCTAATAATAAAGAACGCCGTTATTGAGTTTAACGACGTTGAACTAGCATTCTGGGAGCCAATCATCCTTGAATTATGAGAATGAAAAATCTCCAAAATGTTGCTTTATTTGACACCAAGTTATAGTCCGTTTAGTAAATTGATCATCAGTAAATCATATATAGATATATCAATCATTAAAAGACTATACATATGTTTGAAAATAGGATCATATTTTTGAGCTCTATATGGTTAAAAACTAGAAAAACTTACTTTCTCAAAGATTTTTGAAAATTTCATTCGGCGCCATGACAGTTTCGGAGCAAATTTTTCTAGCCTAAAAACTCATTTTTTCCAGATAGCAGAACTAAAATTCTCTTTCAATGACCTCAAATATTGTTTATGGTAATATTTTATTTTTATCTATATATATAAATTACTTCAATGGCTTATTAGAAATCAAAAATATGGTTTATTCACTGCGTTACTGCTTGGTAAAATCAACATGGCTTTCGTTGGCCGAATGTTTGAAAAGATAAAATCTTGGATTGCGTGGTCTTGGACATATCTGTGGGCTGTGTGGTTTATGCTGGTTGTTTTTGTTGTGTACATCTTGCGTGGACCATTGAAATTGAACGACAACGTTACCTCGGGTAAGTTAGTTTTCCTTCTTGCTTACCAAAACAGAAAACTGGAGAAACTGAAACTAAAACAAGGCCCACAGGCAAGGAGGATTGGAAGCCAGGGTTCCAACTCGATATTCTTTAATCTCCACGCATGCGTCATTTGCTTTTCGTGTCTGTATAATTTGTACGACTGCATGGAGAATCACCCGATACTCTCCAACAAAGCTATCGCTAGGTGATTGTTTTGCAGAATATCGGTGTTGCATTCTGGGAGCCAATCCTCCTTGGCCCACAGGTAAATAATAATGAGTATGTTTGCTAGGGCCAGGTCACAAACAACTACTTACATCGAGTCGGGTCAGAACTAGTGTTGTCACGATGTGCCATAATAGTACATCGATGCATCGGCAAATTTCAATTGTAAACATCGATGCACATCGCGATGTAGTCATATAAATCCGACCATCGTATGCTTTATTTGTCATTATTTTTTGATAATTTGGATATTTATTTTTTGTTATTTTCTTGCATACTAGGGTCGTACACACTTCCCGGTTGTAAATCGAGGGAAATGCTTTCCTGGCCTGTTTAGGCAACCAAAATCACACAAATTGTGTATTAGAATATGCTCTTCATCGATAATGTATTTAATCCTACCTTACACACGTCAAACGCTTGATAATTGAAGAAGTATAAGAATTTTTCTGGAAACAATTTTTTTCCCCATGTGTAGATGCATTCTGGGTAATGATTGTGTAAAAGTAAAACTCTAGGTGAAGCGAAAAAAACGAAATTACCATAAATAACAGCAGCCATATTGAGATCGAGATTTCAACTCGAAAGTTTATCATCGTCTTATGACAATTGAATCGCCTTCTCAGACACCAAGGAGGGTGAAGAAACCGAAAACAGATATGTTGGTAATAAATAATTACGATTTCGTTTTGGTTGCATGGTTTCACATTTAGACTGTATTCAGTGACCTTGAGTGACCTTGAGAACCATATTGGAAATTGGTTCAAACATATACGAAAATGATTACATTTAAAAATAAAAAACAAATATCCAAATCGTCAAAAAGAAACGTGAAACAACAACATTAAGTCGAGTTCACTTGACTAATCGCGATGTATACTAGGAAAAGTCTTACCAAATTTTCCGCCATAATAAGATAAATTAAATTCTGAATGCAACAAGTAAATAATAGACAAGATTTTAGCAGATTTCAGAACACTCAGGAATATCGCAAAATGCTTTGTGCAGGAATTGAGAATCAACAATGACATTTACAGCCCATTTCTCCAAAAATAAAAAATCAGGAGACCATTGTGCAATAATATATGGAAAAGTATATTCATATTGTAGATGAATGACATTTGTATATTTCAGATTATTTAGTTTTTTTGTGCAATAAGCCAGTAGATTCTATACCCTCTTGTAATTTAACCTTTAGCGTGCTGCCGGCGGACTCGTCCGCCGAGACTAAAATGTCTCTCACAACTGCCGGCGGACCCGTACGCCCGATTTCAAACTTTTAAAAACTTTACTTTTTCGCGCCATTCGTATTGTCCAATTAGATTGCCCGATTTATTCAGTGCCTAACATGACTTCCTGTTGACCTAGAAATGGCGATATTTCGAAAAATAATTCTCAATTCAACAATTAAACAGTGTTTTAGTCGTTTTTAGTGAACGGATCGTACAAAATGGTGGACAAATACGATCACAACGAAAATGTGGAGGAAATGGATTACGATTTCGAGCTCTTTAGGCTCTTGGAAGCCGATAACGGTCATCGAAAATAGAAACTAGAATATTTTCTGAATTGAAAAATTGAACATTCTATCGCTGCAAATTCAGATTTGGATTCTGACCAGACGAAGAGGCGGAGCGGCGGATTCCGGAGGAGTATTCATGGTATATTTATGCCCAGTCGTGTTAATGTACGAAAAAATTCATGAGAACATTTTTTTCATGAGCCAGGCCACTGTATCTTCCCTTTGTGAAAATTTTATCCAGATTCATTCAGTAGTTATTGAGATATTAATTATTTAGTCCAGGTATATCATTTTTTGCACTCTTTGAAAAATAAGCCAGTTGCGTGGGATATATTTGCTGAAATAAGGCAGCATGGTAAAGGTTAAAGAATTTCAGCCATGCTAATCTTTTTGAAAATATTATGGCAGAGAAGCATCAAAATATAAGAGGCCACAAACTTTATAAGCCAAACTAGAAGCAATCCAAGATATACAAATGTCATTTATGTACGATAGCCAGCCAGTAATGCCATTGGTACTTGGCAGCATACTTCTTGTAAAATTGTATATAAAATTGTAAGATAAAGACAACTAAAATAGAACAGAATAGGAATATTTTCCATATATTATTGCACAATGATCTTTTGATTTCTTATTTTTTAGGTTTTACTGACAAAATAAAACAATGAAATGGGCTGAAGGGTATTTGTTTGTTTTATTGTGGATTGAGTAGTATGTGCACTGCATCAAAGATAATGTGGTAATGTTATAACTTTGATTCACAATCTCATCAAATGACGCCTTGACAACTGGCCATAAAAGGTAATTTAAGGTGGAGCATGCATCGTTCAAAAGTTTGCATGATACCCCAACTCCCTCCCCCTACGTCGGTATGGATGGGGAATTTGACAAAAAAAAATTTTGCCTGTCTTATTCTTTACCCCTGAGCCGAATAAATGTGTCAATTTTCCAACCCTGGGGGCAATAAATCTGATCAAATATTCCCAAGCTCCCAGCCCCCCGGAATTTACTTTTTTTAAACATTTACTTGCTTGTAGTATAGAGAAACAGCATTTTTAAATGATGTAATTACCAGCGTAATTAAAAGCCAACGAGAATACACCTGGTTCTAATGATGTTTTCAACATGATATGATAATATCCTCTCATAAAATATCTGTTCAAATCGCCTGAGAGTTTTGACAAAAATGAGCCGGGAAGGGGCATAGTATTAGTATTTGTTTTGTATTTATTCTACAAGCTGGGGCTATATTGACGTCAGACATCAGGTATATATTCAATGATAGGGACATAATTGCTTAATATGTACTTTTGCTGTTAATCTCATCATATACATGGGTGACATCTATAAACCCAGCAAGGACAATGTTGTATTTCATATCTATTATAAGCTTTGGCAATTAAATTTTCTTTGATAATGTGACTTCTTGGTCATGTAGATTTTCCATAGACCCCATGTTATAAAACCACAAAAAAAGAAATATTGTTCCTCGTATTGGACGGATATATTTCCATATATTGGGCAGATAACATTTTGTTTTACTGGACATATTTTCATTTGTACAATTATCAGGTTCATAAATGTAATATGAAAATTGATTCACTAAAACTGATGAATATTCAAGTTTTTTTCTACTAAAATGCAATGCTATCAGACCCAAATTAGCCGCCTGGTGGTGAAACTGGTAACTACTCAATGGCATCTTGATTATTGTTTAATAATGACATTTTGTTGAAAATGTTTAATGTCTCTTGATTCCTCCTCAGTTTTGCACATAAAACTGGTTGGTATTCAAAGTTAAAACATTTATGGTTGATTAAATTTGTATTTTGGTGATTCCCAACTACATGTATAATGTCAGAGCAATGTAACCTTTCAGACCAACATCTAGTATAACATGCAAACAGAGTGTTTTGGGGAAACTTTCAACTGCAGTATGCTCATGCTCTTGCACACGCTAGTGGCATTGTGTTAGATTACCTCAGGGCAGACAATGTGGACTAGCTACCATCTGCACCTGGTGCAGTCACCTGGTGCAGTCACCTGAAGTCACCTGATCAGGCTCTTATAGAGCACATTGTGGAAGGACCTTGATTGGATGATCCGTGACTTGGATCCCCACCTCAAAATTTCCACTGCACTAAGTTTTGCACTACCCGGATTGAGGAAAGGGACCTTATTTCACATAGAAAGATCAGATATTTCAATGATTGCGGGTTCCGCAGGTTTGGTGCTCTGATTGCAGCACAGGGAGAACATACCACATATTAGTGCCATCATGGGATTGAGAACTCATCCATCTTCAGAACCTATGTTTACCTTGTTTGATTTGCTTTACATTACAATTTTGATCGGGGTGTTTTGAAAATGCAAAAATTCTTCCGATACCCCTTGTTTAAGTGATAGTAATTCAACTAAAAAGTAAAGATTTTTAGATGAAACACGTGCACTCGTTCACTTTGCTCTCTCGTGCAGATATCAATATCACCTCGTAGATAAAAATGATATTCTTCAAAATCATAGGATATCCTATAAATATAATTTGCTACAGATTGTCTCTTCATGATTTTCTCCACTTGTATTTATAGTGGTGTTTAATTTTACTCTACGGGTCCAGGTTTTATTACTACTTTGGGAATCAAAATGTGATAATGACAATGTTATCTCATTCTGATACTCATAGCATCTTTTTGTTACACCTGAGGGCTGAGAAGAAATGAGATGTCATGGTTTATCATGACGATGTTGTCTAATTATCACGTAACAATTATTAATTAGCAGATCTTTAAACAACTTGCTGTGTATAACTGAGAAATGGAATTATCACATCAATTCAAAAGTAGCATGGTGTGAATGATGTAATTATTATGCAACTGAAAAAAGTGAAGAAATTTGAATAGAGATAAATAGATCTAGTCTAGCTATAAGTCCTTGTGAGCCCCCCACCCCTCCTTTAACCCCCCCCTCCATTAACCCTCCCCCCCCCCCCCCCGAGAAGGGGTGTAGTCAAGTAGTGGGAGGGGGTCACATGTCACAGGGGCTTGTAGCTCGATTAAATAGAGCAGGCATCTTCTTTTAGGATGAAAATGTGATTGTTGTTTTTGGAATTTAGAAATGAAGATTTCGATTCATGGAAATAATTTGAATATAAACAACATAGAGGGCAGTAGTATCAACATATATATTCTTTTATTGACTCTTATATATGTCAGTCTCTCCGACACATGGGTCACAATGTCACCAGTCTTATGTCTGTTTATTAAAAGTTTACCTTGTCCATGGTTTATTCTGTCATATAATACGTCACTATCATATTGTGCTTTTTTAGAACAAAAGAAAGTGTTGTTTACAGAAATTGTTAACATTGAATTGTAGAATCTTTAAAAGATTAAAGCCCTGCGGGATCAATGAATAGACTTGATGCAAGCATAAATAATCTTGATTAACATCATTAAATATTCAAAATTGTCAAAGTGATGTCATATTTGAAATCTATATGTAAAAGTACATCTAGAAATAAGGTTTCAAAAATTTCAAAATGTGACTTCTAGTTCGGGTTGATTCCTCATAGACCCATTGTTACAAAATCACAAAAAGTGAAGTAAATTTTCTTGTATTGGACAGATAACAACATGGTGGATCGTTTTAAGAACAAACATCTTATATCATCTAGGATACTGTTTTCTGATTTGCATGAATTTTATACATCATTCTTAATTTCGTGATATTATTTTGATCACTATTTTGTCTATTAACTCTGTTATTCTGATAAATAGGGAATTATGAATATACGAAAGACAAAAATTATGATTGCATCTACGTCATACTTAATTGAGCTTAATAGAAAATACCTGAACTGTATATATTATTTCATATCATATCACAAGATAATAATCATTTCATGATAGATAGGAGAAAGTAACTAAGGGGCCCGATGTCAATCTATAGTACTATGTGTTCACCTACAGTCTGTTACACTGCTTCAAAGCGACCAGTTGAACCTAAAAAATCAGAAAGCTTAAGATTATTGTGTAATAATATATTGAAAAATATATTCATATTAGACACAAATGGCATTGAGTATCTCAGATTTTCTGTGTTTAGTGCAATAAGTTTATACCCTCTAGTAATTTGAGGTCTATCCACCATGTTATTTTTTCAGAATTAAAATATATAAGGGTTATGTACTAGGAGGTTTTGGATATGGGGTTTATCCAGAGGGAGATATGCATATCTACCTGAGGGACCGTAGGTAGATGTGCATATCTCACGAGGGATGAACCCAATATCCAAACCGACCGTACATAACTGCTTTATCCTATACCAAGTAGAGTTTTCAGGGGCATATGGCCATTTCAATAGTACAAGGTGTAAAAATAAACAAATCATTCATATGCAAAGTCATTTTATTGCATTTCCACTACTTACCGGAAGCGGGAAGATATGCACCGAAGCGGGAGATATGGAGGTTCTGGATATGGAAACCACAAAATCAGAATACGGGATATATCTTACCAACTTATCTCCCTAAAACTCTACTTGGCATAGGATAAAGGAGGTTACAGACTTTATTGTCTAATTCACAAACTATCCAAGAGATACAAATACATGTATCATTTGTGTGTAATATGAATATATTTTTCTATATATTATTGCACAATAGTCTTTAGATTTCTTATTTATTATTTAGGTTCAACTGGTTGCTTTGAACAGACTGTAGAAACATTTTAAAATAAAACTTCAAAAATAAAGATTCAAAATACCACAGTGCTGTAATATATAGAAAAAATATATTTGTATTATTCATGAATGACATTTGTATATCTTGGTTATATAAAGCAGATTTTAACAGAAAAAATTGTGATCAAATACATTTCATTATAACAGTATTTATGTCTGATAATTTTTTAACAGTTTGTGAGGGCAACTTATAGACTCTTGACCTTACAAGAAATCTCCATCAGTAAGCATAATACTCATTATGTGTACTGTAAAACATTGTTTATTCATAATTTTATTTTATATTACCTTGTTGAAAATCTCATCTTCATGAACTCCATTCACCCAAGCTGATAAAAAGATGTTGACCAAACAATATTTTATGCAAGGGTCATGTATGGGAAACAGCTGGTTGTGATAGAAACCCTAACTAAAAATTTTCATGTTTTCAATTTTTCAGTCAATATTCAATCAAAAATCGAGAGTGAACTGAGTTATAAAATATACAGTTTAACTATAAACATCTACACTTTTTTGGCAAGCAAATTGGCTTATTCAGTATTTCAACATTATTATTCAATAGTAAAAAATTGCTAGAGTTTTCCACTTACTTAGCAGTAGGTCAATCAACACAGTAGAGGGAAAGATGGATACATAATATGTATAACATAAGGAACGAATATCAGTTTTGTTCTCTGTTATATCCTGATAGCAACAAAGCAATGACTTTAAAACTTGTCTGAAGTGAAAGTATGTACAGCAAATAGATATATGAAAGATTTTCTGTGCTAAATGTGCCTTTAAACTAACTGGATAACATCATATTGATGGTTTATAGCTGATGAGTTTAGCCTGACCTGAAAGCTGTGTATGTTGAGATGATAAAACAGGCATAATGAGAAATTACAAAAAGCCATATTGGATATAAGGAGCTAGCTGCGTCAGTTCTGAGCATATTGTGGGTTGTGGTTTCCTATAGGACAGAACAAGGTTAACCAGGTCTATATAGAAAGTGGGGGACTTTATTGTCTGTATATAAATTGAACAGTCTACCATATGGTGCTCTTGACTTAGTACAGTCGTATGCCTCTACTAAATCAATGTGAATAATCACTGTGGAAAATAGAATAGATGGTGAGTGTCCAGTTGTAGTAATATTAGTTATTACACTACACCGTTCAACCTAGTGAGCTGCTATACAGTAGGCTATCATATTGCTTTCAATTGTGAGGTCAGAGCGAAATTAAAGTAGACAGAAGATAGTGCAATAATACCTCCGTAATAATCAGTGAATTTGTAGAGACATTACACAGTAGCTGTAACATAAAACCTAATTGTTTCTGCGTCTTAATTGGATTGGATCTTAATAACGAACAAACGGAACATGTCTGCCATACAGAAAGCAATTGAAGCCTAAAGAAAGGATTATACATTAAAGAACATTGAATATATAATGATGATTAGTGCTTTTAAAGATCACTGTAAGCCACACTGAAACAATCAGCATATAAAGTGAAAAGGGGATCTGAAGCAATACGATTGATTAAGAGACTTTAATATTACATTCACGTATGTATTGAGCATCAGTAACAGCAGACACCGGCAGCATCTTAATGACATCATACCAGACTCTGACGGACAAAGGAAGGAGATATTAAATTAGTACGAGCACTGACGAAGATTTCTACCGGCTGCATACGGAACCCTGATGTTACTGGGATTATACTTTCTCGAAAAATTCACCATGTTGGATTGTAAGTGTTTTCCCACGAGTAATATATCAAATTGTCATACTTTCAAATATGAAATACAGTGAAATTTTATGAAATCTATAAGGAAAACAATCAACAGGCATGAAGATAATACTCTGCATCCAATAGAAATGCAAGAAAATTTGATACTTCATTCAAATCTTAAAGAAATATTGCGTGAAATATGTATACGGACTGGTAGTAGTTTGAAGTACTTCTACATACTGGTTGGTTCTGTTTATTTTTAGTCAGTAGTTTCGTAGCTTGTTACTATACCATTGATTTCAAGTAAAAGTAAAACAGTGGTTAACTTCAACTGTGATTAATGTTGAACTTAAAGGTATCCCATACTGCAACGCCATTCATCATATTGAAATTGTTGAAATAATGTACAAGTAGGAGTTATAATCATGCCCTTTGAATGAGCAAATATCTAAATAAAATGCATACGTTTACATGCATTATTTACCAAGCAGAAACAATTAAATGGTGAATGATAAAATAATGAAATGCAAATAGTTTACAATCGATCTAAAAATTGATTAGAAATTTGAATTATATCTCAATGTGATGTGAGCAATATGACAATTGTGTGTACAGGCTTCCCTTCAGTAGTGTTGATAGGAAAATCTGTGTAGAGATTTGAGTGTAAGGTCATAGGTGATTCACCTGGCTTAGAGGTACAGTATCTCCTTAAGGAGACAATGGGACTGTTTATAAACAGTTGTCTCAGCCGGGGTTGTCAGCCTGTTTCTTTCTAGATTAAGCTTACCAATACTTTTCCCTGGGCTTATGGTTATAGGCTATGTTGTAGTCAGTAGTCTTATGTTTGCCCATTTATTGATCTGAAATAGTTTGATCTAAGATCTAATGTTTGCTGGTCTTAGGTCTGATGTTAACTGATCATAGATCCGTTTTATTAGGTCTTATTTTAAGGTCTTATATTAGGTGATATTATATTATATGTTAAGGAATCAATTTCAGTCTTATGTTAGCTAACCTTATTTAAGGAAGTAGGGTCTTATCTACATGTATGATATTTAACAAAATTCAAAATCTTACAAATAAAGAGGCCTTTTGACTGAATCAAAAGTCATCATTAATCAATCCACATAGAAATCTACATTGCTCATATATAGTACTATTTAGGGTTTTTACAAATTTTATCAATGGAATTTGTAGCTAAGTATTTAAAAAGTACACTTTGCTGGAGTATATGCCAGTATATAGAATCAATTATGACAGGCATTTCCTGTTAAAATAATGATGTTAACCCTGGATACCCTTAATTTGTAAAAAATGTTTTGAATTATATTTACATGTTGTGTATATCATGAAAGTAGAAATGTTTTACCTGTTTCGGATTTATACTGAATGCCATGCTTTCCCTTTTTGAAAATCTTCATAATTACTGGCAATTACTTTGTTTAGGACAGTTAAACCGAAACTAAACACCATTTATCCATTTTTTCTGCATAAGACCCTGTATAGTGAACACTTGCCTATACTGATGAAAACTTCTTTGTGACTAAAAAATGTGCTTACAAGTCTATATACAGATACTGAAGTCAAACGAATGCAAAGGGTAAGGCTTGCTCTTATGCACTGCAACATCAAAGTTCGCTCTCTATCTGGGGATGATATAAAAGCGAGTGTGATTTTATTGGGTGATATCTGTCAGACTATGATGATTACATTGTTCATTAATCTGTGTAATATTACTTCAGTAGCAATTCATAATGCAATCACATACAAACATATTCTATTGAGTTTTATTGATATCCAGTTGACATTCTAGGCTTAAAATATCCATCTCCTCGTGCTTGTTCTACTTGATTGCTCTTGATAATTCAAATAAAGCATATCATTTTATGGCATTCCCTTACAATTTAGAGTGTTAACTACATGCCTGATTTATTTATTTCTTCTTAATTTGATTATTTTTTGTGTATTTTACATTTGGAAACATGACTGTTATGGTGATCGTAAAGGTATTTTACTCATAGGCAGTTGACATTGTTTATTCACAGATTTCAGGTTTACCAATAGATCAATAGAGAGTGCAGAATGTCATGGATATTGATGTTCTCACTTCCTCTCTTTATTACAAGTATTCCATCTCATTTCTGAATTTCTGGTATCGACCAATCTTTGACTGAAACAGCTTAACCTCTTGGCTCGTCACCTCAGAAATGACCTTGAAAGCCAGAGTGACGAGAAAATCCATCATAAGTTTTCACTTAAATTGCTCTTATTTAAAAAATTTTCATCCAATTTACACAAAAGTTGTTTAAAATGTGTAGAAATAATCTCTGCCGTCTAATTGTACTACATTGAGTATTTAAAGTTGTATAGGTATGTAGTAAAATGTCAAAAGGTGGCAAATATGAAATTTTTCCGGTTTCAACCAATTTTAGAGCCTGGGATTCAAGAGGTTAAGTACTTGCTTCTTTGGAACATTGATACCACTGCTCTTGAATTCCTTTAATATATTCTGATAAATAGAGATTATTTACTTGGAGGGATTGATTATGGGTTTTATACAGTCCAGATATGGTATATCCTGAGGTGTCGAAAGAGCTGAGTGTGACTTCAAACTAAACATTTGAAAAAAAGATTTAAAACAATAAAATGAATGTTTTGGAAAACATAATAATGATAGCAAAATTTCGGCAAAGATTAATAATGGTAAAATTGAACCAAAAATATAAGGATAGAACAAGGTGCATATGATTTTCAATACTAGGCCGCATGAGTATGATATTTTAACCTCCGATTTTTGTGGAGGGATTTCAACATAGATCAAATATATCTTCACATAAAAAATATCATACATTGAAGAACCAATTTGACCAAGCTTTGAAATATGAGGTCCCCCAAGATATAGGAGCACCCAAAGCTAAGATTACAATCATGAATGGTGATATTGATCAGTCCTTATAGACAAAAGATATTGTTTAAATTGTATAGTACTTCCTGTAGACCTGCATGATAAGCTAGAATTGTAATTGATTTAAAGGGGATAAGATTTATGTATAATATATCTATGACCTGGGTATGATTTCTGTAAGTTATAAATAATCAATATTGTAATTACGTACTTGTGTTATTTTGGTGTATTGATCAATATTATCCTTGCAGATAATAATGATCGTAATGATTTATCATTAATTTAACATGTTGAATATTTGAAGAAAAGTCTATGCATCATTTTTCTCAGATTTTGTTTAACTCTGATATAATTATACAGTTCTTACATAAATATAATTTCCACCACTTTAAGGTGGCTGGCCTCAAGGTACATGTAGGTCTTGTATATTGACTTTAAGACCCGATTGCACATTTTATTTTATTGATTTGTTATCATTCACATTAAGTTTACACAAACACATGATCAGCTGGCTTATAAAGCATTTCTTGCCAAGGTAGACAAATATAGTTTTCGTACTAGACATATAAAGGTTCATTCTGATACTCATTATTACATGGTTTATCATGACCGTTGTCTGTGGCTAGTCTTGCATCAAGACTATTCTTTTCACCCCCCCCCCCCTTTCCTGTGTACAGTCTTGAGACAAGATATATCTGTGGCCTGAACAGCAGTTTGTCAGTCTGCATGGTAAACGTTGAGTAAATTAATCACACAACCAGGGGGTCATTAACAGGAACTTCATGAAATTAAGAATTCCCAAATCAATTGTTGTAACCATGGATGTAATGATGTCATACTGAGGGAACAAGGGAAGTCTCAACTTTATGAATTTTCTATTAATGGTCCCATGGTCTCATTAATAAGAAATATTATCTCATATTTCAGTTCCTAATTACAGCATTACTTTTAAGTATAGTGTAAATTAATTATAGACACCGTCATCTTTCATACTAATTAGACTTTTCATATGAAGAAAGTAACCTTCGGGTCATTTTAATTTCATTCTATTTCTCTCCAGTCTATTTACTGTGTATATAATCTTTTGTCATTTGTACAGAGTCAGGATTATTCAGCTCATATTTCTTAATTTATTATACACTTAATTCACAATTTTTCTCTCTTATTTTGCAGTTAAAATGTGTCCTTCGTGTCATTTTAAACATGGCATGCTGTAATATGTCTTATGGAAAACTATTGATGTGATTTCTGTTCTCGTTATCAAAGATGATTTGAAATGATATGAAACCATTTTTGAGGAGTAAAAGTTGTCAAATCAAACATTAGTCAAAAAAGCATTTATTCTGTCTGTGCTCTTCTGTTAAGCCAGGATCGGTTTTGAATGTTTAACCCATAAGACTTTTTTCTAAAGCTGGTAACTTTTGTTATTTCTTATCATGTATGTTTTCTGACAAGTGCAAGCATTTATTTTATGAAAATGCCTTGTTTTTTAAGGTTGTGAGTCAATATTTCTGAAATGCTATATACATTTCTCTATCTACTTCTTCAGTTTCAAAGATCATGTTCCAGTGAACCTAATGTCATTGAAAATCGACTAGCTCTGTGAAAATATCAAAAAATGTGTTACTTGGCTGTTCCATTAATCTGCCTCCTATTTATACCCCATGTCCCTCTTTAATATAATTGAAGCCAAATTTGATCTAACATCAGCTAATATCATGTCATTAGAGCTGATGTCATTAATTATGAGCTAGTGTAGATGAAAGTGATGTCATTGATACTAACTATGAGCTAAGTGTAGATGAAAGTGATGTCATTGATACTAATTATGAGCTCGTGCAAAATGAGTCTGTTATCATGGAAACAGATATCTTTCAATCTCATCATATTATTTTTAGCTTTTATGATATTCGTAATAAGGGACTAAATGTAGGTGCTAATTGATTGATTATTCCTTCTGCAGGTTGCCCCAACACTCTCTTATTATTAAATTATCTGGAAAATGCTTTTACTTCATAAAGCATTGAGGCATGAAACACATTGAACCTACTGCATTAGATAAAGTGAATATCCTGCAAGAAAATCTCGAAAATCCTAAAATATTGCACTAATAAAAATACTCCACATAGAAAAATCCTGAAGAGAGCACTGCAGTGCCTCATGTTTCAGAAACATATTATTAATTAGATAGTTATTTGGTGAACCCGAGACTCAAATGAAAACTACAATGAGGGAATAGGCTCAGGGAAAGTGAGGAACCAATACTTGCCTTCAATATTCACACATGCAAAATATCTTTCGATTATATCACCATCATATCATTCTGATTTATCAGAGCCCCTCTTTACCTAACGCTTTTGAGAGAACTATTCCAAAAGGATAGTAAAGGCTGTGGATCCCACAATGCCATCATATCTTTAAAGTTACTATGACAGCATTTATTACAATTGTCACATGATAACGATTTTCAGGTTGTGACATTTTCTCATGTTAATGCCTTGTTAATATTTGTTTTATTTGTGATTTCAGCAACTATGTTCCTGAACAATTTGACTCCAAAGTTCTATGTTGCACTGACAGGAACCTCTTCACTGATCTCGGGATTAATTCTCGTAAGTTTACATATAAAATCACCATCCCTCTCCTTGGCCATTTTGAATTTAGCTGCCATATTAAAAATTCTTTCTTTGTCAGATATTCATTTTTCTTAAACATCAGCTTATGAAATTTGAACCTTTGAAATGTTGTAAAACATGTGTAATGCCTCAGTCACATTTGACTTACGGCAACTGTATGATGGCTGTACTTCTCAAAATTGAGAGAAATATTCTGCAAAAAAACAGAGTTAAGCAGAATGATGTAGATTTTCTAATGGAATTTGTGAAGCTGTGGCCACTGTACAGCCATTGTAGAGGAAATGAGACTGAGGCTTAAAATGAATGCAGCTGAAATAAGTGTCCATGTCAAGGTGTTCACTTTAGAATAGTTTTCACATTTACATGTTTAACTGTGTTGTTCTTGTTTCTTCAGATATTTGAATGGTGGTATTTTAAAAAGTATGGCACCTCCTTCATAGAGCAGGTGTCTCTGAACCATATATCCCCACTTCTTACTGGCAGCTCAGGGGAGGCTACCATAGAAACAAATTCATCTAACAGTACACAACAGAACTCTATACCAGGTAGGTTAAAACAATGTTTTTTTATTTATTTATTTTTTGAATTTCTTTATGAAAATCATATACTGGGAAATATATTTAAAGTCAATCATAGTCTATCTACAAGTCCTTGTGACCCCCCCCCCCCGATCCTCCCACTATTTAAGTATTGGGACTGGGGGGAGCAGAGGGGCTTGTAGCTAGACAAGGCATACATGGTGGGCTACTGTATTTATGAGGGTTGTTCAATAAATACTGAAACAAATTCTCTTAATTCCATATTTATGAGGGATTCAAGTTTAACTGCTCTTGGTACCATCATCCTTATATTGATTTGATGGCATCTTTTACAGTATCAAGAATACACTCTTGTCCAGTATTAACCTTTAGCAGACCACCGGCGACCGCGTCCGCCCATTCAAAACTACCACCAGAATCCACCGGCGGATCCGGACGACACAAATCTAACTTTTGAAAACTTTACTTTTTCCCGCCGTTCTTATGATCCAATTAGATTGCCCGATTTATTCAGTCCTTAGTAGGTGACTTCCTGTTGACCTAGAAATGGCGATGTTTCGAAAAATATTTCTCAATTCAACAATTCAACAGTGTTTAAGTCGTTTTTAGTGAACAAATCGTACAAAATGACGGCCAAATACGATCACAACGAAAATGTGGAGGAAATGGATTGCGATTTCGAGCTCTTTAGGCTCTTGGAAGCCGATAATGGTCATCGAAAATAGAAACTAGAATATTTTCTGAACTGAAAAGAAGAACATTCGATCTCTGCAAATTCAGTTTTGGATTCTGACCAGACGTTGAATCTCCCGAGGGGCGAAACGGCGGATTCTGGAGGAGAATTCATGGTATATTCAAGCCCAGTCGTGTTTATGTACGAAAAAAATTCATGAGAACATTTTTCTCATGAGCCACGCTAGTGTATCTTCCCTTTGTGAAAATTTTATCCAGATTCATTCAGTAGTTATTGAGATATTAATTATTTAGTCCAGGCATATCATTTTTGAAAAATAAGTCAGATGCGTGGGATATATTTGCTGAAATAAGTCGGAGTGCAGAAGGTTAAGGCATGTATGTCATTTCTTGATTCTTAACTTGATTCTTTGATAAACGTGAAAATTGGAAAATCTAAACTAATGCATCAAACTGTTTGATGCATTCGTTTAGATTTACACAAGATATTGATTTATGATTATATTTAAAGCAGAGAAGGAAATACAGGAGTATGTAAACATTTGTGATAACAAATAAAAGATTATCTGCAATATTGGAATCTATCAATATCTTACTCTTTTAAATTTCAATTTGGGTGTAATGTGCGACGTGCGTTCATTCGAGAGAATATGGTATGTACCATATAAATATGTTATTTTGTATGAGCTTTATATTATATTACTTCAAGTTTTATTATGCAGCATATATGTTAACGCTCTCGACAGTGGAGATTAAAAATGCACGTGATAAGATGATGTTATGAAAGAGCATATACGGTTGTCATGGACACAAATTAGAAAGTGGTAATTTCAGATGAGAACAGTATATTGTTCATTGAATAACTCTTAATATAACAAGTGTTGTTGTATTAGCACATAACAGACTAATAGCAAAGATGAGTTGGGTTGGATATTTTTTTGTAAATTGTGAGAAAAAGAAGATTGCTTTAATATTTACTCTCTCTCTCTCTCTCTCTCTCTCTCTTTCCCTTGTTGCCACTTGGGACACATGGGGAAACAAAAGATATAACTCATCAATATTATCTTTCACAATGAACATATTCTTTTGGGTAAAACTTATTTTGGGACATCAATTTTTTGGGCAATTCTGCATTATTCAAGCCAAACCTTTTTTGCTCTGTGCCTTGATTATTTTACCATTATATGTTTCCAATACACCCTGCCACATTTTGGTAAATCAAAGAAGCTATGATATATCATCCTCCGATCACAGGGCTTCAAAATCCAGAATATATTCTTTCTTTTTACCCCCTGCGATAAGCAGTTAGCATTTCCCCGATTAAGAACTCACAGTCTGATTGGCTGTCGCAACACTGCGACAGAAATCATGTATGAGTCATTGCTCATAGTTAGATCACGTGATTCAGTTTAATCGGGCGCTTCCAAATTGGTTATAGCAGGGGGAAGAAGGAGGTACGGATTCTGGACACCTGCTTAGGAGGATGATGATATATTAGCTTTGTGATATCATAGGTTGTACTTTTCAGAATTATCAATTAGTTAATACAATGGGCCTAACTTTATCCTATTTTTGATAAGACAAATTTCTACATACAACCAATGACATCATCAATCTAGCCAATGTATCATAACTTCTTTGACCTGCCAAAAGGTGGCAGGGTCTATTAGGGCTGCATTTTTGTACATGTACATGCTTTTTAAAAGCGGGCAAGATTTTAATCCTAAAAATTAGCTAGATTGTGGTCATACAAAAAATTCCAGAGAAAGGTGTTTTATGGTAAAATTATCAAGGCATAGAGTAAGATTTGACATTAAAAAAATTGTCCTGATATAAGTTTTACCCAAAAGAATTTGTTCATTGTGTAAGATAATATTGATGAGACATCATGTCTTTTGTTTCCACATGTGCCTTAAGTGGCAGCACGGGAAAGAGCGATATGATTGCAAAAATTATTTCAGAATATTCGCATACTTGCCAAATAGTCTTATACAACAAAGAAACTGAGTAAAAGGTACAGGGGCCAGTGACACAAGACTATCTAAGTTGCCCCAAAAATGTTCAAAATTTCATCAACTTCTTATCATAATTGCAAATTATTCATGATTTCCACATGTTAAGTTGATGCAAATGGATTTTTATGTCAAGTGGGTGATCCACTTTCTATAATGCTTTGGAGATCACTGTCACACTGAACCTAATTTGTAGGAGCAGAGCTCTAAAGAGCTTTAAAATTAGAGTTGAATATTTGATGAAGATGTATGAATCACTGCTATGTTATAACAAGAGTCATAGTCAAAGTCAGTATGCTCCCAGTTTTATAAATTACCATATACACTGTATTTTATACTGATGGATTTATTATTTTGGTAAGTGCTCATTAAATAGGAAACATCCAACCACTTTTTTCTCTATTTGATTGATATAAGAGTCATAATCATGTGCTTTTTATGATTACGGATAATTATTTGATATCAACTAAATAAAGCTCATCATATCAGTGCACATCCACCAGCAGCATTATTAATTATATTTAGGGGAGGGCAAAAACTGATATGGTTGTTAGCATGCATCAAATATTTAAATGGAGCAACTTTTTATCTGACTTTTTTTTAGCTATATTATGAAATCTTAAATGTAATTACAGTTTGGGCTAACATTGAAATAAGGTGACCCTTCCACGTTAATCTCTTATTTTGTCTCCCAATTATTCCACTCTCATATAAGCAGTTGCATCCTTATATTACCAGTTTGACTCTATTTTGTAGCTCCATTTTAGATATTTTCCTGAGAAATAATGTCATTACATATTTTGAATTTTATTTTTCAGAATGTAAAGTATGGAGAAATCCCCTGAATTTATTTCGGGGGTCAGAATATCTACGTTTTACCTGGGCAACCAATAAAGAGCCACTGACGTATTATGATATGAACCTGTCAGCGCAAGACCACCAAACATTCTTCACATGTGAAGCTGACAACGGCAAACCTGATTATGAAAGTAGGTCATTTTATTTTCCATTCATAGGGTCAACCTTAAGACCTAAAAAGTAGTGATGAATCAAATAATCATTCCAAAAAACAATAATATTTCAGGTTGCCTGATTGGTCACATTTCAACTTCAATACACAAAATATTAGACTTAACGTGTGTTTATAGCCAAGTTAAGTACAAGCATAACATAAATCTCTCATATCTACCATCTTGTAGTTTTATGTTTGAATATTTCAGTAATGCAGGTAGCGTGGAGAGAGCGGAATCCTCAGGCAAGGATACGTGCTGCCCATGATGCCTTGGAGAAGAACCCAGAGTAAGTTACACATGAATCTGTTTGCTTATAGGTAGAGTCAGAGGTTTGGAGCAACCCAAAATTGACTTTTTCAGTATCCTTTGGTCTTGTTTCTCTTGCCGTGCCTATTTTCAATTAATCCTTAAGTTTTGCAATTTTTCCCCCTGCTGTTCTGCATTCATTATTTTGGCCCAACTGTTACATTAAATCATTCTTTACAGATTATAAATTCTACATTTTAATTTCATTTTCACCCCATATGTAATTACTTTTAATATTTGAGATGCTCCCTTAGTCCCTAAGGCTTATGGCTGAAGCTTTTTTGAATTCAATCAAGAATCCTGGATCTTTATTACTTTGTCTGAGGTTACAGTGACTTTGTTACTGATGCAGCGGAAAATTTTTGGATTAAATCTCTAATGAACGTCGTAAAATGTATGGAAACGAGAGATAATGTGACAATTAATGAAACTTCTTTCGTGTTATCAATTTACAGTTTTTCTCAATAAGCATTCATCAAAACAGATCTAATTAAATCCCCAGTGTTCTGATCGTCTATCTTATTTGTGTTGCTAGAATATGAATGAGATTATTCAACAAATGGTATTTCATTTGTACATTGTTTTTAATACTGTGTTTATTAAAGAAACCTTGAAAGTCTGGTCACCTAAGCGAATTACATTTAAATTGCAAATAACTCAGAATTGTCTGGTGAAGCTTGACCCGACTGATGTAATAACACTGAATAAATATAGAACCAGCTCATCAAAGTACGAAGACCGCCCGATCACCGAGTTTGGATTCATTGATTTTTTAAGCCAGCGAGATTAAAATAAAGTTAAGCAAATTCCCAATTATGTTTTCCGCATGATACTTGAAGGCATCTATATTGATTTTTTGTTCATCTCATTTTAAAGCTGAAGTCAATTTGATCAAAGCAAACACTCTGAAACATTGATTAATTTCACATATTGTCTGTGTGAATGTCCGTCTGCTCATATGATCATGCCCATTTCTCATGATTTCTCTCTTAAATTTGAGTGAAATGTTTCATTTTATAACATCTCTGAACTAATAATGTCGTTAACCACGTGCCCATTTGCTTCTCTCTTAGCTAATTCAACTGTTTTTGGAATCAGTTATGCTTTTAAAACATGATCGCCAAAGCATTATCCATAATGCTTTATATGGAATATTAATTTGTAGACGTAATAAGGCTCATTACATATTGTATTCATTTATCACAAGGACTGCTTTTCTTACAACCAACAAAAGTTATGAATTTCTCAACAGATTTACTTCATAATTGATCAAATTAATCAAATAACATAAATTATGAAGGCTGTCTGCATTTCATGGCTAGATATTCTTTATTCCTTGCTTGCTTTATTCCTTATTCCTTCAGTCCAATCTTTCGTAAACATATCAGACACCCGGAGCCATTGTGACTTGATCCTATTAATCTAATGTAGAACTGAAAATGACATATTTGAGTGAAGGAAATTGCTTAATTTCCTAGGAGACTCAACAACTGTTCCAGAGTACCATGGTACACATACTAATAAAGCTATTGCTCATTTCTAAAATTCAGTTTCTCTTCTCATCAGAGGTTTCATAATGGATCTGGGACATGTTTCTAGAACATCATAAATCAAAATTCATATTTTGCACTGATAATTCATTATGTAACTGAGGAAATAATTCTCACAGAAAACTTTGGAAAATCGAGTCTCACAGATTAAGTTTCACATATTGGGTTTCAGAAATTGTTATCCTCTTCATACATGTGGAGTAGAATCCTCATCTTCAAACCTTACTTTTTTGCTTTCACCTGTATGCCAAGTAGATAGATTGAGAGAGTGAAAATTTCTTGAGTTCTGCGTTTTTTCTCAGCATTCCAATACCATTTAGATTTAGTGTATCTCTCATTATTCAGAGAAGCCTTTTACCAAAAGTCACATTTTACCACATGGGAACTTGATATGGTTATTCCTCAGTAAAGTACATATACAGTAAAACCTGTGTATAGTGAACACCTATTGAGCCACAAAAGTGTGTTCACTGAAGATAGGTGTTCACAACAGTAATGACAATTAATTCAGAAATCAATAGAGTTTATGCAGAGGAAGGATGTCCACTAGAGACAGGTGTTCACTAGAGAGAGGTGCTCACTTAAACAGGTTTTACTGTATGTACATTTGAATTATTAGGATATATTTTGGTGTAAAATTATTTTGGTGTACACTTTAGTATAATGTGCTTTTAACATTTTAATGTCACTACCATAAATGGTCACATATTGTCTCCCAACTTTTATAAATCACCACCAGAAGTGGTGACATTTTGCATGTTAATGCCTTGTCTACATGTTGTTGAAATAAAACCTTCATAACAATGTATAGAAGAACTGTGTAATATTATATTTCATGTTTATTATTTCAGATGTGCTCCTGCCCTTGTGCTATTAGCAGAAGAAGAAAGCCCGTCCATAGTTGAGGTAAATAGAATCTGCATCTTTGGAGCATTTAATTTGATTAAATACCTCTTCAACTTGGTCAACTAAAAAAATGTGTCAAATATTTCTTCAGCTAATGATCTCCGCTGTATTGAAAATCTAAGCCACACATACTTGAGATTTGAAAAGTTGCAGTCAGATGAAAGTTCATAAACATGTACAGTAAAACATGTACAGTTAAACATGTACAGTAAAACGTGTACAGTAAAATGTGTACAGTAAAATGTGTACAGTAAAATGTGTACAGTAAAACATGTACAGTAAAACGTGAACAGTAAAACATGTACAGTAAAGCATGTACAGTGAAACTTGTGTAAGTGGAACACTCGTGTTTCCACTAAGGAGTGTTCCACTTTGGTGTTCCGATAAGATGTTTAATCAACATTAAGTGAATTGACATAGGGACTGGGAAAAGTGTTTCAGTTACAAAAGTGTTCCACTTACAAAGGTGTTACACTTATAAAGGTGTTCCACTTACAAATGTGTTCCACTTACATAGGTGTTCCACTTACATAGGTGTTCCACTTAATAGGTGTTCCACTTACATAGGTGTTCCACTTACATATGTGTTCCACTTACATAGGTGTTTCACTTACATAGGTGTTCCATTTGATGCGTTTTAGTGTACTGTATTTTAACAGCAGAAAGCTTTTCATAAGATAATGTAACTGAGTATATGGTCAAATTAATATTGTGGCGCCAAGTTAAAGGATTCATTTTTATTGATGTTATTATTAAAGCCTATTTCAATATCTATTTTCTAGCTGGCAAATATTAGAAACAGTTCATGTATATCACCGCTATCATATCACTCACTGTATGCACACTAAGACATAAACATATTTAGTCATGCAGATAATGTAAATATTTTATTTGAAAATGTTTGATGGTTTGAGTATTATTTTCTGTTGTTATGAAACTAATGATCTTCTGGGTTAATTAAGAAGAACTAAGGTTTCTGTTGTACAAATAAAGTTTTCCAAGGATAAAGTGGATAAAGGTCAAGGTCGTTTTGTCTCCTTCACTTTCACCCTATGCTTAGTGAGCGGACCTAATTTCAAGGGTGATGGTAAAGACGAGGCATGGCGCCCAAAAACCAAAGAATATTAGTACCATAATCTTTTAAGTCGTATTATTGCAGCATTAGGTGATGATATTGTGATAATTTATGCTGTTTTAGAAGTGAGAGATGTTAAACTATGCATACCGTTTGTTTTACATCCAATAAAACGAATAGTTAAGATGAAACAGTCGTTTAAAGATACAATTTGAATTTACCGCAAGAAATTACAACCTAATATTGTCAATATGTCAATAATTCCTGATCGATGCCACATATAAAGATATATGTACCTAGATATGTTTTATTTTTTCATATATGCGAAATAAGGCGGTCTCTAGTTATGTACATCCAATACAAAATGAATGATTACTATTCGGCGATCAGAATTTCGATGACGAGCAATGGCGATGTAATTTGCGAAGAGGAGTGGCTATGGGCAAGCACTTAGCTGCTACGTGTACTGCTAAATTCAGCTAAAATGTACACTGTCAATTAATATATTAATGAATTTGGGCAAGGTTGTCATAGGCTTCAATCAATGGTAAAAACTTGCAAAACATGTAGTCACTTGATTTTATGATTTATCAAAAAGTGTTGGTTGTTGAATGAATAAATAGAATAACTTAAAAGAATTTTAAAATTGTATAAATGGTAACTGGCCCACACTTTTTAACAAATGTTGACAAAGTCATAAAAAATCAGACGCATGACAGATGTAGTCAGAGATTGTTGATGTCAAAGGTTGTTAACATGGCAGGTGTATTCAGAAATTGTTAACATAATAAATGAAGTCAGATTTTATTTACATGACAAGTGTAGTCAGAGGCTGTTAACATGGCAGATAGAGTCAGAGATTGTTAACATGACAGATGTAGTCAGAGATTGTTAACATGGCAGATGTAATCAGAGGTTGTTAACACTGCAGATGTAGTCAGAGGTTGTTAATATGACAGATGTAGTCAGAGATTGTTAACATGACAGATGTAGTCAGAGGTTGTTAATATGACAGATGAAGTGAGAGGTTGTTAACATAGCAGATGTAGTCAGAGGTTGTTAATATGACAGATGAAGTGAGAGGTTGTTAACATAGCAGATGTAATCAGAGGTTGTTAACACTGCAGATGTATTCAGAGGTTGTTACCATGGCAGATGTAGTTAGAGGTTGTTAACATAACAGATGTAGTCAGAGGTTGTTACCATGACAGATGTAGTCAGAGGTTGTTACCATGACAGATGTGGTGAGAGGTTGTTAACATGGCAGATGTAGCCAGAGGTTGTTAACACTGCAGATGTAGTCAGAGGTTGTTACCATGGCAGATGTAGTCAGAGGTTGTTAACATGGCAGATGTAGTTACAAGTTTCTGCACTGTGGGATTAACTTTTGTCAGATTAATTTTTTCTGAGACAACATAATCACTGTTAACACATTGTGTAAATTGTTTATTGATCAGGTGGTGTATTATTTCATCAAAGTCTTTTGATTTTCCGTGACAGTAGTAACACTGGAATCCCACATATCTGAAAATAAACAGGATAAATGTAATCCCTATTCCACGGCTCGTCCAAACATTCTTTTATTACCATAACCATTGCTCTTCCTTTCGAGGAATCAAAATCTCCTGATTTGACTGCAATTACGGCTCAAATTGGGAAATGGATGGGTTTACGATATAAATACGTTCATCAACAATAATAACATGCAATATCAAGGAATTCTGTGCAGGAGAAGTATCATTATTTTGAAAATAATCGAAAAAAAAATATGCAGAAAATTAATTTTTCTTTTCACATCACTTCGTATCCGTTTCACATATAAGTATGAATCTTTCTTACATTACAAATCTAATTATGGGCATCTGAAGCATCAGTGCACCTAGTTACAGACCAGCACAAGGCCAATAAAGAGTAGAACTTAGAGAAATAAACTTACTGCTGGTCCGCCATAGTTAGGTTTGGGCGCCCTGCCTCGTCTTTACCATCACCCTTGAAATTAGGTCCGCTCACTAAGCATAGGGTGACTTTGGAAAGTTTTGTAAATTTTATAGAAGCAACAATAACTCAACACTCTGTGATAATAATATTGTGAAACCTGTTTTAGTGAACACATCTCTCTCTAGTGAACACCTGAATCTAGTGAACACCCCTTCTCAGCACATATTACTCCTCTGGTGACTTCTGTTTATAAAATCACAGTGAACCCATTTTTGTGGCTCCATAGGTGTCCACTCTTCACATGTTTTACTTTATTACATACTGTAAATACATTTTCACTTGAAGGCTGAGAAGCTTCTAAAACAGGCTTACAAAAGTGCAGAAACCAACTACAGAAAAAGTCAACAGACCCAGCACAATAACTCAACACAGGAAATCATACACCGTAAGTTGACTGTGATTTGAAATGCAAAATAAAGTTGAAAAGAGCAAAATAAGCAAGCATTAGAATAGATAGGCTGGAAACACACGCTTGTAATTATATGGAATTCAATTTAGAATCATTAATCACTCGATTCAAATGATGAATATATTAAGTTTTCATAATACATACTGTACATCTAGCCTGACATCTTTTGAGAAAAACATGTGGCTTAAGATATGAATTAACATTCTAATATGTTATAATATCACCACCAGAAGTGGTGGAATCTTCAAACTTTTTGTGGATGGTGGTTAATGTGTTTAAAAAATTACAGGTGGTGACATTTTGCAATAACTAAGACAATCAATTATTCTTTAAAGTACATAAGAAATGATGTAAAGTGAAATCATATCCAATTGCATAGCCTTTTAGAGACGTGGCTTGCAGGAAACAAGGCAATGAATTATTTAAAAGAAGAATTGTAATTGAAGAACAGATACTTAAATTTAGTCCTTTGCTTGGTATAAATGCCTTGTCTTTTGTTAGAAGAGATAGTAACATTCTGATGTGTAAAGAGAAGGCTTGCGTACCAGGCAATTGAGAAAAACTCTGCACTGTAGCATTTCATTGACATTGCTCATTGGTTCATGGCTCAAAATGACTTGTTTTGTAGGGAGAGACAGTAACATCCTGGTGTATGTAAAGAGAAGACTTGCCATGTGTGCCCGGAAACTGGGCAAAACTAGAGAAGCTGTGAAGATGTTTAGAGATGTAAGTTCACCACGAGGGAGATATTTCTCGAATCTTTCATGGATTTTCAAATTTCTTATTAATTCTCTTAGTGCCAATACTTAGTGATGTATTTTTAAAGCAAGTGGATCAAATACAACAGAAGTCAGTATGAATCTTTCACAATACAGGTCACATCATTAATTTCACTTATTACTAGTCCATCTTTGTTCCGGAAAAGATATAAATGCTACAGATATTGTGGTTGGATTGTCCAAGAATGAAATTGCTACAAATTCTAGATTAACGTTATTCAAGTATATCCTTCACTTTTCATGGTATAAAGCCTCAGAATATCGACATTATGGTTGTTATGGTGATGTTGGTCAGAAGCATATACCAAATTCAAAATTCAAGTAACATTTTTAGAGAACAATGTTCAAAGTTTTTATGAACTACATTATATATCATATACTAAATGTATATCCGAGGGAGATGCTTGTGAAAGTTGAGCAAGACTTCATTATACATTATACGATCTTGTTGAGGTGTTGGAGCACATATCATGTAGCACATATGATTAAACATTAATAAAAATAATTCAATTTTTCTTTTTGTTACAGCTGATGAAGGACTTCCCATGTCTTAACTTATTTAATATCCACGAAAACCTGATAGAGGCTTTACTAGAACTACAGGCATATGCTGATGTACAAGCAGTGCTGGGAAAATATGATGGTAACATTACATTAATTTAAAGGCCCCATATAAAGTTTAAACCACTTTGGGTTATATTGTAGTCTTATTTATAGACTTATTTTTGAAGTTGAAGTTGAAAACATTTTCAAAAAGTTTTTGCCACATGATGACGTCACTTAGGTTGCAAGATGTTTTTGATATGCTAAAACATTGAAGTGGCACATTAGATATGGCATTTTGTTATTGAAATAGTGTGTCCTTTGTTCAATATTTGCATTGGTGTTAAAAAGATAATCTTTTTTGAAATGTATGGTTGAATATTTGATGATTAGAAAATTTCAACTTTTTGAAAAATGGCGGAGAATTTGAATATTTGAGAAAAAAAATTCAAAAATATCTACCTGAAAGTCCTGAATTAGTATAAAAAGATGTATTTAAAAAATTCAGTGCATTTTTCAGTACATAAATATAATAAGATTTGTACTGAAACAAAACTAGTACAATTTGTACTGAAAATGCTCCTTTCAGTACAAATGCCCTGCCCTAGTGATCATTCAATGCGTGCTTTATAAATAAGATAAAGTTTTGAACATCAACTTTTTGCAGATATCAGTCTCCCAAAATCAGCCACAATATGCTACACGGCAGCACTGCTTAAAGCAAGACAGGTTGCTGACAAATTCTCCCCTGATATAGCTTCAAAAAGAGGCCTTAGTACAGCAGAAATGAATGCAGTTGAGGCAATACACAGAGCTGTAGAGTTTAACCCTCATGTTCCCAAAGTAAGTAACATTTAACTCTCATGAGGCAATACACAGAGCTGTAGAGTTTAACCCTCATGTTCCCAAAGTAAGTAACATTTAACTCTCATGAGCTCAATGTAGAGATATTTGAAGGAATTTTTACATGTTAAAGTACTAATATACAATTAAATTGATGTTTTGGACATCTTTTGACATTCCTTAAGGCCATTGCCACAGGTAATATTAAGTAGTACAGTTTAACCCTTATATTACCCATATGATGAGTTCATAATGTTTCACTCTTATATGCCAAAATTAGAGTTTTATCCTCATTTGTCCAAAGTAAATAGATTTTAACTCTCATGTGGCTAGAATTTTAAACTTTATATATCTTCCATTAACTGTTACACATTGGTTAATTGCAGTATCTATTAGAGATGAAAAGTCTGATCCTTCCACCTGAACATATCCTCAAACGGGGTGACAGTGAAGCCATAGCATACTCATTCTTCCATCTACAGCATTGGAAGAGAGTTGAAGGGGCTCTCAACTTATTACATTGTACTTGGGAAGGAAGTATGTATTTTTAGAGTCATGTGCTCATGCTATTTTATACTATTTAATGCTATTTCATATTATTTAAGGCCATTTAATATAATCCCAGGCCATTTTACATCATTTCATGTCATTTTATATTATTTCATGCTATTTCATATTATTTCATGCCATTTTACATAATTTCATGCCATTTCATTTTATTTCGTGTCATGTTCTCTCCAAGGTATGAATAAAGGTCCTTGTTTTGTGATATATCTTAACCTCTTGAATCCCAGGCTCTAAAGTCGATTCAAACCAAGGAATTTTTTATTTTTTGCCACCTTTTGACATTTTGTTACATACCTTTACAACTTTAGATGCTCAACTTGGTAAAATTAAATGGCAGAGATTATTTCTACATATTCTAAAACCTTTTTTTTTTGTAAATTGGATAAAAAATTGTTCAAATGAGAGTAATTTTAGTGACAGATTTTCTTGTCGCTCTGGGTTTCCAGGTCATTTCGGAGGTAACGAGAAATCTAGTCACTCCAGGTAGTCAAGAGGTTAACAATATGGAGTGTCAATGTCATGTCTGTTAACTTTATTTAAGAAATATAGACCGAAGAGCAGGGCTACTAGTTTCGAATACACCCCACAGTTCTTGGCACAAACGTTTTCTGTGAGGGGTTCGGAAGCTTTTGTGCCTAGACCTAAGGGGTGTATTCGAAACTAGTAGCCCTGCTCTGAGGTCTATATTACGATTCGACCATGAAAACTCACCAGAACATTGCAAAATTGTCAATTTTGATGTCATTTCCACCTTTGTCATTTCTACTTCCGGTTGAGCGTTTGGCTGTTCCAATTTGTTTACTTACCACCTGACCCCGACTTTTTTATTGACATTTCGGCCTATTTTATTGGTTTCCCGCATATCTACTACATTGATCATTATTGAAATTAATTCTATATTGCCCAGAAACAAAAAAATCATCCATATAAAAATTAAATTTTGCGAAAAGAACGAAACAGCCTGAACTGACCATTGAGTGCACTGAACGAAACACTAGTACAGAGCTGGGCCATTGATCTCGAATATAACCCAGCTGAAGCATTGACTTTGTTCACAGTTTATAGAAGGCGTGATTACAGTCATGTTCGAATCCTTCAATATTCCACTCCTCCATTTGATCATTTCAAAACGTGACATGTGAGAAAAATCTCAAATGATGTATTATATGATGATGTATTTTATACTTCCAGCATTTAGAATGATACCATATCCTCTAGAGAAAGGACATCTATTTTACCCCTATCCCACAAGCACAGAAACTGCAGACAAAGAGCTTTTACCAGGTAAGGTGATACAATTATTCACTCATTTTTGAGTTGAAACGATGTTTGTTCTGTCTTGAAATTTATGTATTGTGGCTTGAGATGTATAGAAAGGATTACAGGTTGTCAGGTATCATGTTTCAATTTGTTTTTAACCCTTTCAAGACTGACGACTTTGGTATTTTAAATTAGGAGATTCATATAATGCCTGGGTATGGTGCCTCTGATCCTGATGCAAGACAAATCAATGAAAAGACACTTGTTGGCATTTCATCAAGTTCCTCTGCAACTCCAAGATGACATCTTTAAATAAATTTGATGTGTAATCCTTTTCATTAACTTCTTTCATTTTGCTGGAAATATTAGTCAGTTTATCAACTATTTATACTAAATGAAAGAGTAAGCATTTATAATCTTAACTAGAGTTACAATGATTGCGACTGGCCTTTACTGTATTGCGTGATTTTTCTTTTATATTTTCAGCCTTTCACGAGGTTTCTGTCTACCCAAAAAAGGAGTTGCCATTTTTTATTCTATTCACTGCGGGCTTGTGTTCATTCACTGCGCTCCTTGCGCTTCTCACACACCAGTATCCAGAACCTATGGGACACATTGCTAAAACAGTAAGTGATATTAATGAGGCAATAATAGTATGAGGCCAAAAATGAGGCTAATGTCTCAGACACATTTGATCTACAGCAACCATACTGTGGATGTAGCTTCCCAAAATTGAGAGAAATATGCAGCATAAAATATAGGGATAAGCATTACGATGTCCATTTTCTATATAAATTTTGTGAAGCTACGACTGCCATAGACCAAATGTTACTAAGGCTTAAAATTAGTAAATCATGAGTATACATGTACGTCGTAAATTTTGACAATTTTTGCCAAAAATCACTTGAAAAGTGCTCTAAATGGTAAAAAACTGCATGATTTTGAAAGATTTTTGGCCAGGGGGTTAAGAAACCCCCCTGGATTGGTTCTTGTGGTCTGCCATTTTTATTTTGTCAACACCACTATTTTAAATTGGTATTTGTGATTCTCTAAAGATATATAAGATACATAACAGAATATATTCAGATCAGTTTGAGTTAATTTAGACTGTTCATTTTAATAAAAAATGTGAACTAAGTAAGTCTGTAGTTAGCCAGTAAGTAGTTACCCATTTCACCACCAGGTTGCTAATTCAGGTCAGATAACATGGCAGATAAAAAGTTCCCTTAAAATCGATTCACACATACCTAGGCAAGGTGTGTCAGATTCCAGCCAGTCCAAACACAGTATTTCACATAGCTGCAGTGCATTATATCACCAATCACTGCATCCAAGGTTACTCCTTATGTGGTTGTCAAGTTGACAACTTGACTCTACATATTGAAATTGATGCTTTGCCAACTTCACCCTTACAAAATATTTCACTGAAAATATGTTCTTTTAGTGATTTTGTATCTTTTAGGTGACATAGTAGAGAATATTTTGCGATGTGCGAGATTTGAAGAGATTTGAAGCCCTGACTCAGTGCAATGTGGAATGACCATTCCTTAAAGTGTTGTTTTCCAAAATTTGCACGAGATGAGCAGCATCGAGGGTTAATTTTAGGAAACAACACATAAACAAATCCTTATTTAAAATATTCATCAGTTTTAGAAGATCCATTTTCATATTACCCTATCAGTGATCTCCCTAGGTTATTTCAAGTGTCTTGTTTTGTAAAATCCCATATCACCCTTTACAGTGTAGTTGTAAGCAATAATTTTGTTAAAAATGGACAAAGATTTTACTCTGCTTTTTTATTGTTGGCCATTTTGGTGTTTTCTAATCGTATCGTATTCAAAGTTTTGTCAACACATTTCCAGGTGAGCCATTTGATAGAGCAATTTCAAATTTTCAGGGATGATACTTTGTATGACAATCTCTACCTGATTAGTTTTGTGGCATTCTGGGTGAATGTTAAGGCAGTAATTTTTGATTTTCCATCCAAAAATCTCTGTAAAGTCTTGTCTAAGCCTTTTCAGACAATCCTTTTGAAGGATCCATTTTATATTCCAGGTATGATTTTTGAATGAAAATCTAAAACATGTTATTTTTGGGGCATTTTGGGTAAATGTAAATGTGGCCATATTGATTTTTTTTGTCTTAAAGTCGTGTCCCATCGACTGATTTGTGTTGGGCACTGAAGATGAAAAATCTACATGATCACCCATTGGTGGGGTCATGTTATGCACTCGTGTGTCCTTGTTTAATTTAGTATTTATAATTATTGCTGTAAATTATACATCAAAATAGGCAAAATAATACATTTGTTACAGTAAACAAGATTTTATGACTAAGTATGAATTATGTCGCAATATAATGCTACAAAAATATATTTTTAGTTTGATAGATCAAATGCATCATTTTCAAGCATTTCCTCGTATCATATAGCTGCATATGTCAAGAATGGTAGTTTGAAATTTAGTGTTAATTATATTAACCTTCATTTCTATAACTTAGGCAATTTTTAGCCTAGGTGAGTAGCTTGTACCTTCTCAAATGTTTATTTCCTCTCTGATTGTTTAATGATTTAAGCCATAGGCCAAGGGTAAAGTAATAGAGTAAGCCGTATATAGAAGAGACAGGTGAACAACTCTGACTAAGACCACTTGTTAAGATGGAGATTTCAACAATATTTAGTGTATTATTTTCAAAAAGCCACGAGGAGTTGATAGAAAATTGATAGTTTGTAGCTCTTACCTAAGATTGAAACTCAGTCAGACGATATAGAGTGAATAATGATGTCTAAAAGAGAGAATTTCTGAAAACCTGCAATTGCCTGGCAAGTTCATTAGTAAACAAGTGATCTGATTGGTCACTGCTGACCTCCCTGACCTCCAACAGTGGCAATCAGTTTCAGCTTGCCAGGCAATTGCAGATATCCATAGTTGTTGTTTTATATGCAGTATTATATGCAGTTTTTAGATAAAGATTTGAAAAAAACAATGATATAAGTTTGAAAAACACTTTGAAGAAGATTTTGGAGAGATTTGGGAATACAATTTGATACCAGTAAGGAGAACTAGTGCCAAGACTAAAAAAATTTGAAAAATGTTCAATCTTACTTGTGGACCTGTCTCTTCTATATACAGCTTACTATTACTTTTCCCTTGGCCTATGATTTAAGCCCTGACCATTCCCTGAAGGCGTTGCTTAAAAATTTGCACAAGATGTACCAGCAGCAATGGTTAATTTTAGGAAACAACGTCAGAAAGAATATTGTTATCCACTATGATACTGTTTATAGAATTTTACTCAAATGTGAACTTATCGGCTTATCAGTTTTAATAGAATCTAGAATGAGTGACCTTGGGTGAATTGTTGGTTATATAATAGCATGCAGTTATTTGAGATTGGGTGTTTGGATTGGCTGGAATCGGACACACCTTGCCTAGCTTTATGTGAATTTTTATTTTACTTATTTGGTGGCAAAACAATTTAGCAGGAAATACTACCACTGAGGTTATGTAATAAAAGTGGTTGAATAAACATTAAATTATCATGTATTTAATAGGATAACTTTTTGTAATATTTTTCTCAGAAAAATCCATGTAATAAAAAAGATTCTGATAGGAGCACAATTATCTTGTTGAGATGTAGGTAGATGCTCTGATGTTCCAAATATGATTCAAAAAAGGACTAAAAAATTGTCTCAAAAAACTTAACTCAATTTTAATCTTGTATCAGGTGAGTCATTTGACAGAGCGATTTCAGGGATGATACTTTGTATGACAATCTCTACCTGATTAGCTTTTTGGCTTTCTGGGTGAATGTTTAGGCAGCCATTCATGATTTTCCATCCAAAAATCTCTATAAAGTCTAGTCTTAGCCTTTTCAAGGTCAAAAAAGGTCCAAAAGTTTTTTTCAACTTGCTTCAAATTCACCAATTTTTTTCAAAATCATCTACAAGTTCTCAAAAGATCAAATCTGACTATAGTTTTGACATTCAATCAGGCTGAAAAGTAGAGGTCTTGGGTTCAAACCCAGGTCACAGCACTTCTTGTGATTTGTCTTTGACCTATGACTGCTGACCTATTCCGGCGATTACTAGAGTGCTGCTAACTCGATAAAAGGCCGGCGCTGGCTAGAATTGTCTATGGTATATAAATATATATTTTGGAAATATTCTAAATTAACCACATTGGTTTGCTTGTATTATTTCCCTACCTATTTATTTATTATTGCTGTAAAATATACATCAAAATAGCCACAATGATACATTAGAGTTAAGAAGGTTTTATAGTTCAGCTTGATTTATGTTTCAATATGATGCTAAAAACTATAATTTTATTATGATTGATCAAGGACATTATTTACAAGCATTTCTTCAGATAATTGAGCTGTGTTTCCTCATATAAGTGACACTGAACAAAAAGAAAAAGAGAAATAGTGCAGCATTTTGAGTGCTGCAATTTATGTAACTTGGGCACATTTCAGCCCAAGTGAACAGCTTTATTGACAGTAGAAGTTACACTTTGGTTTGAAAGATGGGTCTCCTTCCATCAAAACTTAACCTGCGCGCAGAGTCTAGTTATAAACTCACCTCTGCCTAGTTAGATTATATTGCAGTTTAGCAGCCCAGCCCCAAAGATTCAAATCTACCATGCTGACCCTCTTCAACCAGTCATCAAAGTGGAAGGAACACATGCTAAATATGTGATCAATAACCGTGGTGATGTCAGAGGAAATGACCATATAGAAAGTCATCCGTATGAGTCGTCTGGTGAGATCAGAGATTTATTGTAAACTGAGAGTGAAGATGAAGCTCTCTTTTAAGAGGTGATGTCAAACAAAAGCAATGGGTAACCAAAACTAATCATTTTCTGCATTTTCCATTCAGCCTTATACAGTAACGTCTTTAAGTGAGAAATATAGATGGCATAATGGTATATTGAGAATGATTCATTTCAAACAATGGTGGCCCAGAAATATTTATACCTTGTATTCTTTAATATTTTCTGGAAATTTTCCTCTTGATCATTTAGACATCATAGGGGAGAATAAGCCAAAGAATGAATTTAGAAATTTTAAAATAATAATTTGGTTCAAAAATGGCTATTGTTTCTAATCAAATATATTCATCATCAATTGATGAGATTGAAAATAAATATTTAGAGAGCCATATTGTCTGCCATAGCTGGAATATATGTACCTATATTTTGTGTTCAGGCAATGGAATGGGAAACAATCTCCTTGGGCACTAACCATTGCGATAGCTGCGCCCCCTTTGTCTTTACCCTTCCAATCTCTCGCAAACTGCAGATAAGAGGGGCTCTGGCATACCAGAATGGGCACTTACTATAAGGATAGAAGCTAGAAATGTATAAAATTATTCTCTCATTCATCAATGTTCTTATTTTGAGAGAAAAAATACAAGTAATTCGATTCAATTTAAAAGGTCATTTTGGGACAATATTAAACTAGACTGATCATTTCTGTCATGTTAATGATATTCTCAGCTACCTTAGATGGAAAATGTTATATGCAAACGGAAACATGTAGACACAGGATAGATTTCATCTGATGATTTTATTTGATTAGAATTCCAATTACCTTTCTGCCATGTGGAAGAGCAAAGGAATTAAGGTTAACTTTCCTTCTTAAGATTGCTAAATTGAAACCACTTGATTTTTAAAAGTTTGTAAAGCTAAATAAATTATACAGTTAGGGTAAACCACAAATAAAGTCGTAATTAAAATGAGTTGATTGAATATGCAAACTTTCACACCGTGCTTTGATCGTATCTGAGTTTGATTGACACGTTGGAGAGTTGAATGATGTCTTTAACTGATGTTCAATGAAACATCACTTGAGCTGTCCTGCTGAATAAAAACCATAATTAATGTCTACTCTTACTTGTCTATGATACCATCTTACATACGATCTCTTGTCCTATTGAGAGTTCCCATGAGGTTAATGTTATGACTGGCATGTTTTAAAATGTAAAATAGACTAGAAAATTGAGGAATTAGGGAGAAATAAAGTAAACAGGCACGTAGAGGACACTCTAAATTGTATAGATGTGTAAAAAATTTAAGCACTTCAGTCAAATTTTACGGAGAAATTTAGTGAAATAAGCATTAGCAGACGTACTTTTCAAGCACCGAGTTGAATATTTATTTTGTCTATCTGTCAATAAATTCATCAGGAATGAAAAAAGGTGTTTCAACATTTTAAGGGAAACTGGTGTTTATTTCAGCTAGCATTACTCTCCCACTGGGAGTTATCAAGTATAATGGAAATGATCTTTAAAACCTATCCTTCACAAAAGCTTCATTCTGTCTCAACTCTTTAAATTATAAATGATTCTTTGATTTAGCCTATATCTCATGATATAAAAGACACTACATTTTTGTACCTTAAATTAACTTATATTTAACATTCACAATTCCCAAACTCTGATAAAGCATCTGACAAATTCATATAAAAAACTGTATAAATAGTCAGAGGGTAGAATGGCAAACCAATGATGATCTACGGTATTTTAAAGCTTTACTGTGCATTATTAGTCAACCAGTTGTGAGTTGTTTTCTCTTGCTTCAGCACTGCTATGAGTATCATTTAAGGCCCATGATCCAGAGTAAATAATTTTCTTGCTTTTCTACATAATTTATACGAAATGATTCATGTCCGTTTACTTTACTCCTTGCTATTTGTCATGTTTCCCTGTATTTGTTCTAAAACACAGCCACTGTTACTTTTTTACAGACACATAGTCTTATGTATAGTAGATACGAGACAGATAAAGTGATATATTATTTTAGCCATTTAAGACCCAGCTAGATTATATTTGTATATGTGTATATATAATTCACATTATCAAAGATTAAGGATCTTAAGAAAATAATATGAGTTGGCTCATCTTTTAATATGAATCAATAACCCGGATTTATGAAAGATTTTACCCGGATATTACAAAAGCGACATCAATTCTTTTTCAATTATTCACCTAAAATAACATAGAAATTAAAAGCAGTTCATTTATATTTATTATTTTAATTTAAGAGGATGTATACCCCCTAGGACTTGACTCATAGGTATATGCTTATATGACAAAAGCCCCAGGCTTGACTCAGGATTTGTGGTGTCTAATATGAGTTCAAAAGGGAACATAGTTTTGATACCCAAACCTAAATTGTCCATCGGGTAATTCTAATTCTTCGCCATTTCTTTCTCAAATTTAAATATGTCTGACTTTCTGACAGATACGTCCAATTTAGGTTGTTAACTGTAAGTGTGATTGTAGCTTATGTTTCTAATACAGCTCCTTTTTACTATAATTTGCGTTTTAAACTTGAACGTCGTGTCATTTACAAAGTGGATAGGATTTGAAGATTTTGGAATCCTGTAGGATGTGCTCCACTAGACATGTTAAGTCTTGAAATAGCCTTAAATCTTGGTTTTCATCTAAATCCAGATTGTTTTCATTTAATTTCATTGAGCATATATGTATATAGGAATCCATCGTGTAAAAGTCTGTGATGTACATGTTTTCAAGCATGGATTAGAGTGGAAAAGAGTGAAATTATCAAAAATTGGATTATGTCAACTCGAAGCAGACACACTAAAATGTATAGAAGTGCAGGAAAATTAAGCATTTTATTCAAATTTTACAGAGAAATGGCAAGGAATATGATTGCGCAGACGTCTTTTTAAGTATAGGTTGTACAATTCATTGTGTAAGCAGAGATGTTGCTTTTATTTGAGATTAGAACATTTATTGCTTGCTACCATTGTCACGTAAGGAGTTTTGGGATTAGTGTTAACTAAAGCAATGTCTTTGAAGCTAACATGACAAAGTTTTGATATAATTCAAAATCAAACGTCTCAAATGCCGTAATTACATTATATTCTAGCGACTGTATAATTGTTAAGAAAATGTTGAATTTACTGGAAACTATTGACGTTAGGGCCTTTTCACGCCCTGTAGGTGACACAAAATTTCACTTGGTCTTGTCAAGAAAATATTTAAATCCCAAATCAGTTCCCAGATGAGTTGGTTTTGGAAACTAATTGGAAGAGAAACAATTAATTTTGGATATTAACAAATATTATAAATATTTATTTTTTTAACCATGCATGGTTTTCAGCCTGTCTGGGAAGAGTTTAGCACTTTTGATTTTGTACAATGGTGTTTTAACCTCTTGAATCCCAGGCTCTAAAATCAATTTCAGGCTAGAGAATTTTTCAGTTTTGCCAGCTTTTGACATTTACTACATACATCATTTCTACACATTTTAAAATATTTTTTTGTAAATTGGATGTAAATTGTTCAAAGAAGAGCAATTTTAGTGAACAATGTTGTGACAGATTATCTTGTTACTCTGGGTTTCAAAGTCATTTCTGAGGTGATAAGAATCTCATCACTCGATCCAGGTAGGCAAGAGGTTAATGGTAAATATTTGGTCCCCTAGTGCTAAAATGTGTCTGTCTAGTTCTGTTATTCCACATTATTCCTTTACTATTCGAATTAAGTGTCTCACCCCCCTCCCCCCGCAATAATCAATATAACCAATATTAAACCATGAGAAACAGGAGGAAAATAGCTTTTAAATGCTTTTTATTTGAAGCTTCTCGCTCAATTTTGAAGGAAGTTGCCACTATACTATCGCCCCCCCCCCCCCCCCCTGACTGAAGACTGAAAATGTTCTTGGTGATCGCACCCCCCCCTGACTGAAAGCTGGCTACGCCCCTGATCTGTTTACTTAAGAGAGTCAACTTCATAACATTATATTTTTTACTTGTAAAACGCACCTTTTCAATTCTATTTTGCATTTGAAAACACGACCGCCCTGACATTTGGAATTCAGTCGGCTGTTTTTGTATACTTAATAAAGTGTCTATCTTTTCTTGTATGGATGTCAGATAAAATCAAATAAAAGTTAGAAAAAATTAAATGAATTCTCCATGAAACTTAAACACTTTGATCATAGACTCCCATTGAGGTTCTGTTATTTCTTTACATATTTTTGTATGTTTTGTCTCTTAGTTGAACAAGGTATTTGTTTATGTTTTGACACTTCTTGGCAATCAAAACATTGTCTATTATCAATTTTTGATTCAACAAATAGACCCAAATAGTTTCACTTGAGGCATTAGTTTTTTATATTTCCTCTGCCAAAGGTGTGATGTTCTATTTGTTTTTTATCTCTCAAAACATGGTGGTCACTCATTTTTTGCATTGAGGAATTAATTTATGTTAAATCAGTCAAATTATCAATTTATTTATCATTTATGTTTTTTTTATTGATGATATGTCTTATATTTTAAGTTATATGTAACTTTTTAAATAAGCACACAAACAACTTTCAATTTATTAACTAATTTTTTATTTCATTTTTTCAAATTCATTTGGTACACCTGTGTGTATTGGTGAAATGTGTTCTGACCCTGTGGTGGTTGAGTATTTTGAATGAATGATCTAGTATCTTTGATAAGTGATTGAGTATATCAAATGAGTAATTGAGTATTTTGAATGAGTATTTGAGTATTTCAGATTAATTAAAAATGTTGAATATATTTAATGAGTGAGTATTTCAACTGTTTGAAGATGCCTTTGGTACATTGTTTATTAAAGAACAATAAATTGTCTGGAAGTATGAAGTATTCTTAGTCTTCTAAAGGCTTCTTCATTAACTTCATGTCTGATATCTTTTCTCATTGCCTTTTGAAATGTTTCTTTGATCTTTTATATGATGTAAAATATGATTCAGATAAAAGGCACATTGAAAACCAATTATAACAAAGATTTCATCATTGTGATGTTTTTCTGTTTTCTTTCTAATATCTACATTATTCACTTTGTACAGTGCAAAATAGTTGTTTGATTCTGTTTTTTAATCTTTTTAGATTGATTTCTTCCTGTTTATTTAATCATTGGTTGATGATTTTTATGATTCATTGATTGTATGTGTTGATTGTATGTACTTGTACATGTATGTATTGATTGATTTTCCATTTATATATTGATTGATCTAATTTCTTTATTCATTTGATGTATTGATTGTTGATCTTATAAGCTGTAAAATCATCGTATATACACAGTATATCAATTGATTGGTTGATTGAATGTTTAGTTTGGTTGTCTTATATACAGTTGATTGTATGTATTTGCAGGCACTGGGCTGGCTGTACCTTCCAGTGAGCTACATCATTGAGAAACTGGAAGCAATCCTCCCATCTAACCTCATACAGCAACTTGCCAGGATATAGACATACAGAAATACATGGAGACACTTCCAAGCATATAGAATAGAGATATTGACATTTATGGACACTTCCAAACATTTAGAATAGGGACAAGTGGCATTCATGGACACTTCCAAACATTTAGCATAGAGACATGTGGCATTCATGGACACTTCCAAACATTTAGCATAGAGACATGTGGCATACATTGACACTTCCAGACATTTGGCATAGAGACATGTGGCATTCATGGACACTTCCAAGCATTTAGCATAGAGACATATGGCATACATTGACACTTCCAGACATTTGGCAGAGAGATATATGGCATTCATGGCACTTTCAAACATTTGACACTTCCAAGCATACATCATGGTAATAGCTGACATACCACAACACCAGCAAGAAAGTAGATACACTATAGAAAGTCTGGATGATTTCAGGAAATTAGACATTATTCCATTAGTCATTATTAGAAACATGCATCACATACAGATGAAAGAGACACATTGCATCATGTGCAGAAATTCTTTTTATTAGGATTCAGGGATATGTGTGATGATAACATGAGTATACTCAAGACAAGTGACAAAATATACACAGATGCAATATAAGAACCTGACTCACTTGGTTGAAAAAGTCTGAGACTCTTGGTAGAAAATGCAGACACTTAGCAGAAGAAGTTTGAGACACTTAGTTGAAATGCAGTGACACTTGGTGGAAAAAGTGTGAGACACTTGGTGAAAAATCCAGAAATTTGGTTCGAGAAATCAGAGACATTAAAAAAAGCAATGGATTGAACACCAGAAATGTTGTAGTTATATAATGGTGCTTCAAACTTACATGTCTCCTCAAATTGGTAAAAATATCTTTGTATGAAATGTTTAAAAGAAATAAGCCCGTAGCCAGGGGGTTTACCCCCCCCCCACCCCGACCAAAAATTCTTTCAAAATCATGCAGTTTTTCATCATTCTGAGCACTTTTTAAGTGATTTTAGCCATTGTTGGATCAAAATTGTCAAAAGTGAACCCCCCTGAAAATAATTAGAAAGTGAACCCCCTCCTGGCAAAAGCTGGCTACGGGCCTGATAGTACTTGATTGCCAAAGTATGCCTCTTAACTAAATAGTACTATGTACGAGTTGTTCAGAATTAGTTTCTCAGTCTCAAATGAATGCTTGTTCGTATCCTTATTAGTATGATATTAATAAAATGTGAGGGTAAGTTGTGATATTTATGTATCCTTTAAAGGGTTTAGATTCAAATCCTATTTATTTCTTACAGAATATTTTCACTTGAGAAAATGATTTTGTTAGCTTGGGTAAACATGACACTGTTCTGTGTTACATATTGACTGGTGTAAAATAAAGTTATTGTGATGTTTAAATTGATCCACATCATGTTGAGTTAATTTTTTGATAGTTTGCTATGGTAGTTGAGATTCAATGACCATAACAGGAGTGGCATTAGAATTTCTTACAACAGGCACAATAAAATGAAAACAATGTTTGGTGTTTTGCATCTGTTACAAATGGCAGGTGGTTACATTTTGCATTTTAATGCCTTGGTGGCCAAATGAGGTGTTATGTAAATGAGAAATTGTTCATCTAATAAGTGTTCTTGCTCAATGCTCTATTATGCTTATAACTCAAATTTTTTTTTAATTCTTCATAATGATAACATTCTTTTCTGAAAATATTTCCTTGACAGGTAAGTTCCAAACTGATCTCATTTGCTACATGAACAATTTTTATTCAAGCTTCGATAATAACAGAAAAGAAGGTTAATGTTCAAGCATTAGTATTTTCCCAAACCTCTCCCTCTCCATTACCTAACTACCTTCAGTTCCTTAGGTTCATGTATCCCAGAACTCTATTACTCTAATCTTGAGGCATTTAATGCTTTGGATCTGTTTGGAACTGTGTTACATTAGTTGGGATCAATATATATATATGTGCATCCATTTGAATGGTCTGGGCTAGAATAGCCATATATTTCACCATCTGGAATCTCTCTAATATTTTATATTTTAATGAAATGCTTGGTTTGGTTCCATTTCCATGATTTCTATACAATTTAGATTTTTTGTTTTTTGCATATCAAAGCATGAAAGTTGCACTATGTAGTTTTGCTCTCATGATTTTCAATTTTATTCAATTACTACAAAAGAATCTTTAAGTTTTTTAGTATGATGGGGCAAGTTACTGACACTCAGATACTCTCCCCTGAGACCTCAGCTGTCCCTTTAAGTTCATGTAACTAATTTCCCAAAATTCATCACCCCTATGTCCTCTACCAAACAAATCCTGATAGAATTTCATTCATTTCCTCTTCTGTTAGATTATTCAGACTTACAGTGCCATATCATGTTAATGTTATATTTTAATCAAAAAATTCAAATTATGATTTTATTTGTATTTTTTGTAAAATTGTGAAATTGATTCCAATCCAATACACTCAGTCACTCATTGCTCTTATGGTGTTGGTATGTCTAAAATGTCGTCTGCTTTCGCCAATTCAACGCAATTTCTCTCAAAAATATGAATAAAGTTCCAATTTTTTTTGAATTTCTCTACAATTTATAGTATAAACTTGATCCACAGATACTTTATTCCTTGTTGATTTCTCGCTTTTCCACTCTATTTAACATTTAAAACATGACTGTGTGTCATTTTTGTTGTGGGATGCCCTAGGTGTGATAAAACATGAACAGAGTCTCATATCACATGAATTCATTAAACCCAAAACGGGAGGAGTGAATCAAATCAACCATACGACCCTCATCCTGTTTTAATGACACTTTGCTTTTCACCAACTTATTAATTTATGCTTGATATGATATGATTCTAGAGTCTTCATTTCCATCGTTGCATTCTTTTAATTAATTCAAGAGAATGCTGGAGGACATGTTAAAGATGCTTTTCTATTCATTATAAGGCCTCCCACCCACATCACATCGTAAAATAGTTAGCCAGAAATTAAATCAATTTTTCAATTGTATCTCTTGTTTTATCGATGCTACTGTGATAGTTCAGTTTACATTTTCACCTTATTTTCAAATTAGATCAAATGCCACAAATATATAAATGAATCTTATTTTGATGCGCTTACTTAACAAATATCATAATATACACATTATTTAGCCAAACAAACACAAACAAAACAAACATGTTTAAAATAATATGAAAGCGTACGCAGAAGTATCAGATATTTCTAGATTTTGGTTTAGCTCTGGTTCTACTGGCTAGCACAGCTATATCCCGTAAAATGTCTCTTATTAATGTGTGAAAGTCATGGATGCCTGTGTCAAATGAGTTGAATGAGTGGGATGAATGAGGAGTTGGTCATGAATCAGAGTATCTTTAAAGAGAATGAGTGTCTTGAAAGAGGAGTTGGTCATAGTTTAAAGTATCAGTAAAGAGAATACGTGTCTTGAAAGAGGAGTTGGCCATAGTTTAGAGTGTCAGTAAAGAGAATGTGTGTCTTGAATGAGGAGTTGATCATGAATTAGAGTATCAGTAAAGAGAATGAGTGTCTTGAAAGAGGAGTTGGCCATAGTTCAGAGTGTCAGTAAAGAGAATGTGTGTCTTGAATGAGGAGTTGGTTATGAAATTAAAGTATCAGTAAAGAGAACGTGTGTCTCGAAGAAGAAAATATGTCTCAAACGAGTGAATGATGAGTGTCTTGATTAAAGAATGGGTATCGATATGGCGAAATTTTTGAACACACGTTTCCACCAGTCATCAAAAATTTCTGAAAATCTTACAAATTGTCAATTTAATGGCCATCTTTTGAATGGTAACAATATAATTTGAAATAGATATACATACTTTCATCTATATTGTTTTAAAAAACACATCAAACACTTGTTTTGTTTCTGAAGCGAATGGAAATATAGTACATTAGCATGGATTGGATTCAATGAGGTATCAGGTTATACACTGAGGGTGTGGGGGTAGAAGTATTGTCCCGCGTTATCCCATCACAAGCATGCGACATATACGAGTTTATACCATGGTAAGAGCAATATCAGGCACTAGTATACTATATAATAACAAGTGATAAAACACACATTTGGGACAGGGATGATATCAGGATTATTGATATCATCCCGGGTAAATTAAAAAAAAAAAATTTCCAGAAAAATCTTTTTTTCCCAAAAATTCATTCATTTTTCATTTTTCCCAAATTTTTCAGCTTTTCAAAAAATCATTTTTGCTCTTGACCATCGTATTTAGGTCGTGGGTAATATCCCTCGGATGATATCGATATTTCACTCGGTCACTGCGTTCCCTCCGGAAATATAGATATCATCCTTGTGATATTCTCCATATCAAATCCCTCCTGGTGAATAACCACTTTATATTCTACATATAATAATGCTTGTTTTGTCATTTCCATTATTAATCTTTTTTCACTTAACTTGTTTTCATTATTTTGGTGTTGAAAACATTATACCTTTTTGTTTTTTTGTCATCAAATGATAGACCAGAGACAAAAACTTACTCGAGTCTCTAGCCAATTCCGCGATATAGTGGCCTTAGAAGAAGGTAAACAAAAACCAGTGATTTGATGAACAAGCCAGGATCGTAGGGTTTCCTTCGGCTACTAGCAAGTGCGTTGACCCTGATAATATAGGCTCATTCTTAACATCACGCGAATAGAATATTTTGCATTGATTGATACTTTACCAAATGTATATTTTAGTTTATGTTAAATGGGAGGAGTTGAAGACTAGCCTTTAAGGTATCCAAATAATTATTATAATACAAAACTAATATTGCCCTTTGGTGGGATTTATTTCGTCGGATCGGCTTAAATACTCTTTTGTTAAATATTAAGTTGCAGAGAGCGAAAAGAAGGTGGGAGGTGTCGATATAATAAAAGAGATCGTTGACCATTTATGCCGTTAATTTTCACATCTTTTTAATTATGCAAAATGGCACAATGGATCAAATGACTGTTCATTTGGTTATTGTATTCTATGCTTAGTATTTCCTCAGAATTACACAATGACTATTTCATATGAGTTGTTTTATTCCACAATGTGAGTGTTGTAGTGTTTGTTTGCTTGTTTGTTGGAATATGTGTGATTGATTTCAGTGAGAACTTCGGAAGAAGAAACTCCAAAAACAACATCCCGGAGCAGGACTTAGTATAGAGTTGCAATTTCAACTCTCTTATGAGATGACCCTCGTATTTTGTCGGATGAAACTATAGCCCAGTCAAGATGCAATTAGTCATTACAAAATATCGATTCACAATGAACGGTATTTTTAAGCTTGGTAAGATATTGATTCAATGGGGTGCCATTTTTCAAGGAAGTGTTTTGATTTCATCGTATCAAGTCTGAAATCTTTATTGTGTCTGGCGCAGTTTCTGCCGATCATTCTTTGGAATCCCGATGTTGAAACAGATACCTGCCTTTAATTGCATTGGCATTGGAGATGAGAGCTAAATATACGTTGATTAATCAAATAGCAAGCGCGCCATCGAGCTGTCGAAAATATCAGAAATTTTCCATTTCTGGTGGAAACTGTTCGTATTTTGGAATTGAAGTTGTCTCGACTTCTTATAGTTAGGTGGGCTGGGATTATCGAGTGATAGGTCTGTAATTTGCAAAACGACAAATCTCTCGCTTTATTTTTATTTTAAGACATCATTATCGCTCAGATGCATTGTTTGGCTTTGATATGGTTTCCGGATTCCGTTTTGCCGCATGGAAAATATCAAAAGAATCTTTTTATACTTCGACAAGTTGTTATCGTTTTCAATGTTTTTATAAATTGGGTGGTCATTTACTGATTTCAGCATCTGAAATGTTATTTCAAAAGTTTAACTCAATTTTATCAATGAATTAGCCCTGGATAGATCTCATTTGAGATCTTAACACCTTTTGGTCAAAATATTGGCAGCGAAACATAACATGATTAGTGATTTAACGTATTTATCTTGGGTCTGGTTCGAATGAGATATACCTTGTAAACACAACTCATCTTATCTCTGCTTTTGTATTTTCTTAGCCCCGTTCAAATATGTCTAATTGATCGCCAACTTCCAAATTTAAGTGTTGCCCTTTGCATTCGCTCGACGTCGCTTCTTAAAAGAGAGCATCGTCTTCGTAGCTCATAACTAGACTCTGCGCGCAGGGTATGTGAGTATTTTTGCAAACTAGGAAACCTTTAGATATGTCCGAGCCTTTTACAACTTGTACCCTCAAAACCCAGTCTGAATTTCTTGTGCTTTTTCTAAAATTTAGAGTCATTTTTGGCAATTCTTGCATTTAAAAACGTTGGTTTTTCCGACCTCCTATGAGAAGTCAAGATGATGGTCGGTCATTATGACTCTAGAGCTATCCAAAATAAACACAGGGCTAACCTCTAAATCCACATCTTAATTTTATATTGGAAATGAATCATTAAAAGTGGTGGATCTTTTTTAATGAATTTTAAAAAAATCCACTGGTGAGAAAAGTGATACTTTAAAAACCACACCCTCGACCACAGAGTCTGGGATATATTACACTTAAAATTTGTCGACCCTAGATAGGGTCGCAACTGTAATTAATCTACCAGCTGGATGATATTGTTTACTGAAGATAATCAAGGAAAATACATATCAACAAGAAGTATCAAACGAGAACCAACCCAAAACGTTTCCCGAAATAGAAAAAATATATAAGATAATGACCCTTAACTTAATTTACTAGATAATCTAAAGTCAACAGAGTAAACCAAAACAGTCCTGAATACATATGAATTATAGCTATTAGGACACTGGTCATTTCTAATATAGCCGAAAGGTTAACGAAGTACCTTTAACACAAAGAGACGAATAATTTTTAATTCATAATTTATCTATATATTTATTCTTTTTTAATTTAACGTATTAAATAGAACATCACAATTCCAGATTTGACACTTTACTTTGGCAGAGAGTTTTTTAACCTCAAAGAAAAAACACATCAAAGTAGGGGAGGGCGGGGTAAGACGGAACACAGGGTGAGACGGAACAATGGATTTTGATTGAATAATTGTTTAAAAGAGGTTATTGAAGTAAACTTTTTTTGAAAATATGTCGAGTGATCTTTCTGTTCAACCACAATTTTCCTGTCGGCTGCAACTAATACTTTAATAAAAAGCCATCGTTCCGTCTCACCCCACGTTCCATCTTACCCCGCTCTCCCTGCCCTACGTGCTTTGGAGAATAATACGTAAAAACAATCGACCGATATATTTTCTTTTCCACAATGATTTATGCTTCATATACTCTTGCCAATGGTTTGAGTAGCTTCTTAAAAAAGAGAGCTTCATCTGCACCACCTAATCTACCAGGCACTGAGCCTCAAGGTAGATTTACAATTTATATACACTCCCCTCCATAAGTTTGGCAACCTTTTTTCCCCATTGAACTACGTGTTAAAGCCTCTTTACGTTTGAATTTTTATTTACTTAACCGGCGATAAAATAACTTATAATATTGATGGAAACGTAACTTGACTTTATTTCCAATACCTCCAAATTTTTCTCAATTTTTTCCTCAATTACAATAGGTCGAAAATTGATGATAAATTTGATGATTTTTTGAAAATCGTCATTCCCATGTAATCCAATGGGAAATGGAGGGTTCGGGGCAAAACAGAAATCAGGATATCTTTTCAGTAAAAGATTCAGCAAAAAATATTTTTATATAGAAAATTGAATTGTCTAACTTTTATGAACACTAAGTGTTTAGTTTATTTGATGAATATTAAAGTTACAGCGCTTCAAAGTCATTTTAGAAAATAATTTTCGCCTCCTGTGTTATTTCAATGGGAGAGGTTTTTTGAAAAACAATTTTGACTTTAAAGCCTTATAACTTTGTTGAACCTGAAGAAACATATCAATTTTTTGTTAAATAAAGTTAGCAAATTCAATTGCCTGCCTAACTCGTATTTTTTGCAAAGACTCGGATGGATGGATATTCTGTCATATGACTTGCGGCAAACCTACCATTTCCCATTGGTTAACATGGGAATGTCGATTTTCAAAAATTCATCAAATTTATCATCAATTTTCGACCTATTGTAATTGAGGAAAAAAATTGAGAAAATTTGGAGGTATTGGAATTAAAGTCAAATTACGTTTCCATCAATAATATAAGTATTTTCATCGCAGGTTAAGTAAATAAAAATTCAAAGGTAAAGAGGCTTTAACACGTAGTTCAATGGGGAAAAAAGGTTGCCAAACTTATGGAGGGGAGTGTACATACACTGTATGCAGAAAATGTTTCAAATGGTAAATCGCGTAGCTTTAATCAAGATAGAAACTAAAATCACTTTGTCACCATTACAGAGATGTTAAAACAACTATTAATGCTTGAATCGTTCGGGTTTAATAGAATTGTAACACGGCATAAACCAGATTAACACCACAGCATAATATGCAAGTTGAAAGCAAGTTTACACCAACTCATAACATTGAAACTCATAGTTAGCGCGAACCGAAATATAACGTGTAATAAGATGTAAATTTATCGTCATGTGACCATTCAGAAAGAAGTTTTTTTCTGTTTTGGGTAAATCAAAATATCATGATAATTCCTTTTTTGGATGACCCATGAGACTCCTCGAAAGTTTTGTTACATTGTATTTGGCAAAAACTGTAGCTTGTTAACATAATATAACAATAAACTTGATACAGATAGGGGGAATACTTATCATAGATGTCCAACAGTGTCTCGGTAGCTGTACAATACAAGTATAGAAAACATTGTCTAGGTAGCTATACAATGGTCATTATGACACCAGTGTATAAATAAACAGTGTCTATGTAGCTGTACGATTCCAGTATAGACAAGACATTGTATAGACAAGACATTGTATAGACAAGACATTGTACATGTAGCTGTACAATACAAGCAGAGACAAAACAATGTCTATGTAGCTTCACAAAGTGTAGACAAAACATTGTTTACATAGCTGTACAATACAAGTTAGACAAAACATTGTCTAGAGAGCTACAATTAAAGTGTAGACAAAACATTGTTTACATAGCTGTACAATACAATTATAGACAAAACATTGTCTATAGGTAGCTGTACAATATAAATTACAGGTATACACAAAACATTATTCATGCAACTGTACAATTTAATTCAAATACAGACAAATCATGATGCGATGACTCTCATATTCTGAGTACAAACAAATGCAACTACAAGAATTCTGGCACAGTTCCAGGATACAAGAATCTTGAACAAATCAACAGTACTAGTGTGTAGCATTAACATTAGTTTGAAAGAGGATAAAACAGTTGATTATTCGTTCTCTTCTACTTAGATCTTTCCAAGTTCCCACCATCTACTATAAATTGATTTCAAATATTTTTTACAAACCCCACGTGCGTACGCTTAGTAATTTATTGAATCATTACAATAATTTAAATGTAATCTCAGTTTGCTCAATGATGGCTGCAAATTATGTAGCCTCTGATAATTAATGGACATTGAGGATGGACGTATTTCCTGGTTCATGTTAGTTAATAATCCCTATGCCGCTAACGTCGGCGAACCGTGCTACATTGGTGATGTGACTGATGTCTCAACTACTGGAAATATCACGTATAGTGCTTTTAACATTTACCACTGTTGGTTAACCATGATTGGTGATAATGCAGTAGTGCCTTGTTACTGTTCCCACTGCCGGCTTATAATGGCCAGTGATCACGTGATAATTGCTTGTTACTGTTCCCACTGCCGGCCTATTATGGCCAGTGATCAAGTTGAAATTGCTTGTTACTGTTCCCACTGTCAGCTTATAATGTTATAATGGCTAGTGATCACGTGATAATTACTTGTTACTGTTCCCACTGTCGGCTTATTGTCAGCTAATTATGACCAGTGATCAATTGGAAATTGCTTGCAGTTACTGTTCCCACTGTCAGCTAATAATGCCTAGTGATCACATGATACTGAATTACTTGTGACTGTTCCCACTGTCGGCTTATTATGACCAGTGATCACGTTAAAATTTCATGTTACTGTTCCCACTGTCGGCTAATTATGGCCAGTGATCACGTTAAAATTTCATGTTTCTGTTCCCACTGTTGGCTAATTATGGCCAGTGATCACATGAAAATTGTGTGTTACTGTTCCCTCTGTCGGCTAATTATGGCCAGTGATCACGTGGAAATTGCGTCACTGTCGGCTAGTGGTCACGTGGTTTGATATTTAAATGTAGCAATTATCATCCTTCTGTTGAGTCCATATTTCTGACACATAAACGTTTACAACTTTACATCGCAGTTGACACACAATGTCATTAGACTGATATGACAGGCCCAAAACGGATCTGTATATGACACTAGAGACACGAAATGCACCATCGTGAACAGGAACTGTATGTTAGTCATTAAATCATGTTACATCATATTTACAGTTTGGAGTCCAATTTATACACCGGTTTTCTTCGTAATCTCTTTATTTTAGGAGGAGCAGTGGGATTGGGTCCTTTACATGTATGTACATCCATCATTTCAATACACTCCTTACATTTAACATAGCAACACCAGTGAAATTTACATTCACATTTCCGTACTTTTTTGACGGTTGTAGTGTCATAACCACGCCCACAGCACATAATGTCACAACCGTCTGTCCCCATAGAGGTACGGTTACACTCCCTACCAGCAGTCCCCAATGAGCCTGAAAAATAGGTTTGTTTGTTATGATGAATTAAACGGGGGTCTATTTTCACGTCACGTGAATCCTTGTTAATATGACACGTAGTTTGATTTAGGTGTGAAATACGTTTTAATTCGAGACAATTTATAATAATTTATTATTTATACATTAGGTACACAAGGTTTTTCATTTTATGATCGCAACATTGTCTGTATATAATATACGATCTCCTAGGATTGAAACACTTTCAAAATGAATCAAACGAGAATCAAACGATAATACAAATACTAAAAATGGGCATATTTTAAACAATATACTATATGCATATGCGTCTTTAAAACAAGACCGCCGTAATAATATTTACCTGTATCGGGGTCTTCAACGCAGTAATCCGGAGACTGCTCAAAATATACAAGGTCCGACCTAGTCGGTTTCTTATGATTTCTATTTGCAACAATGAGTCCATTTCCATCTTGGTTAATCCCAACCTGGGTGGCTCCGTTATATTTCACTTTCAAATAATCGCCCACCTTTCTGAAGGTTTGCATTGCAAGCCAACACGTTCGTATAGTGCAACTACCGCTCACCCCGTGGCACTTGCATTCTAATTTCATAAATTTCTTTACTGCCTGAAAAATAAAAAGATTTGATATTGATCTTGGACTTTGATGTTACAGAAGAATTTAAGTTTGTCTGGAAATAAGTTCTTGTTTTTTTCATTATGCATGGCTTTTCCTGGGAGTTTCTCATATGAAATCAGGAAAGTTGATGCCATTACAGGATTCTCAAAAGGTTTGTTTTTCAAAAACGTGTCCGTACGAGGACGGTTCAACAAATACACCCTCAATCCAAGGGTATTTTTATAGATTGACAGCAATATGCAAGTCTGAATAATTCGAATATATTGTGAACTCGGGGCATCTCTCACTTACCCTTCTGCCTGCTCTATTATTGTGTAGGTTCATAAGCGCCCGGGCGTCTCTTATACGTTTTTCCCGAGCATCCACAAACATTCTAGAAAAATCTGCACCATATCTTACATTGTCACTACACCCACCCCACTTAAATTCTCCCTTTCTGTCTTTCGATTGTCCCGTTTTTGTTGGGTCACAAGCACAATTTTGAAGATCTCCTTTACTGCAGGCCCTCGTAATGGCATGAACAACCCCAGCTGAAGAGATTGAGTATACAAAGGCCGCCTCCCGACTGCCGACTGAAATATTAAAATTTGAAAACAAAAATTAGATGATCTCATACAAGTTTTTCATCTATTGTACATTTATGATATTATATTATTACCACCTTGCCGGGCCAGTTCTAGGGGTTTTAGTGCTAGTTTACAGCCCTCGGTCCAATATTTCACTATATTGTCCTTCGAAATGACGTTATTGTACAAGTATTTCACATTATATGCACTGAATTCTGAGTGAGGTTCACCAATCTTTCTTGACGTCCAAGCCAATTGTTAAATAGTACACTTTTATATTTAGGATGTCCTAATTTTGGTATGATGGCTATAATGAGAACGTTTTAATACAAGATATTGAAAATATACCAAAATGGGGTAGGGCAAATTTCTAAGGCATTTTGTATACAAAATTACTTTTAAAAAAATATATATTGTCAAGTATTCATTTAAAGAAAATAGTTTGAAGCATTAGTATTGTATCAACTGTTGTATTTTAACTTACCACTAAATAACAAAAAAACTAAACGTTATTTCGAATTTTCTTTAGATTTACTCATAGAATATTATTTTATCTGATTGTATTGATTATGCAAACATATCATACACATAATCTTGCACTCTTAAGATAAACTAAAAATAAATGTACTATGCAACTAATACGATCTGTCAACGATTCCTGTCGGCAATCAAAACTGATGAGGTGGAAACTACAGAGTTCTCAGAGATTTAAAAATAACTTTTTAGAAACTTGGAGCTACTCTCAAAGTTCATAAGTTATAAGAAAGTAATACTTGTATGTAATATTATAAACTGGCAAATATTTAGGGATATTGGTAAATACTAAAAATTAAGTAAAAAATGAAGAGAACAATATCGCATTTTGAGAATTTTCAGAGTATAAGCTAGGGGAGAGGGACTGGTCAAGAGAAAATGAAATAGGAGTCAAAGCTAAGATAGACTTTGAACAAATGCCTAAGATTCGAAAAGCCAAGTCATGTGAAAACGACTTTAACATGGCAAAGAAATGAAAGGCAGCAATTAGCAAGCAAAAATACACGAGGACCAACGTAAAACTAGGAAGAGGAATTGTGAATCCGAAATCAAAATTGGTTCAAAATATGATCTCATTATTTTTGACTGACGAGAATGCAGACACCTAAATAGTGTTTTTGGGGTTTGAAAACATTTTTGTCGCGAAGCGTAATCGGATAATGAAACGGGTGACTGTTATGTTCGTATTGATAGGTAGTGACAAGTTAGTCCCGATCTCTATTGGAGCCGTGTGTGGTGGGATTGAAATAAAACCACCTACGGATCAACATCAAACATAGCAAAACTTATAGTGTAATTTCCACAAGAAAGGTTTCAATTTCATTCCTTTGTCCTCCAGCGTGATTATACTGAATGCGCGATGTTTGCTTTTACAGCAGATCGGAACTGTTAAACCAAAGCCTCAGAACGATGAATTAAATGGTAGGAATTTTAGCACGAGGGAGATTTAATTTGGCTCCCTTTTCAGATTCAGCACGGACTTAATACTAAAATTGAGTTTAAACATAAGTATTACTAGGCCTGTACATGTCAGCCAGTTCTTCACTTTCATTTCACGTTTCATTAGCATTGAACCCCCTCTAATATCCTTCACATATGTTATCATAATTTGAAAAATAAATTCCATTTTGTTCTTACCACATAAGATCAAGCCATTTTCCCCGGTCAACTGCCTCAAATATACACTGAGCTTCGATAAGGGAGGACAGAGTCAACCGGGGACATTGGATATAAGCCTATAACTGGATATCATAGCCTTTAATCTCAAATCAAGAAATCTATCAAGTAGTATTTTGAATGGATTAATAGGCCCTTGACGGGATGTTGAGCTCCTTGGATATTCTCAAGAGCCTTCGAGTTAAAAGTCACTCTACAATAAGCTTCAAAGTGTGAATCGCTGACACGATCTGATACCGAGCGTTCCTCACAAATTATCGTCGACTATTTTGATGACGATTTGTGTTAATGGTTTTTTCCCCAACTCCTATAGTCTTTTGAAGTTTCGCAATTACATTTATGAACATGCATTAATCATAGAATTCTTTATTATTTCATTATTTGGAGTTGCTTGTTTTGTTAAGTTATCGCATTAAATGAAGTAATATATTTGAATTTGACTTAGTGATACCATTTTCTACAAATATCACTCAAATCAAAATGATATTGTTGTAAGCCAGCCTAGTCCAAAGGCACCTAACAACAAGAGACATGGGAAGATTTTGATTATTTTTTAAACGACAAAGTGATTAATTTGGGAATGTTGATTTTAAATTCTTAAGGATTCTAATGTAATACCTTTTAGCATAACTTTTCCAAAGACAGATGCGTCTCTGTCTATAGTACTGCAGTTCCAACGTTGCGCTTTGAACTGGAATTGACATTCGTTCACACCGACTTTAGCGCCATCTGCGAGGCTGACCATGACGTCAAGATGGGCCCGACAAAGTCTCTTTTGACGGCCCACCAGACCTGGGACGTTATCACAGATCATCTGTGTGCCTACCGCGTGCAGCGGGAGCTGACTTATAAACCTGAAAATACACGCAATTTAAAAATTTTACTCATCACATTTTCTGTTTTTCAACGTCAGTTCATGATCTCAAGACCATGCCCCGTGTCTTGCGTCAATCCGGAGAAATCGGATGACATTGGTCCCGATGACGTCAATCGTTATGAAGTATGGGTTTGTTCTTTATAGGTGTGTTTTTATTGCCTTTCATTTGTGTTTCACAGGAGAAAGTACACGGGTCTCAGTATACGGACTGCGTGATCTTGGGATGAGTTGTCTCTAGGCTTGAGTTGTCTTATGGATGAGTTGTCTTGGGATGTGTTACCTTGGGATGAGTTTCTTAGTGACAAGTTGTCTTATGATGAGTTGTCTGAGGGGTACGTTGCCTTAGAGATGAGTTGTCTTAGGTATGAGTTGGCTTGGGATGAATTGTCTTAGGTATGAGTTGGCTTGGGATGAATTGTCTTAGGCATGAGTTGGCTTGGGATGAGTTGTCTTAGGCATGAGTTGTCTTGGGATGAGTTGTCTTAGGCATGAGTTGTCTTGGGATGAGTGTCTTAGGGATGAGTTGTATTCAGGATGAGGTGTCTCCGAGTTGAGTTTTCTTTGGGAGGTTCAACTTATGAGTCGTCTAGATATCCAAGAAATCAATATCTAATTCTCTTTTGGAGATCTGCATATAAATGATGTAAAAATGATAATCTTTACTAAGGGAAATTATGAAGCATCCCTGTATGGATCTGTGGAAATTACCGTAACCTAGAAATACATCTTATTGTTTCATCATCATATTTTCTCCCGATTGTCATTGTGTTTTCTAATGTGCTCTGACTTCCTCAGAGGCTGTTCTTTATTTCTATCATACGTTGTTTGGGTATGAGATAAACCAGGAACTTTAGAAAGAGTTGAATATTGGGGATATCAAAATAGGGATAAGCATTAGGATGTAGATTTTCTATATCGTGATTGTTGTCGGCCGCCGTAGAGCAAATGTGACTGGGGCTTGACGGCTCAAAAAATCAATTTGCTGGGACATCGCTCGTGATAAACACCATATCCAAACATTTCATTACATAACAGTTATATTATGAGTACTATATAAAGGGTTCATTTCGTACCAGTTCACCAGCAGATCAGGTTGATATAAACGTACCAAACAGGGAACTAAACAAAACGTTTAGCTAGACATTAAAATAAACATTCCAATTAATCGTTAAATGATTCTAATTGAGAGTATCACTATCTTCTGGTTACCCCGCCAACTGCAATAAACCACATTCAAGTATGTTTCACCCCGGTCAAATATTGACTTTGCCAATTTTCTCAAAAGAATAACATTGCCCCGCATCATAGTATTTATTTTACATTATTCTCTGTAATCTGATTTCATCATTTGTTTATCTCATGGGAAACACGTAAATCGCAACAGTTTGAATCTTCATATCGAGGGCTGATATAATACGTCGGAGTACCTGAAGAATTCTAATTAACAACATTTGGCAACTCTGACACTGTTGATTAGTTTACTCACTGCAGTTGCAAACTTCTATCTCTTTTCAACTAACAGATCTTGCATTGGGGGATTTTGACGCATTAAATCATTTAATTTCATTAATATTCATCAACTTAATTCCCCTTTCATTAATCAAGCCATTAGTTTTCATCAGTTAAGTTGATTGTTGCAGTTATATCATCAACCGAGTTGATTGTCGTTATCATATCATCGGTAAAATCATTCAATTTCCTTTCTTATTTCAATTCATCAAGAAAACACGTTTACGATTCGATTTCCCATAAACAACCCATTTACTTTGTTTTTAACCCCCATCAATCAACCCCCAAAATATGTCACTACAACGTAAAAGTAGATCAAAAGTGAGACATAAATCTCGTATTTAAATAAAAACACAATATAAACCATTTTGAGGGTATACCCGTACATCTTCATGAGACGTAAATAGCACAAAATATCTAAACATAGATTGGTATAAGGACTCGAGATAGTCGAGTCTGTCCAAAATACCGTTTCTAAGCTCATCTCAACGCTAAAATAAATACTTAACGTTCCTTCAGAACAAATCAACTATCCCTGTACACTCGAACCATTGTTTTAAGATTTTTTAAGATATTTACAAACTAACGTAATCCATCTATTTTCAGAAATGAATTTATTGCACTTGTGAGTGTGAATTGTGTAATCTTGCAGAATTCCAAAATGATGAATAAGTGAGTGGCATTAAATCATATCATGTACTATAATAAAATATTATTTTTTGTAGATATTCTACCATCTTGAAAAATTATCAAAAATCAAGAATGGTGTCTCTCATTGACTCCGAACGTTACTTACAACTTAAAACACATTTGTAATTATAAAAACAAATTTTCATCAAATACTCACCATAAAATCCAAATAAATAGCGGTGGTACGAAGACCATCGTCACATTTTTAATTCAACAGAACTTCATTACTGTGAAAGACGTTTCCAATAATGCAATGTAAAGGTTTAGACAGAAGGAAATCATTTTTAACCGAGAAGATAGTGATTTGTTATCGATATATTTGTACATATGGAATCCAACTGTCAGATAGAACAAACCGATCAGGAGATGATGACCACACGCTGAGTGATACGTATTGGTATAAACTACCAAATTGTTTTAAATAAATAAAAGGGTTCCAACACTTACCACCAAGTTGCTGTTATTTCGTTAGGGCAGACTAGAACTAGTAAAATGATTACCAGGTTTTTCCAATGAAAATTTGCCATTTCTTAGAGAAGTCCATGAGATACGCTATCTGCACCAATATCCAACATTTTGTCCACTTAGTTTTAGCCGTGTAAAAGTGGGGTATACTCGCTATCCTAACTCATTTGCATATCCTACCCAAATAAGGAAGTATCAAATTCGTTTGGTCCATTTTGATTGGACAGCCATATTGGATCAAAAGATCGCTCAAATATTTTCCCAAAATAATTTAAATGTATCTGATCTCCATTTGCTTAGTTATGACAGATGGATTGGTCAATCATAACACACTTAGTATATTAACTACAAATAAGCATAATATTTATTTACCTTGAAATAATTAGATACTTTTACCTAGTTATATGCATAAATCACCATGTCTGAAGCATTTACTGAAACTGAATTATTTCAGAGTTTTCAGGAATTTTCCAATTGTGTTAAGACGGAAAAAGACTAATTGAATATATGCTGACAGATTATCAAACTTGTTGGTCTTATATTTTACCAAATTGAATATGATTGATTGATTCAGTATCTACGTTCTATACCTGATGTTATGGCTGTTTAGAATAATTACATTACTTAAAGTAGCCTCACAGGCGACATCTTTAGAAAAGTGCTAAACCTCTATTGAAAATTGAATTCTGTTTTTAGGATATTTTCAGAGACATAATTGGAATAATCGAGCACCTTCTTTTTGGTGATTTGAATATATCTCGAGTGTAAATCATCGCAAATAGTTTTGGTGTTAAGGAGATAAATTGGTTGAAAATAAATATACGGCGTGACAATGACTATTCAAACTGACCATAGTCATCAGAAAAGTACCTTCATATATAAGTAACAAAATCATCTACAGAAATTGAATGATATTTTGGAAGAAAGAAAAAAGTTATTTATGTTTAGTTTTCCTTTGCATTGCCACTAGCTTATTGTTTACGTATAGCCAAGATTTGTGTAGGTAATCGATGTATATGCAATATTAAATTCTTCATTGTCAGCTACAGCCAAACTACCCGGATCCTCGTTTCCGCATATGGGCGATTCAGCATACAGATTTCTGTTCTCTATTGAGGTAACCCCACACATGTGTTCAACTTGAATGCGACTTGTATCTCCAAACACGGGCCCCTTTGGTATATCTATAATGTTATTATTTGAATCGTGTTCTTTTCCTTCAATGTCCGTTTTGTCTCTTTCATCATTTGTATCTACATTGTCTGCTGTATGTACATTATCGTTGACAACTAGAGTATTGTCGTCTGCTTCTACATTGTCGTCTGCATTATTTAAACTGTTTTCTACGTTGTTGGGTGACCGTTGAGCAAGTGATTCCACTAGTTGCGCTGAGTTGTAGTATTGGTTGAACCTATTTCCTATAATAGGTATTGGAAGACCTGAAATGATCAGCAGAAATAATATTTTGGAGTTCGATTGAGAGGCCAGTATTTATTGGTATTAGGAGAGGAATTAGCGACATGTCAATGATAAATCACAAAGAAGAATTAATAGAATTAGACATAGACATACCGACACATGAATGGCATCTTCATGATTGAATTCACTTCCCTTGTTTTGAAAAATATGAAATTGTATATGTGTCAGGGATTTAAAGAATTTAAATAACTACACCGAATCGCAATTGGCAAGCCACACTACCCTTTAACTAGTTGCACATTTATATGATGTTGAGTCTAGCTGTCATTGACATTTATAGTCGTAAAAACATATTCATGTAGAAAAGGTAGTGAAGTGATTTTTGGCTAAAAATTGCATTGTGAAACTTTCAATTATTACTCGGTTATAATAAATTAATCCAAAGAGTGAAGTGATTTTGTAAAGTCTACTCACTGACCTGTACATAACAGTCCACACAAGGCGCAGAAGCATCCAACAATGTAACCAGGCGCAGACTCCGGATGGGTATCTCCATATCCAACCGTTGTCATGGTGACCACTGACCACCAAAATCCTTTCAATATGGAGTGAAAATTATTGGGTTCGGTCAGCTCTGCTATGTAGATCAACACGGCAAATATGGTCATCCACGTGAAGATCAAAGTGCACAGAAGAAGAAGCTCTTTGACGCTGGCTTTCAGTGTCAGCAACAGGACATGGAACTCTTTGAAAAAGGCAGCGAGTTTCAAAAGTCTGAAGACTCTGATGAGCCGCATAATATCGATAAGGTGGAACAAGAAGTAGATGGAGTCGTCGACGAATCTGAAGCGAGGATACGAGAAGATGATAATGTACTGCATCCAGGTGCCAGAGATGCTGATAAAATCCACGTAGGTCATAAATGACATGAGGCAATCCCTCAAATTCACAAACGTCATATACCATAGCAGTAATTCCACAGTAAACACAGCGTTCAGCGCGATATCAATTATCATTATCTCCAGGCGAGCATCTGTTGTATCATACATCTTGTACTTTGGGTTGGTTTCATTGCTGTTGATCTTTGGTACAGTTAGCAAGGCTGGAGATCTGAAGAACTCATCTGTTTCCATGCATACGATCGCCACTGATGCGCAAATTGCCATGAACATAAACGATGCCCAAAGCTGCAAAATAACAAGTGAGATATAATGAAAATCCCCGGGTGAAACTCAGAAGAGCAAGCATCTGTTGGACTTATTCAACCACCTCGGCAATCTCAAAATCTCAATTTCTACTCTTTAGACATATTATTTAAGAAGAGGAATCCAGTGTCATTGAGAAATCAAAACTACAAAATGAAATTACAATGAATGGTGAAGGTTACCTTGGCTGTGACAGATGAGAAGGGGTCCTGCAAGAATATCCGAATTTTTCTTCTGGTTTCTTCACGTGGCCCATCCAGGAGTGATCCCTCGTGGAGCTTTTGGGACCAACTCAGTGCGTTCTTCACGACATTGAAACAGGTCAACTTATCATCATTTTCCCTGAACCTATCCCAACAACATATTCTTATCTCACGTTCGCTGATGCCCCAAAATTTTAGCTCTTGTTGGACGACTTGGCCACAGAAGTTGCCAAACAAATGAACCTCCCCTGTGCGTATATACTCCAGAACCATTGGGAATAGATCTGGATTCCTCTCGAAGAACAGGCATTTCATTTCTTCGTCATAGTAGTCACTGTCCTTGCTCAAAAGACCTTTGTTGAATGGATTGCTATTTTCTATGGATGCCAATGATACTAGAAAATCTCTCCCGCTTATGCAAATCTTCAACTTAGGCATTTTTCTGATTTTGTCCGATCTTGTATGCTATTTCAAATGTAAAACTCAAAGTTTAGCTGGATTAAAAATAGTATTTCATCGATGTTTTTCTGAGCATTGGTGCGTGTTTTTGAAATAACACTTGTTAATTTCGTAATTAGGCCTAATGTCAAAATTATTACCTTGAGACGATTGCCTGATTAAGACTGCATTAAAAGTCAAAACGGCACGCTACTGTCAAACCGCAAAGGACAACAATTTAACACAAATTCTCTTATTCTCATATATTAAAGGGGCAACCTAGATAGATGCCAGCACCCACAATGTGTACAACAGTCACTATAATTCTTGACTAGTAAGTAGTAATCCAACATTTTAATCACTTGCATCATGAACTTGCATGAATATTTAATCCTAAATTGTCTCTTTATATGATATAAATATATATATGAATGATATAAGCACAGGACCAGGATGAGTGCATTAAATTAGCCACAACGCATTGAGCCATATGATTTACTAACCGCCATGTACACTCTGTTGTAAAATTAAGAATGCAGATTAACTCTTTTTTAAATCAGAGAAAGCATGGCGATTGGCGATGTTAATTTCACTCCAAGTTATAATTTTACGATGATGTATCTCAATTCTTTAACTCGTATGATGAGACCTATAGAGTTGGTTAATTACCAAAAAGTTCTCTATCACTCGCATCAATGAGGTCAGGAAAAAATAGATCAACAATTAACAACATCTTTAAGGTCCATTCATTTGGGTAAATCAGCCTTTTCTTCCCCAGTGTCCCTGCCTTGAGTATCTCGTATGCTACATCATAGACATCACCGTAGTCCGCGTCCGCTATCCCTGCTTTCGTACCAGGAAATGATTCGAATACATCATGCGCTCTTTTAGTATCTGCAAAATGTATTATATGTGCCATGAAACGACAGGGAAGCGAGATAGTTTGATCTCAGAACTTTGATCTCAGAAATAGATTTCACTCAAAATATTGTAAAATCCTCGATCTGGTATTTTAATCAAAACAAGATTTCTGAAGAGAAAAAACATTCATTTGATTACTTAAGTATACGTTTTAAATTAGATCTTAATAAAACAATGAGACAATAAGTGAAGAACAATGCACCAGTGGCATCTATTGGAATCCTCAAATACATTGTCGAAGGCATAAATTATTGTATGTAGTGAGATCCCTGATTGTAGGAGAAATAAACATTTTATCACATGGCTAATTAATTATTTTGTATTGTGCGAGAGGAGTTATCGTTTCATTTGGGGATTCCTTGATGTTTGCGTTGTTAACAAAAATAAAGAATGACACCCAAATCCGATTCGACTCTACAAAATTGCTTTCACTGGGGTATGGATATGGAAGTGGATCTTTGTACTTTTACCTACGAGTCCCAGATTGCAGACCGTCAATGAAATATTCGATTTTTCAATCATCAGCTGTTGATTCAGAGATCCAAAGAAACCATCAAGTGCGAACTTAGACATGATATACGGAGTCATAAACGGAGATGGTAATTTCCCTGCAATGTTGAAATAGATAGCTTAAATAATGAATAAAATGTCAGAACTTTGCGATTTTTAGAAACATGGAATGTTGAAAAAATTGATAATTTTTTAAACTTATTCTCAACTCTTTTCTAACCCTTCTTCTTCAGTGAACTATTTACTAATCACTTCATGAAATCGATGGAACGGTAGCACTACATACTAACCTCCAAGGGATGATATGACAATCAGTCTACCATGTGATTGTTTCAAGCTAGTCATTGAACGTGCTGCCATCTTTACGTGTGATAAAAAGTTAATTTGATAAACCCTTTGTAATAAATCGAAATCTTCATCGGAACCAGTCCAAGGGAATAAGTCGTGGATGAATGCATGGTTGAGTATCACATAATCTAGACCTCCAAGTCTGTCTTTAGCATTCTAAATTGAAAGAAAACAGAGTTGTATTCACGGTAGGTAGATCGAGTAGGGTAATAATGTCTTGAACATGAAAGAATTCTAAATCACATCGGGTGTCCCTTGAAGCTAAATGAATGGAGCGCCTACGACATAGCTTCCGCTAGCTTTTGGACATCAGATTTAAAGTTATTAAAATGAATTGAGAGAAAGTAAAATCTAAAGATAATAATCTTGCCAATGTTTTCCTTTACAATTCTTATTTTACTTTTGCTATGAACGAGTTGACAATAATTACATTCTTACTAACATCTACGACAGCAGATGACCTGGTCACATTTTCCATATCAGCAACAATGTAGGAATGTAGCTTTCTTCCTGATATTTTATCACACTTACTAACAACCTATAAATATAAAAATTACCATGTTCTCTATCAATTCTATTGTTATGTCTGAATTTCTACTTATTCACATGAAAGACCTAAAAGGGTATGGTTTAAGTGATTTTCCAATTTCAAAGAATGTTTTTCCCGGTTCAAAATTTTTTTTAAAATAATAAATTGTCCTCTAAAATCATTCACAATTATGAAAATGACCCCTATCGATTCGATCGATATACGTCCGAAGCTAGACCATTAAAGTCAAGAAGTACATTGAACTAATTTCCCTCGAACCCTAATTGGTCATCTTTCAATTTATTTATTTTTTATTTATTTTAATTTTATTATAGTGTCACGAGTTAAAATACAATTACATATATAAAACAATAGTACACTGTTAAAATCACCCCAGGCCCCCTATGGGCCTATAAGACACTTTTGTAAAAACATATAAATCATGTTTTGTAAATAAAATGTTCCCGTCGTTTAAGCATCCGGTCACAGGCTTTTGCAGTGAAGGTGAAGAGACAAATTCTGTCATTAGACATTAAACACTGAAATTTACATGTACTCTCTTCATCTAAATTCATGAAACCAGTTACAATAGTAGAAACGTTTGCATGCAAGTCTAAACGGATGTCTTCATTCTTCTTAAATAAATTCTTCAATACTTAAAATACTTATTACCTCTTGTAAAAGAGTTTCTCTCCGGGCTGTGATGACAACTTGTGCGCCATATTTGGCACATGTGTATGCCAAGGCCTCCCCAATACCAGATGACCCGCCTGTTATGAGGATTCGCTTCCCTTTCAATCTATCTGAAATCAACTGTAGATTATTATAAACTTCAACTCACGACACTGATCGGTTTACTGGTCAGACTTGTCAACCCCTCATCGATACTGTCCTTATAACTTCCACCAAATCCTTCTCTTATTGAATGGTAGTTTAACGGGAATGATCACAATTATTCAAAACACGATCCTTTAAAATACCCCGAGGTATCTTTTAACTGCCATTACTGGAGCAACTATTGCCATTTAAATAAACTCAGTACAAACAATGCGGATCTGTAACATATGGATAATATTACCCATACTTGGTATAATTTCGATTAATTTTGTATATTTGCGCGTAATTGTTATGATGTTCAAGAAATCGTACTTAAAGGCGTCTATCTTAATTACGAAACGTTTGGTCGCGACAAACACTACAAACGATCTTGTGGCGACGGAGAATCAAAACGAAACGCCATGCGATGGAATACATTTAAAGGGATATATGGAAGATAATCGTCAAAAAGATCTTTTGATATACAGTAAGGCTCCTAAATGTGGCAGTTCGACATTGGTGGGTGTTTTTAAAGAGGCGTGCCAGACATCAAAAAGTTGTTACATTGGATATGAAACGTGTGAAAAGTTGAAAACTACTTTTAAAGACAATCCAGAGTCCCGGCAAAATTGCATCACTCAGATTAAACTACAAAAGCGACCCTTTATTTTTTCAGCCCATTTACCATTTTTGGATTTTACAGAATTTGGATCAAAGCAGCCATTATTTGTCGATATTATTCGCGAACCAGTAAAACGATGGATTTCTGGATTCTACTTCACAAGATCAGATGCTTATCACATTAATATTGCTAACCTTTCCCGGGAAGACACAACCGCGACAATTGATGAATGTCTCAGTAAATGGATTACAACTTCAAATTGTCCCGCCCCAGAGGTATATGATAGCTCCGGGGTGGAGCAACTAGCGGGCTGTCTAAGGACCAAACCGTACACAGGTTGCCGGGGTATGGACCCGCCCGCTTCACTCAGAGCATGGTTTTCTGGTGATGCGCTACCCCATACAGTTAACGTCGCAAAGCATAACATTGAAAAATACTACACATTTGTCGGCATGACTGAACACTATAATGCTACACTCAGAGCTCTTGAAGCGTTGATTCCATTTTTTAGAAGTGATGACCTTGTTGACGCTTATGAACACACTCATCACGTGCACGTGGGAACAAACAAAACACCGCCAAGTGAGTTCCATGAATCTATTATGAAAGTTTTACTTGGAGATGAATATGAACTGTATCATTTCGTCCTTCAACGATTTCATTCTCATTTGAAATGTTTAGGAATTTCCTGAAATATTTGATTGGAGTAGGTTGGTGGTAATCATCCTAGAAATGTGACATCGCCATTGAAACAAGAATTAATTATAGTTTTGGAAATAGTTAAATACTCTTCTAGCAGTTTTTATCGTTAACCTTGTCAAATCCGGATGACGCTCTGATAGTTTCGATGTTACAATTATGCAAATTGTTTGAAAGAAATCCCCATCTTTTTGACGCTATATTTTCCAAATCATTTAAGATTCCCATTGAGTTATGTTATATACGGCCTCGTTCACAAAAAGGTTGATCATGGTTACTTCATTCATCACATCATACATAATTATAAACATCTATTAGATATCTTTTGTAAGGCTAGAGTGTACAAATAGTTAATGTAAAAATAACTATCATGAGAAATACACTATAGCTAGAATACATAAATAAGAATGTGACACCATTAGAGGACCTTAAGGGTATTACTTCTTTATATATGGTTAATATATCAATCAAAACTTTTTGTGCGACAATATAGTTGTACACCAGTTTAACCCGACTTTACCTGAACACTTCTCTCTTGAATTACCCTTTCGCATTCGTTTGACTTCAAGAGAGCTTTGGTGGTTTATAACTAGACTCTGCGCGAAGGATACTCCTAAAGGAGTGAAAACATGTGAGACAATGGGGGAAACAATTATTGGACCTGAGTATCGTGTTCACGCCACGCCGGTGGTGTTCAGATTACACAGGTATTCAGGTAAGACAATGCGTGAATGAAACTAATTGGATCTGCGTATAGCGTTCACATGAGGTGTTAAGATCATAGAGGCTTTCAGATAAGACCGTGCGTGCATGATACAAATTGGATCTGCGTATAGCGTTCACATGAGGTGTTCAGATTATAGAGGTATTCAGATAAGACAATGCGTGCATGATTCAAATTGGATCTGCGTATAGCGTTCACATTAGGTGTTCAGATCATAGAGGTATTCAGATAAGACAATGCGTGCATGATACAAATTGGATCTGCGTATAGCGTTCACATAAGGTGTTCAGATCAGAGAGGTATTCAGATAAGACGATGCGTGCATGATACAAATTGGATCTGCGTATAGCGTTCGCCTGAGGTGTTTAAATCATAGAGGTATTCAGATAAGACAATGCGTGCATGATACAAATTGGATCTGCGTATTGCGTTCACATGAGGTGTTCAGATTATAAAGGTATTCAGATAAGACGATGCTTGCATGATACAAATTGGATCTGTGAATAGCGTTCGCCTGAGGTGTTTAAATCATAGAGGTATTCAGATAAGACAATGCGTGCATGATACAAATTGAATCTGCGTATAGCGTTCAAATGAGGTGTTCAGATTATAAAGGTATTCAGATAAGACAATGCGTGCATGATACAAATTGGATCTGCGTATAGCGTTCGCCTGAGGTGTTTAAATCATAGAGGTATTCAGATAAGACAATGCGTGAATGATACAAATTGAATCTGCGTATAGCGTTCACATGAGGTGTTCAGATCATAGAGGTTTTCAGTAAGACAATGTGTGCATGATACAAATTGGATCTGCGTATAGCGTTCACATGAGGTGTTCAGATCATAGAGGTTTTCAGTAAGACAATGCGTGCATGATACAAATTGGATCGGCGTATAGCGTTCACATGAGGTGTTCAGATCAGAGAGGTATTCAGATAAGACGATGCGTGCATGATACAAATTGGATCTGCGTATAGCGTTCACATGAGGTGTTCAGATCAGAGAGGTATTCAGATAAGACGATGCGTGCATGATACAAATTGGATCTGCGTATAGCGTTCACATGAGGTGTTCAGATCAGAGAGGTTTTCAGATAAGACAATGCGTGCATGATACAAATTTGATCTGCGTATAGCGTTCCTATGAGGTGTTCAGATCATAGAGGTTTTCAGTAAGACAATGCGTGCATGATACAAATTGGATCGGCGTATAGCGTTCACATGAGGTGTTCAGATCAGAGAGGTATTCAGATAAGACGATGCGTGCATGATACAAATTGGATCTGCGTATAGCGTTCACATGAGGTGTTCAGATTATAAAGGTATTTAGATAAGACAATGCGTGCATGATACAAATTGGATCTGCGTATAGCGTTCACATGAGGTGTTCAGATTTTAAAGGTATTTAGATAAGACAATGCGTGCATGATACAAATTGGATCTGCGTATAGCGTTTACATGAGGTGTTCAGATTATAAAGGTATTCAGATAAGACAATGCCTGCATGATACAAATTGGATCTGCGTATAGTGTTCGCATGAGGTGTTCAGATCATAGAGGTATTCAGATAAGATAATGCATGAATGAAACATTTGGACCGGAGAACTGTGGTGATCGGATTATATTATTAGAGGTGTTCTGGAGAGACATGATGCAAATATTCTCAGCTCATTTTCATTCACTTTCAAATTCAAATTCCTCTACATAGAATATAGAGGATATGATAGTCAAAATGGGATGACAATGTTCAAATACGACTGCAGATATTGACTTTTACTCTGATATGTCAAAATGAGAACGGTGTTTTGCTACTATTCTAGTAATTTTTTACTAAACCATCGAATACTCTTCTTATGGACTTGACTCATTTAAACAAAACTAATTTCATTATTTTTTAACTAAGTTTCAACCTTAACATTACCATCTCCCCGTGAAAAAAAATTCTTAAAAATGTATATTCAGACAAAAACTAAGGTAAACATGTACACGTGTTTTCATGCTTCATTTTTAATCTGAGATAAGAACACGAATAACCCTTTAACTATGAAATAAATGAAAATATCACCCTATTAATTACTTAATTACGATACGATATTTATCCACATCTGCACTCTCTCGACGTAACCATTAATCATATCATTTACCTGTATCAAAAAATTCTTCTTGGAGTACAATGTACCTCACATAGATTCCAACAGAAGCGATCAACACAGCTATAACAAAGAATACCTTCCCGATCATTATGCAGTTCTGAATATTGGTTACTCAGATTTAGAAGAAGTACAAACCCACATTTACAATATCTCTAAAAGTATACAATCCATATTGTGACTTTAATTGTTCATTCTAATTTCGTGATCTTGTTTTCGTGAATTACCTTAAAACACTTATGTATATCAAGGGCTGTACCAATGGCGCGCATCTGCTGAATGGTACGCTGTAAATGATACACCGTACCACTAAAAATGATACAGATGTGCAAAATGTTTAGTTACAATCGACTGGAAATGTATAAAGTATATATGAATTAGAATTTTAAATGTTTATTAAAATACTTGAACTGTCAAAAACTTTATAACAGTTTCTAAAATACTAATTTAGGTATCAAAATGTGTCCTCTAATGCCAAGACCTAGTTGACTAAACTGATGGTCAAAATGTGTAGATGTAGACTAATTCCATGTGAAATGATGAAACCATCTGATTTATTTCAATTTGTCCTTCTCGTGTACACTGCTTTGTAATGAGGACCATGTTAAGTCCCGAGTGTCGTTTCGTTTGGTACACACACGGATCCCCGGGTAATAAGCCCTTGCTTGATCCAACCCCGGACGAATTGGTACAGCCCCTGTACACATCATATTCAAGTGTAAAGTAGATAGGTATTTTTTTTAGTTAGTTATTAGTAAGATATGCTAACTTTATATGGGGCACGAAGGCCCACTTGTTGAATTATATGTCATGTACGACACTTGATAGTGGTTAATTTTAACTTATTAATTCTTGAGACATGTCTTATTGGGGTCACAGTGAAGTGCAGTAATTTGGGAATCAGCAAAAGTGGTCAAGATGAGTTTTTTTTACATAGACAGAAAGTTTTTTGAGTTTAACTTGTTCCCAAATGTATGTATTTCATGGCGAATACTTTTAGCTTCTTCCTAGAATGAGTGCACTTATTGTGATCACTTTTAGCCTGTCCCTAAATGAATTCATACCACCTTTAGCTTATTCCAAATGCATGTATTAATTGTGAACACTAAATTATCTGGTATCAAAAGAGTTCTCTCTAATGTTCACTCATTGTATAAAAATTCATTGAATAAACAATAAAACGTTTGTAAATAAACATTTGTACTTTTATTAAAACAAGATGTAAAAATTGAGAATACAGTCAATGTCTATAGAATGTATGCCATGGACATGCAGTAGACTTCACAAAACATTATAAAACTCACTTTAATATTAATTTCCACGAAACAATTATCTATAATCATGAATTCAATGACGTATCCAACTTCATCCCAAATGCAAAAAATGTCATATATATTCAAACTTTATTCTTATATGAAGAAATCTTCACAAAGTTTTGATTGAAACCATTTTAATGAAAAATATACCTTGATATACTTTGTGGAAATTATCAAATGTTAATCTCTTTTCGCATGATACTTAAAGTTGTGTTTCTTAAACAAATGAAAACATATAAAATGCTGATGTTTATTCTATATACTAAGTAGTCAGCATGTACAACAACAATCGTCTACTCTCTCTAAACCTAAAAGCTATGGTGCTGTAGAATATACAGGTACAAAATATATACAGAAATATCTAGAACATTTACAGTGTTACAACATCACTTTCCAGAGTTTTTACAGATATTTTATGATGTTATATAATTTATTCACTTTTTACACATAGAGTTATACTTAATAATGTTGCTCAACTTATAAAATTGATGAAACTCAATTTCCCTGCAGTCCATGCCGATATGTATTTCTGTAAAAGCTGAGATCAAACTTAATGTCATTGCTATCAAATTATAAAACTTATTTTGGGAGTGGACAACATGACCTATTACCTGAGGTTCAGAATTCATGCAAACCAATAGATATTAAAGGGTCAAGTTATTGAGTATACAGCTATCTATTCAGAAGGCATGACCTTTGACCTGAGGTTCAGAATTCATGCAAACCAATAGAGATTAAAGGGTCAAGTTATTGAGTATACAATCCGAAGGCTATTTCTCTCAAATATATCGCACATCGTATTTTCAGGAAACAGGTTCAATACATGTACAGGGTGTCAAATAAATATGTTCTCCCCTCCTTAGCTTTAACATCCACATAATGCTGGATAACTTTTTTCTCTACAATGATATCTGAATTGTTCTTTAGCACATCATAACTAGGCTTCTAAGAGCAACTCCACAAGAAGTTTCAGATGACTAGCTCAATAAGATGCACTTTTATGCACAAAAGTGTATTCTCTTGAAATTAAGGGGGGGGGGGGGGGAACATATTTATTTGACACCCTGTAGAGGCCATTTTTGGACAACTTATGTTTTGAAAAATATATTGAGAAACACAAACTGAAAATCTCATTCACCATGATATTAGTCTACTATCACTGAGAAATAACTGGATAGAGAATATAATAAAGAAAGTCTCCTTAGGTGGAAATCTTTTCCTATTATATTCCCATGTACTGTTTTCCAAGCTTTCAGTTTGGTGAAGAACCTCATGAAAACAACTGCCTCATACAGATGAATGAAGCATCGACTGAGCCAAATATTGAGACTGTGCACGATACAGGAATTAGAAGCTGTATTTATAATATCGGAGTTTCATTATATATCACTTTTAGAGGTCTATTGGATCTTTGACAACATTTCTCCCACATACAGGGTGTCTAATATGTATGTTTCATTTTAGCCCAAGGTTCATTAAATGGTATGGTTCCTCACATTTCAAATGGTGTAGTGGTGCTAATTTATATGATGTGAAGAGTGCATCATATTAAGTGAATATCTAAAACATTTTATAAAACATTAGCTGCAAAATTAAAGTTGAATCATGCCACAAATATCAAGTGAATAAAAAATTAAAATCCATAAAATTTTCACCCAGTCAACACAATAGAAAATAATTAAAAAACTTAAGTATAAAGTCTTTTTGATATGCAATGCACTGCTTTAAGCAACAAAATATATGCAATATATACAGATACACAAAGTACTGCAAAAGTTTCACAATGTACACATATATATTATTTATATGAATATATGTACAAGTATGCGGGCTGTTCAATAATAGTATTTTTGTGAATACTTTTTGAACAACCCTCGTGTGTATGACATGAGACAGTTTCACTGTTCAGACATACGGCTACATTCTGCACCAAACAACAATAAATATGCTTAAAGGGTTCCGATTAGTATCCCGTATAAAAACAATATGGCGGCTCCAGGCGAATCAACTGGATCAGTCCATTTTTAAGAAATAAGGGGAGTTCTGTAAAATCCAGTTTATTGAAATTGTCTTTGAGATAAAGTAATCCGTTTATAATGATTTTGAAAACGTTATCCAAAGAGTGATTGCGTTCAAATAATACATGTACAACAGCCAATATAAATTCTTGTATTAGAAAACCGGTTTGTCTTGCTTTGTTTCATTTGTAGGATATTTCATATGCCAAGCTGTGTGCTATAACGTTATGGGGAAATTTAGATGCCAATTTTTCCTTATTATACACAAATAGAAGATCCTGAAACTTCACCCATAAATGTGGAATTGATTTGTCAAAATGAAAATCACCCTTTTATAAATGTGTGACGATCTATAATATACTTATGCTATATAACAGTTAGAGGTGTTGACTCAACGACCTCGAGCCTGTGAACCCTTGAGTATTATTCCGGGATCGGGCCTTTTATACTAAACGGTGAGCAACACCAGAAACGAGCGTTCGATTTGCTAAACGATATGCGTCACCCTTTAAAGTGCTTATTCTGTACATGGTTTATATTAAGTCATTCAAACACATCTGAGGGCTGAGCCAAAAGTTTCTTACCATTAAGAAAATGCAGTGAAAAACTTTTAGATCAACCCTCTTTCTTCATGCAGACATCCAAATATGGTCTTCTCTATGAACACACTCAGTGTGGGCAAACAGTTCTGCATGATGTTTCTTGTATTCTAATTTAAAACATATGCTGGATGAAATGTGTTAGTGTTTCTAAAATTGCACATTTTGATAGCATTTAAATGATGATGACAACAATATGCATCATTTTGCATCATCATTTTGTTTCATTTAATCATTTTAAGATGTAAATGTATATCCAGTTGAGACTAATTCGAGCGCATCAATCATGAGATTGCTTTTACATGTGAGAATATAAAAGCAATATGACCTTTCATGCAACATTCATAAATATGGACACACACATAATTATTCAAGATTTAAAATCTTATCTCTTAAAATGGCACCGTAACGTTTCATCCTTCACAAAATCTTACAATTGGTACATAAAAACACAGTCTTTTTGACAGACGAAGAAAACATGGCAATTTCGGTGAATGGCCTGTGTAAACTGTTACATTGTGTAAACTGGTGCATGAAAGATAATCTGCTCAACTGATTTTGTCTTGGGGCATTGGATTGAATATTTGTGAGTGTATGATAATAAAATACAGAGTGAACCAATTTTGACGCACTCTATATATTGTGGCACCTTTTTCTCCATGCTTTGGAATGTACTTGTACTTTCTGGACTTGGAAGAATCTGATGAAATCAAAGAATTTCAAATGTTTCAGAATTTTGAAAATATTCAAACATATTCAAAAGTTCTGAATTTTCCAGATATCATTAATGTTAGAGCATGTGGATTGAACACAATTTCAGAATGCGGAGATGTATTCAAACTCAAGCATCCTCCTTTAACTAGTAAAAGAAGTCTTTCTTTTTGATTCTTTGTGAGATAAACTCATATGAGATGGAATTAAAATTATCCGCAAATCTTTCTGTGTGTTTTGTGTGTCTATATCCAAACACTTGTTAATCTGTGTCTTGTTTTGGTATGTCGTTCACATAAACTTGATGATGTATGTCTCTGTATGGTATCTCTCAATATCCACGATGGCCAATATCAATATGACCAATATCATAGATTAACCAATATCACTCAAGTGATCAATATCAAAGTGTCTACAGTCAACATGGAGCGTATATCTGACTTTTAGCACCCTCTATGGCAGTCCATGCGTATCACCTTTAATGACTTCACAGATCTAGATATCACTTTGGCAAATCCTTCGCTTTTGAAGTATGACACTATCACCATGTCTCTCATACTTTGTACGAGATATATCACCCTCTTTGTTCTAGACAGTAGCGATGTCTTCGTCAAAGGGATCTATGGCACACTCACTGAACAGCTGCATCCGGGACCCTGACCCATTGCCACTATACAGAGGTCTCATTGCTATTTCTGGAATAATAAGAAAATAACAATTTTAAAGGATGTAAGAGCATTTATTTAGGACAGAACAGTGCAGAGGGCAGTTGTCAATAGCACACTATATAACACAAGTCTTTCATTTATCATATATAATGGAAAGAAAACCATCAATATACTGCTGAACAGTTTCTAGCATCTTGACTTGAAAAATTACAATTTTGGAGGTATAGTTCACATATAATTGAAGTCTTATCTGTATGTTGCACTATAGTAAAAGAATGTAACACAAAAATTGAATGAACTCAATCATATTTTTAAACTCAAAAATATGTATATATTTTAATGTTATTCATTCACAAAAAATCGATCATGCATCATTCAAAACAAAATCTCAAATAGTTCACAAAATACTCAAAAATAACAATCAACAAAAAAACAAATCATAAAACATACAGTGCAGGGTTATTCAAAAACAAATTGAAATCTGCATCCATGCTTCAGGATAATATCACACAAAACTGTCTAAATTCAATTCGAAAACCATCTTTTTATAAAAATCTGTAAATAAACAGTGATACGTCTCATATCATGTATTTTGAAGTAACACAATTCTTATTGGCTTCAAGAAATTCATGATTATTTTATGTGTTAAATCACCATGGCAACCGAAAACACCCAGTGTGAACAGCCAAATAATGTGCATTCTAAGAACCCATGTTAGAGGCCTATATTTTATGTGGCCCATTTCTTGAGATTGTACAAAAGACTAGCACTTTGAACACAGTGAGACAGAATGGTTGACATACGTTCCATATTTCTCTCTCCACTCTTTGACCCTATAGAGAAGTCTCCTAGATGTAATTAGGAAAATTAAAATTAAAATCTGATATGCTTATATAAAGGCTTGTCTTAGTTTACAAGATAAGTCCATTGTAAAAGCGTATATTGTCCCCCTGGAAATGTTGTCCTATTTGTACCTACCTGAACACAATTGGGTATGACTATTAAATAAGCTGATTTGGACACTATGTTCATGTATGGGAATTTAGACAATAAATACTAAGGTAGTATCCCCTATTGCACCAGGTTATGTTATGTAGTTGAATTAATCTAGTTTAGACTCGACACATGGTTGATATATAGCAAGTTTTCTATGTATTTTGTGTGTGTTTTAGATATTTAGTACTTTTTCTGCTTATATGTCTTAGTAAAAATAGATTTTGTTAATAATGGATGCAAAATGTCATTTTTGATTTTAGTGGGCCCATGCAGCTTTCAATATCTACAGATCAGTAAAGAAAGTACAATGTCAGTAAAATTAAGAGAGCTTTGGGGTAATTAGTCAGACAAATCTTGATTTGTTTGTGAAATAGCTTCCTTTGTCATCTTCTTGGTTAACCACATTCACTAATTTCTTAAGTTAATTCTTTCAGTTTAGTTTCTCAAATGAAACAAGCAGGTTAAGGTGGATGCATCATTCAAAATATGGGGACTATCTGTCCGACAAAATGTAGTCTGTGCATGCTTTTCTTCACCAAATTTGATTTTCTTGCATTTGTATACAATTTTGAGCATTGATGGCATGCCTTTAACTTTATTTCTTAATCAACATTCCATTCCATTTTGCATATCAAATCATGATATTTTACAAGGCATGCTGCTGTACCTTTGGCCCATTTGTTTCACTACTGTTGAAGAGGTCATTCAAGACTGACCTTGCCTCTTGTTCAGCTTTGACCTTTGACCTGAGGTCATAGAGGCCAGACCAACCAGATGATGTTGAGGTTAAACTTAGAAAATAAACATCAAAATATTTACCCTAAAGTCAAATTTTGGTGAATTGAGTGATTTAATCATTGAATTATTTTATAACATATACAGGGTGGGCCAAAAAACGTCCATATTCTTTATTTCAATATAACTTTTTTGATACGATACTTGAGACCGATTCTTTATTATATCACCATATATGTATGACATCTACATGTAGTTTGACTTACTCTGACTCTGATGATATACTGCCATTATGTGTGAGCACTTGGACGGCTATTCTCTGTTTAGATAATGCTTTATTGCTTCTTGCGGGACTAGGAAGACTGTCAATGCGCCTTGGTGGCACGATATGTTTGGGACTGTTACCTGTAGGGATGACAACATGCAACATATAATATGCACTAAAATAACAATAATAATACATGTATGAATAAATGAGGGGTGAATAGCTCAAAATATTGCTGCTCTCCTTTGAGATATCAGTCACATCATGCATCTTTTTGGGAGCTGTCAACATGTGAAATGCTTGGGATTGCTGGTGCAAAGTGTATGTACTAAAGATGACAAAACTAAAAAAATAATACATTTAAATTGAGACATCTAAAAGCATTGTAAATAAAAAGTAAAAAATAATGTTAACTTAACAATTTAACAACAAAAGAACATGTGCAAGACTAAGGTATCAAAAAGAGGACATCCTTTTGTGGCACTTCCATACTATTTTGAAGTATCAACTCCATGTCTGTCTATGTCGTTTCTTGCTCGTTCCTCTCCTCTGCACTCTATTTTGCAAGTAAAACATGACTCTCGTAACATATAATTCATGCCTGAATACATACCTCCCGATTCTGGACTTTTAAGTTGATCTTTACTTGATCTTAAATATGATGTTTTTATTTGTTCAGGATCCTGTATATCGGCCTCATTCATGTAATTGTATGGGTCTGCAGGGGCCCAAGGTGACCTTGTCCTGGGACTTTGCATCCCCGGACTCTGCATCCTGGGACTGGGTTGATGAGGACTGGTAACACTAGCATAAGGTGGAGGTGACCCTGCACTAGGACCTATTGACAGAAAAAATGCTCATTAAATATTCCACAAACAAGTACATGTACATTATAGTCTAGATTGTGTCAGATTGATTACTTATGATGTTTGGATAATTTTTGTCACAGGTGTTTGTCACCATTTTGTCCTAATAACTTCAGAACAATTTTAGACCAGGTATGAACATGCAAAATGTCACAACATGCCATTTGTTACAGATACCAACTGCCAAACACAACTGTCCACAAAAAGTTATAGAGACTTTAAAAATATGGCGCTGATAAAGTAAATGATTTTAAGTCTTCTATAGTTTAGATGACTTTACATATTACAAAAAATATCACATCATATTTATTTCAATATCCTCACTTAGAACTTACCTAATGGTGTACTATGTGCAGGTCCTGAGGGAGAAACTGGTGACTGTTTAGGAGTTTGAGATTTTAATTGTTCTGGAAATGAATGTTGATGCTTTAAATTGTGAATTTCAGAATTTATTACTCTTAATAGGTTCTGTCCTTTACACAGAGGAATGAATGCAAGATAAAATCTTGAAATGTATCTTAGAATATTGCCCCATAACCGTTCGAGAATAGTTTAAATTAAGGTGGATCAAGTGGAACAATTTTTAATTAAATCTACACTGGCCTACCTTAGTGAAGAATGTTAATATTAAATATTCTATTCTTCATACCTGAAATTCATATCACTTACCTAACATTTTATTTTTTGGCAAATCCCATCTTGTCATGGGATCATCATCCTCATCTGAGGAGTGGCTTGATGCAAGGTCAAGGTCATTAGAGAGGTCACTGTCGGAGTCAGAATCTCTATGACGACGCTCTGGCACCACTTGTAGCTCTCCAGTATCTGGGTCTGAAATAAGTATTCATTTGAGACTATATTTCAAATTTAAAATCATGGGATGATGTGTCGTTTTATAAGTATTTTGCATTCATTTTATATACATACATGCCTAATGTCATTTTTAGTGGAAAATACTGTGCTCGTACTGCAAAACCTGTTTTATTTCATGCTCTCATGTTTCATTTACAGATTAACTTAAAGGCCTTTAACTTACATACAGAAGTATTAATCGTAAATCTCTACAGATATCATAAAACACCAAGAATCAATGCTCATTAGAGATCAAATAGATCAACCAAAGTTACAATGAAAATAATAATGTGGACTTACCATCCTCAGTGGGAGGTTTATTATGAAACATGGATGAGTCTTGATAGTCGTAGCCATATGGCGGGATTCCTGCATTAGGGAAACTTTTATGAGATGGGACATGACCTGACCTTGACCCAGTTGATGTGCTTGTAGCGCTGTGTGCCAAATAACGACTAAAATAAAACAGAACAAAATGTATAGTACTGTAAATAATTCAGTTTTGTACTCCTGTGCTTTTTGGCTCAACATATTTCTATTTGTATGGTGTATTCTTTTATGTATCTTTCAAATGTAATAAGATCTGATTTTCCAACATTTCTATACAATTTAGAGTCTGAACTTTACTTCTTACATTATTGCTCCTCTTTTATAACAGATTTTAAACCTTGAAATTTACTTTGGAGTACACCAACGCAGATAAAATACCAAACACAAAATTTGATGGCTAATTTTGTAGATATGTACCCTTCTCTGCTGCTCCCTGTCTTGCTGGTAGACCTACTAGTGGTTGAGGTTGTTGACATGCCAATGTTAATACGGTGGAGACCACCATCTAGGGATGAATCATTGGTGTACGCCATTGCAGACCGCTGTAATGTAACAATAGAGAATGTAATGTATGTAATTCATAATAGTATTATATTCAGTAAAACCTGTCTAAGTGGGACACCTTTGATAGCTCTAAAATGGGAGGTGTTCCACTTGTAGAGATTCATTTAACATTAAGTCAGTTGGCCTAAGGACTCTGAAAAGTGTTCCACTAACAGAGGTGTTCCACTTCCAGAGTTGCTCCACGGGTTTCACTGTATGTGTTTAAAACATTGGTTGAAGTTTTGAATAATAAATTGAAAAATTGATGGCTGATAACGTAGAACGAAATCTCTTAACAACTTGAAAAATTTAACACACTTTGAATGAATAGCACTGCACATTCAAAAACAATATCTTCAGGCATTAACATGCAAAATGACACCACCTGCCATTTGTTACAGATGCCAAACACCAAACATCGAATGCTGAACACCAACTGCCAAATGCTGAACATCATCCACAAAAATGTTGGAGGCCATAACAATATGTCATCACTTGTGGTGGTGACATAAAAATAGAAGTTTACCAAATATGGTGCTAATGTCACATGCTCAATATTAATGTACAGTCAATTCTACTAAGATGAATCCCATAATTCTAAAAATATCAGATATGAGGCTTGGTTGCTAATAATTTTGACAATAATCTTCTGAAAAAATTGTAGCTTTTTAACAATTATAATAGTTTTAATTTTGCTGCAAAATCTTGTTGAGGAATTATGGGATTTAATGTAAATTAGGGAATAACAATTTATGGTAAAAAGGTAAGTAATTTTCATGGGAAGGAAGGGGGTAAAGTGCCGACTATTGTTTGCCCATGATATAATTACTTAGATTTTTATCATAAATCGATGAACTTTATATGTTGGTTCCCTATGTATTTCTAACAAAAGCATTATTGGATTTCCCAAGAATGTGGAAGGGAGAAATATATGATGATTGTGTGATTTCAAAGGCCAAAAATGGCACCAAATCATTTAGTAGTCATGTTTCTCACAGAATCTTGAACAGAAAGTTGGAGAGAAGAAAGAATGAAAAAAGAGGAAATTGGTTAGCAGGGGGCATTTTCAACAATAAGACATGAATGTGTTTTATTACCACGAATCATAAAACAACAATCCAGAAACTGTTCCAAAATAGCCCCCAGAAAAAGTGCAAATATAGATGTACAAAAGGATAGATTGCGAAAGCAAAATGAAGACCAGACCAACTGAATTAGCCTACTTAATATAAAAGGAAAGGTGCTATATCTTACAGACAATACCGTTACGTGTGTGTTGTCCAATGTGTCATCAATCCCAGGCTTGCCACGACACAACAGCCATGAGTGATGCAGCTCACGACGCACCTGGAAAAAAATGATGCATACACATTTATTATAATAGGGAATACTGCACTTTCAGTGAAATTCTTAGAACGTTGATACTGAAGTTTAATATCCCAGCCAGTCATGCATTTCTGTTGATTTTGAATATATTTTATATTATTTATGTTATTTCAATATTGTCATTTGTGCTAATGATCATTAGGTTTTAAGTTGCAAATGTCTATCACCCTTTGATCCCAAAGATACATCCTCAAAAATCCATAAGATAGATAATCTTCTTACAAAAAAGGTATGTTACTCAGGTAAGGCAGGTAATATGAGAAAATATAACTTACCCTTTTGTTGAGTATAACATATGCTACAAGTATAATGGTGGCTTGGATGACGTTGACGATGGCGAAGATGTAATGGAAAGCATCGATATTCTCATTGACTGCGAGCAGGCCAAACACCCAAGTGACACTGAGTATTGGAAGAAGTACAAACATCGGCCACATGTTCGATCTGTAAATATGTTACATTGATTTTAATAAATAATAATAAAAAAAAATACAATCTGTATAAGCTGGTGCTTAAAAGGCTCTTAGTCCCAAAATTCAAAAAAGTCCTAACAATCGCAATTTGCACCATCAATTGACTTTGATTCAACCCTTCTTCTCTGTAAATATTATATGTTGGAAATTACTCACTAGTAGGTGGCATGACAAGTTACCAAATGGAAACTTACTATGTGAGTAATTTTATCAAATTGTAATATTCACAGAAAAGATTTTTTGTACAAAATTTCAAAAAAAATTTCAGACTGAATTTCCATTTTTTGCCTTTGCTTTATTCTAGGATTTAAGGTAATGTCGAGCCAATGTTATATTTTGTATAATAGCATAAATATAAACAGAGTTTTGTCTTAGTTATATAGAGAATGGAAACAAGGACTTGTATTTATATTACGGTAAAGGGACCCTTGGGGTTCAGTGATAAATGAAATTAGAAATAATGCATGGACATTAAATAAAATTTGTATTTCCAAAACCATTTCATTTTTCAGACGATCCAATCTATAGAAATATTTGTTTATTTCATTTTTTAATTCACTTATTGATAGACCATCATAATACTCATACAAGCACAAAATGCACTTCTCTTAATAACTTGTAACAAAAGCAACAGGAGCTTTCATTATTGTCAATGCTGGATATTTTGAACAAGGCTCCAACACACAATACACCCCCAGGCATCAAGATGGGCTGAATACTATACACCCAAGGGACAGTGAATTTCAAACCACCAGGTGTATCTGATATGTTGAAGAAAAACTTGTGAAAGGGGAATATGTCATCAACTTTGAAATATGTAATTAATTAAAAGTGTAAGGTTAATTTCTTTCAAAAAGAGCATGATTTTTATGGAATATTAGTCAGATGGATAAAAATATAAATATTATCTAATGGTATGCAATGAATATTTGATATAAATCTTAAACAATCTTAAGATAAGATGAGATTTTAGTATATTTAGCGTACTACTGACTTAATGCATTAATACATTATGAACAATGAACTACGATGATATCTGATTATATTCATGCAACAACATTTGGAATTATCTTAATTTAATTCATGTTAAAGGGCCTTGCATTGTGCAAATGTAATTAATCAGTTAAAGGAACTTGCTTGGTGCACATTGAAATAATCCAAAGCTGAAAAATGAAATGAAACTGTGACAATGGATGCAAATTATCGTGATGATTTCCCATGTTTCCACTTTTTTAAAAAAAACTGTGAATTACAATTTGTGAAATTTAACTGCCTTACATAATTTTAATATGCGGCCATAAAATTGTGGAAGACAATTTCAGTTCACAAATCATAAAAACATGATGAATGACCTTCAGAAATTAGAGCGGGATTAATAACTGGCAAATAATCATGCAACTAAAAGCAGCTTTAGCCAACGAAGTTTCTATTGCAACCTGCCTGCTTGATTACACCGTTAGCAAATCATAGCAATTTTTCTATCCTTCAGTTCATCAATTCTGCAATTTTTTTTAAAGATGTTTCAACAAGGCATTAACCTACCAATTGTTATAGATGCCGACAACAAAGTTGGAAACAATAACAATATGTTGTATTCGTGATACAATTATGAGTATTATAAGAAATACATGCTTTTGGTTTTCTTTGCTAAGATTTGAGGAAATTCTGGATAGACAATTGCTCCACCAAGCACAATCAGCCACAGCATGCTGCAAACAGCTGTTGTGTGTAACAAACAACTGCTGTGTGTTACAAACAGCTGTTATTATATGCTGCAATCAGCTGTTTATTCAAGATTTGTTGCACAATATTGTTTTACCTGGCAGAATATTTGGGAGTAGTACATCCAGTTCTGAAATTGGTAGATCTTGATATAAACTAAATGAACACCACATAAGAAGTTGTATTTAATAAACACAGTGTGAACAACAATATCACACCCTTGAGTTGAAAGTCTGGAAACCAGTAGACATGAATTTGGGATGTCTCCCCATCAAGCGATTGAATCGTCATATAGCACCCAAGGGTGCATAAAAGTCATATAGCACCCAAGGGTGCATAAAAGTCATACAGCACCCAAGGGTGCAATAAAAATGGACACATGGTTTTAATTCAAAGGAAACAATGACATAAAAGCATGACCTTAAAAATGTAATCCCCTAACTACTTGTTTATTATAATGGACCATTCCTTTAAATATTGTATGAACATATGCTATGGTTTATAAAGAGAGCGGGTAAAGATATTAAATATATGCCCAGTAGCATGCATGCTATGTTATGTCCTTTTAAGAACAGTAAAATCATGCAATTTTAGAACTGACATAGTTCATATTGAGGGTTCTTACTTTTTTACTGTTAACTTTTTCATTTTGAATTTTTATGTCTTATGCATATAATATTCTTAGACATTCTTTCAAACCTATAAGATCAAAATTGTGTTGTTTGAAAGATTGGATCAGGTATCATACAATAATTTTATATGAGACAAACTAAAGTCTACACGGGATAATTTCTGTATCAACCCAGGAACACTATATCACTTCCTATTCATCCTTATATAAAGACTTAAAGTATGAACTGTTCAAGTATGATATCTCTACTTCTAAGCAAATGACACAAAATACACAATGAATCTCATTAAGCTCCAAAAACAGTGTGTCAAAAATGTTCCATTTTTGGCATTTTATTTTCACAATAGCTCACACAATATTTGCAATTTGCATTTATTATTAATGAAGAATTTCATCCAGCACACATCCAAGTCAAACCATTAATGCCTCAGTCAAATTTGATATTTGGCAACCGTACAGACGTCAAAGTTTCACAAAATTGAGAGAAATATGCAGCGTAAAATATAAAGATAAGAAGTACAATGTCCATTTTCTAGATTGATTTTGTGAAGCTACTGCCGCAAGAAGCCTGCCATAGAGCAATTGTGTCTGAGACTTAATAGGAGACTTGAATGACAATACTTCATTTAATTTTGCATTTTTGGTTAGAGGCAATGAAATATCATACTTAAACTTGAGAGAAGGTTCTAGCTTGCACTATAAGCTACATAGGGTTAAAATATTTGCCTGTTCATGGTTATTCAATGCAGATTCTCTTATTTTGAATAAAGTCTAATTTCTTGCGTTCCCATACGATTCAAAGTGTATCCTTCATGACTGTTTATTATTTCATTTCTTGCTAATTCCACTCTTTTCCACTCTATCCAAGGACGTTATGATATCCAGGGATTTGTTGTTTGGTGCAGTATGTCTGGGATAAGCGCACTTCTCAGGTAATTACATTGGATAATCATATATCTGTGTGCTCACCCAGATCATTGCACTAAACGAAACGTAACTTCACTGGTATTGATTTTTCCCTTGCTCTATCTGGCATTTCAAACATGACCAACAAGATATTTTATAAGTTTAAATACTTCTAAAATGTTCTGAAATACAGTATTCATAACGCAGCCTAGACTTACTTGAAGCCTTCAGTCTCCTCTGCCTTCTCTTTTCCCATGTCACAGCACGCCACCTTTAGGGCCATCACAAAAACTACAATATTGCACTGGAAGAAAAGATTTGAATTTTGTCAAATAACTCAATATTGGCAGCAAACAATACTTTAAAATATTCATTAACATCTCAATTCTCAAAATAAATTGCCATATAAACACACAGGTATATGGTTTTATAATTTCTTGATTATAACAGACTGGACGTGTTATTAAACCTATTATTCAATTTGAAGAAATTGACGGGTGTGAATTAACAGGCATGAATAAAAGATGTCACTCACCAACACACAGAGGCAGATTGGACCCGCAAAGCTCCAGATCAGTAAGTCTCTGGTACTCAGCCAACAACTGAAAGACAAAAGAATATGTTATCCCCAACTGCCATAATAGTGCTGTCCCCAGCTCCGATTTCGGTGATCGGCTAGTAAAAAAGGTTTGAGGGTATCATTTTGTTCTAGACACTCGCTAGAGTAAATTATCCTAACTTGAGTAAAAATGTGTGGTAAGTGAATTCGCTATGGGCAGTTAGAGAGGCGCCATCTATTCATTTTCAAACAGGGGGTAGGGGTATAAAATAATTTTTTATCACATTTCAATAGTAAAATGACATTGAAATACTAATAAAATCTTATCAAAAACATTATTAACAATCAGTATGAATTTTCTTGTGTGGATTAGGGTGAAAATAAGGGCATATTTTGAAATTCACTACAGGGGCACCACCTATTTTCGTACTTCTACCACATGTAATAAGTTATTTTAGATTCAATAAGGTACGAAATGTACTGAAAAAATTCATTCTAAAGGACCTATATATGTTCATATCACATACTTAAAATTGGATCAATAGCTTTTGTACCTGGGGAGAAAAAAATTATTGAAATTTAAAATTGTGGCATCATGCAGGATAGGGGTGACCATATCTCACATGATTAACTTCCAAAATATGGAGCATATGTATCTCAAATATACTCAAAATGGTGTATGTACTCTTGCTTTGTCATAATATTACTAATAAGAAGGAGAAAAATGATTGTACAATTTTAAAAAATATCAATTCTCATTTTGGCTTCTGACGTCCCAGGGGTGACCATATCCCACCTTAATAACTTCCAAAATATGGAGCATATGTATCTCAAATGTACTCAAAATGGTGTATGTACTCTTGCTTTGTCATAATATTACTAATAAGAAGTAGAAAAATGATTGTACATTTAAAAAAATATTTATTCTCATTTTGGCTTCTGACGTTCCTGGGGTGACCATATCTCACCTTAATAACTTCCAAAATATGGAGCATTTGTATCTCAAATGTGCTCAAAATGGTGTATGTACTCTTGCTTTGTCATAATATTACTAATAAGAAGTAGAAAAATGATTGTACAATTTAAAAAATATTAATTCTCATTTTAGCTTCCGACGTTCAAGGGATGACCACTGACCATATCTCACCTTAATAACTTCCAAAATATGTAACATATGTATCTCAAATGTACTCAAAATGGTGTATATAGTCTTGTCTTGTCATAATATTACTAATAAGATGTAGGAAAATGATTGCACATTTTTAAAAATATTAATTCTCATTTTGGTTTCTGACATCCCAGGAGTGACCATATCTCACCTTAATAACTTCCAAAATATGGATTCAAAATGGTGTATGTACTCTTGCTTTGTCATAATATTATACTAATAAGAAGATTATACATTTAAAAAATTTTAATTTTAGCTTCTGACGTCCCTCAATAACTTCTAAAATTATGTAACATATACAACTCAAATATACCAAAAATGGGGCATATGGTCTTGCTTTGTCATAATATTATTCATGAGATGTAGAAAAAATTATTACACCTTTTCCGAATCTGACATCCCAGGGGCAACTATATCTCACCTTGATATAACTCTCACAATATGCAATATATGCATCTCAAATGCGTGCCCAAAATGGTTTAAATATAGTCTTGTTTTGTCATATTTATTGAGATTCATGAAATCAGAAGTTCAGAATTAATGGATTGGACTGTCTCCCCTGCAGGCTTCAGCTACATATAGTCCAGAGACATTAAGGTCTACTTTCAAATATTTGCATCTTCTCCCCAAACACTCCTTATATTACAGGAACAATGGACGATAAGTCTTTTGCATGCCTTGGATGCAACATCTTTTGTATACTGGTAGCCTATCAGTAGTGTGAGTAGCCTAGCCTCATTTACCAAAATTGGCCCCTTAACCCCAAATCTGACCCGAAATTTTGAAAATATCCTGAAAAATTAGGCCTAAAAGGCGCATTTATGCCCAATCATACACCAAACTGTCCCACTGCTAAATTACAAGGGCGATAAGTCGCTTCTTATCCTGATTGACATTCTCTAGTTTGCATGGTTTGTCATGTTGTGCTATATTGGTATTGCCCAATCTCAACAATTGTATTCACTGTATGGCCTACCCTGCCAAGAATAATGCAATTGTTCCAAAAGCTAAGCTCTTCTTTGGGACCCTAGAAGTGTGGGACATCACAATCATAGATTAATATTTCATTACAATCAATGTATGTTGTATGACAAACATGCAAACTAGAGAATGTTAATGTGGCTAGAAAGATTTATCATTACAAAGAGCTCCTTTTCCCATATTTTACATACTCAAAATCCCTTAATTCAGTGTATAATCCAAGATGCATATATTGCAGGCCACAGGATAACATATTAACACCTTACATTAGCAGTTGCCATTACTTCATGAATGGAGTAAAGTACTCCCACTATTGACAGGCTAAAAGGATTCCTGTATGGATTACAAAAGATGTTGGGTCCAAGGTATGCAAGGGAATAATCTCATCCATTGTACTTGTAAAGGCTGTTTGGGGAGCAGATGCAAATATTTGAAAGCAGATATTATTTGCCCTGAATTATATGTAGCTGTAGAGGAGACAGTCAAAATCCATTGATTCTATGATTCTCAATAAATATGACAAAACAAGACTATACTTATACCATTTTGAGCACACATTTGAGATGCATATGTTGCATATCGTGAGAGTTATCAAGGTGAGATAGCCCCTGGGACACCAGAGGTTAAAATTAAAATTTATAAAAAAATACAATCATTTTTCTACATTTCATTAGTAATATGAAAAAGACAGGACTTTTCTGAGAATATTTGAGGATTACATGTTACATATCTTAGAAGTTATTATTATTATTATATGGTGCGATATGATTACCCAGGAACGTAAGAAGCTAAAATTAAAATTATTGAAATGTATAATCATTTTTCTACTTCTTATTAGTAATATTATGAAAAAGCAAGAGTACATACACCATTTTGAGTACATTTGAGATACATATACTCCATATTTTGGAAGTTATTAAGGTGAGATATGGTCACCCCTGGGACGTCAGAAGCCAAAATGAGAATCAATATTATTTTAAATGTACAATTTTTTTTTCTTTCTTATTAGTAATATTATGACAAAGCAAGAGTACATTCACCATTTTGAGTACATTTGAGATACATATGCTCCATATTTTGGAAGTTATTAAGGTGAGATATGGTCACCCCTGGAATGTCAGAAGCCAAAATGAGAATCAATATTTTTTAAAATGTACAATCTTTTTTCTACTTCTTATTAGTAATATTATGACAAATCAAGAGTACATACACCATTTTGAGTACATTTGAGATACATATACTCCATATTTTGGAAGTTATTAAGGTGAGATATGGTCACCCCTGGGACGTCAGAAACCAAAATGAGAATTAATATTTTTTAAAATGTACAATCATTTTTCTATTTCTTATTAGTAATAGTATGACAAAGCAAGAGTACATACACCATTTTGAGTACATTTGAGATACATATGCTCCATATTTTAGAAGTTAATCATGTGAGATATGGTCACCCCTATCCTGCATGATGCCACAATTTTAAATTTCAATAATTTTTTTCTCCGCCAGTACATAAGCTATTGATCCAAATTTAAGTATTTGGTATGAACATATATAGGTCCTTCAGAATGAATTTTTTCAGTACATTTCGTATCTTAACGAATCTAAAATAAGTTATTACACGTGGTAGAAGTATGAAAATAGGTGGGGCCCCTGTAGTGAATTTCAAAATATGCCCTTATTTTCACCCTAATTCACACAAGAAAATTCATACTGATTGTAAAAAATGTTTTTGATAAGATTTTATTAGTATTTCAATGTCATTTTACTATAAAAATATGTTAAAAATAATTTTATACCCCTACCCCCTGTTTGAAAAATGAATAGATGGCGCCTCTTTAACTGCCCATAGCGAATTTACTTACCACACATTTTTATTCAAGTTAGGATAATTTACTCTAGAGAGTGTCTGGAACAAAATGATACCCTCAAACCTTTTTTACTAGCCGATCACCGAAATCGGAGCTGGGGACAGCATCATAAAGGGATCCAAACAACTGAATTATTGTGCTATTTGTTGTAAAAATATGGTCAAGGGAGATAAAGATATTAATACCATGATACTATTACTTCTCAGTGAATAACACCAGGGAATATTATCTATATCATTAAAAAATCCCTCCTCAAAAAATCATATTCACCTGGTTGTCCCCATATCGAAATCATATTCCCATTAAACAACCTCTACATATGTATGAGGAAAACCTATTTGAGATACCACTTGTGGTGGTGACAAAAAAGATAGGTTATTCACATTATAATGTTCTTAAATATGCTTTTAAGTGCATGTGTACTTACAACTCTCTGGTCCCATAGCCATCAGTGGACAGACCAACAGCCAGGCCAACTATTATACCAGGGATAACTGAAATACAAATCATGTTAATGAATAATCACATGTATAATATGAAAGGCACTGGGACTGGTCAAAAGCATGTGGATTATAAGGTGTTAACATTTTGAGGATTTAACATTTAACGATCACAGGTTACAGAATTTGGGAAAAATGAGAACACATTCTTCATAATATTATCAAGTTCATAGTTATAGCTCCTTTGACCACAATGGCCTACCAATTGTACAAATGTATATAAACTCGTTCATTGAAATGAGTTAGATACAAGCAATGTTGAAATTGTAAATACTTAGTGTACTCCCAATGTATAATGTCATAAAATATGCAATATCCCCCATAAGTTTATGCTTTTTTAACAATTTCCCCATACAATTGTCCCTATACTTCACTATCAGATGTGCCTGACTTCCACAAAGGAGTTTAAATTCAAAGGAATCTTTACAACCATTATTCAACTTACCATATGCGATGACAAAGTAGAACTTCATTGAGCCAACATTGATGTTACGGATCTCAGTCATCATGCGGTAGATGTGGAGGGCCTCAACAAACATCCAAGCGAATGTGCTCATGAAGAAGAAGTGAAGGATGATGGATATGATCTTACATGCCAACTGAAAACAATAGCAACATATCATATGAAAATTTGGACATTTTTCATTAAAATGTTTTTGAGTATGCTAAACGTTAAAAGTGCTCCTGAACTTTTGTATCAAATCAAAGAGACTTATTGCTGTAACCTAATTATGCACATTATAACCTACTGATACAGTTGCAATAGTAACCAAATGTATCCTAAGTGAAGAAATTAAAAACAAAAGGTAGAACAAAATTCAATATACTTACAGCAGGGTCAACCTTGTATATACCGACTACAAAGGTCACCTGAGAGACGATCATGGTGAAGACGAGGTTGAGGTGGATGGTGTTAGCATTGGAGCCGAGGCGCATGAGGAAGAGGAAGACAAAGAGAACAATCACGAGAAGGACCACAGACAATGAGATACCAGCATAGGTGACCATCTGGGCAACTGCAGGAGCACCAGGCATATACTAAAATAAAACATAAAACTCTTTCTTACATATGCATTGTTCCTAAATTGCAGTTGTTCCTATTATATATTTTTCTCATCCACATAATCCTGGGTCAATTAATGAAAGATAAACAAAATATATTTGATTAAATCCACAACACATTATCTTATTTTCACGATGCAAATTAGATCTTTAGCCAATTTATTTTTTCAATTCATTTTTAAGGTATGTTTTTTTTCCCTTTAACACATATACTGCAAATTATTTTAACCTATTGATTTTTTCAATTCATTTAAGGTTTGCTGATTTGAATGCTCAAGAAATATAATCTTGTATACAACATGCATAAACATTCCAAAAAGTCACAGTGAACCCACCTTGAGAACTAACCATAGTACGAAAGAAAAATGCATAAGATTTAAACATAATTACCTCCACAGCTGAGACGTCCATGAGCAGCCCAAAGTTAGAGAGATGCTTACAAGAACACGTCACAAAACGGTGATCGCCTTCCTCTCTTCTACCTGTCACCTCACACCCCTCACTAGTCCATCGACCCAGGTAGTCAGATCTAGAATAGAGGGGAAGACAGTTAAATACTGTTAGTTGTACATTATCACAAATAAACGGTGAACCAAAAGATATGTAATCAAATAAAATGTTTAAATGCTTCGAATCAGTTGTTTAATCTATAGCAGAACTGAGATCAATACATGTATAATGTGAAGCCAAAATGGAACGAATGCAATGTTTTCAGCATTGTAAAATTGGAACAGAAAACCTGGACAGATACAACAATATGTCTCATTCTAAGACTTTAAATCTTTGGACTATTCTTTCTGGGACTATAAGTGTCTGAAGGGTTTATCTACAATGGCATGTTTCCTCTATTGGTACTAGTGGGCAACTATACTGTGTTTCTATATACTTAACAAAATGTAATAGTTGTTCTACTTATTTTAAATATTGAGATATTTCAAAGAATAAGTGTTTTGAGTACTTTGAGTGATTTGAGTACTTCTATGAGTCATTCTACTTTACAGGGTGAGCTATAAAATAAAATAATCAAGATCTTCAAATAATTTGTGATCAGGCAGAAATAAAAATAATGGCATGTAAATGCTGTTCTTTTAATTCACCAGTGTGCTTGTGTGTGGGTGACACATTAGCTGATTTCATCTATGGGGTACAAGAATGACAAAATACTACAAAGTGAATGGAATCTACTCTGACTTTACTGTGAATGTTCTTATATTATCATCTCAGATGCATGCACCATTTCATATCATCTAAAATAGTCTTCATTATAGCACTGCATTATGACAATTTTTAACAAAGATTGCCTCATGTCATTTCAAATCGAAACAACAATTTAGGATGGATACTTCATGTCTTTCTTAAGACACCATGGCATAATTTGAGTACAAGCCGAAGACTATTTTATAAATCCATAAATACTGTTGATAAATTGATAACCCGAGCCCAAATCCATCATTCTTGCCTTATAAACTGGCATACAGCATGACATGCCTTCAAGCGCACTTGACATATTATACCATATGTAATTAATTAAGCAAATGTCTTGTCATTCAATATCTCTGTCAATTTTGTATTCAATACAAATGACACCTTAAACCAGTTTGAGTCAGGCAGGAATTCGTATTAATGTCTTGACTTTGTGAAAAAAGTTCCTCCATACATTCTGTGAAAAAAAATTGTTCGACCTCTCTCTCCGAGTAGCTGATGCATGCATCTTATATAACAATACAGTATACATGTAATTATCCTTGATTAAATTTCCAGAAATACCAACATGGATGTGTGTGGATTTCCATGCTTGAAATGTAATTCTGATCATGTTATAATTGACAGGCAGTCTGCTGAAAACTTCTCAGGTCATGCTTATTCATACAATTTCTCTCTTTTTGAATGAAGTCTCCAATATTCTTGCATTTCTGTACAATTTAGAGTATACACTTAAAATGTGTGTAATTTATTCCTTTCTAATTTCAGTTTTCAATTTCTATTTTCCATTTTATTTTTTTATAACACAACCATGGTGACATTTTATTTCTGGTATGTTCAATCAAGCATTCAGTGATTGTGAGCATATCAAACACAGTGACATCTATACTTGTACCTATTGCCATATTTAAAAACTAAAGGACGATCATTATGTAACTCAAAAACAGCCATCCTGAAAAGTAACATTTGTGATTTAAGCTAGTTACAAACTGTAACACAAGAAATGAAAAGCACAAATTGCAACATTCAAAAAACAAAAAACATGGCACATATAACTCATACATAGCAATACTAACAAATTAAGGCATAAAAATCATTAATGAAAATCAATTGAATTTTTTCAGATGATTCCTAGAAAGCACACTCGACAATCTTGGCAAACAACATATAACAAAACAATAATAAAATAAAAGAAAACAACTAATATTTACCTCTCATCAAACTTCCAATACATGCATTGAGGACTTGAACGATTTCCACTGATCTTTTGCTTGAAGTCTAAAATGATTGGCTCCTCCTGCCATCCGGATAGGGTGTTCTGCCCATCTAGTACCGTTATCGACACAATGGGAGCATTCAGTGTTTGATTACCTCCAACTCTGTAAACAAAATCAAAAAATGTAAATTTATAATGATGTGACTATTTCCATTGCATTTAAACCTTTACATACAAACATACTTATTATATACTTATACAGTGCGAGGCTGGAGATACATAATTTACACAACACTGCTTGTCATGTTCATCTTCTCTGTGCGGATAATATGCCCATTAGGGTGTCATCCGCCTTATCTGTATGTTTCACCAGATGTTTGAAAATAAATAAATGAAATGAAATGAAAAACACATGTTGTATATCATTTTAAAGTGTGACTGTTACCTTATGTTATCTTGGTAGGCCTTGGGTAGAATGTCCCCTAGTGTTCTATACATGACATAGCCTACAACTGCGCCTATCTCTTTACCATTCACTATTTCTTCAACCCAGTCTGCAATAAATAATATGCCATCTGTTTAAATAATGTCACTTTCAATTTAATCTATACTTTATTCATTTATTTTCACAAGATCTCATTTTTAAAACATTCCATATAAACTTTCATATTCTAAAATATTCCACATTTCTTGAGATTTCCTCTTTCATTCTGAGATACTGGATCTGAAAAAATGTTCAACTTCACAAGTTTTCTTATTTCCTCCTGCGTTAAATGTATGATTTACTTACCATTGGCAGATTTCTTGAGCAGACCCTGGGGTAATGTGAATGTTGTATGTTGGTCAAACATGGCATCATTGACCACCTTGTTGTTATACTTGGGAAGGGAGACTCCACTGAAGTTGTTCTTGTCAACAAAGTCAAGGCCAAGCACTGGAACAAGACAGCGGGTAAAATGAACACAAATTGAAAAGCTGAAAAACTAAGGCAGGGGTTTCATTAGCAGCAGGCAATAGGCGATTTTCACTGATTGTTTTAACAAAATCGAGTGTTGTTTTAAAGTTTCAACTTTTCCATGTTAGATTTATTGATTTCCATTAATTTTGCCAGTTGTTTTCATTTATTTAGCCTGTTGTGAAAAATTCTAGTGAAACCCCTGTAAGGTCTAATAATTCATAGAAATGTGTAAAATCATACTAATTCTTAAAAATTATCTTCAATACAAAAATTCCCCCTGGGTAAATGCTCCCATTCTGACATCAAATCCCAGCTTTTAAGCTAAGATCAATAAAAAGTTAATAAGTTAAATCTAGCAAAAAAAAGACCGAAAAATGTGTGGCTTGCTAGTCGATGAATCAATGAAAAATAGGCAGTGGCTCTTTGCTGTGTTGTTGTTCGGCACTTTCAGATAACAATTCTATTGCTTTGTTACTTGAATCATTCTCACCTATGTTATCATGTACAGAGTCAAATGCCTCAAGCACTGCAGCATGTATGTTTTTGGCAAGTGTCAGGACGTACTGTTCCAGCTTTTGCATCATTTCAACAGCGCCCCCTGATGTCTCGTGTATTGTATGCCAATAGGATGCATACTTTACATCAACTATTCTTCCCATTGAGTTGATGATATTCTTGAAGTACAAAAACATTTTTTAATTCATTATTTTTCACATTTTAATACTTTCTACAAAATCATATTATTGTTGCATATTATTTCTGTTGAAAAAATGAATTGAATAGAATAAATGTGTTTTTTTGACTTGATTGTATTCCTCAAACTTTAAAATCAAAAAGATTTAGACTAATTTTTGAGCACAAAGTTCTATAAAATTCTTGGCCAATAGTATCAACCAATATATTATGTTCCCTACCTGTATAAAGTTCCTGTCCTGAGCATGGGTTAAATTAAGCCCAGTCTGCTTGTTTTCATACAAAAGAATTTGAGTAATAAGCCTATAAGCTATCGTAACATCTGCCCCATACATTTCCTTCGTCATTTCAGTCGCAGCGTTCAACTTTTCTGCAAGTTCCTTAGCCAGGAATGTATTGACCTTCAATAGGCCTGTCTCTATGAGCCCTAATTGTTGTCTAAGGATTGCAAAATGCCTTGAGGTACAGTTGACATTGTTGACAGGTCCCCAACCATTTTTGTCGTCACAGTAACGTGAGGCTTGGCCTGAAGAAAATTACAAAGTGTTAAATCACAAAGCAGAATCAAAATGAGCAATTTTGAGAGTTAATTTCAGACAGTGAAATATAAAAGCTGAAAGTCTGAAAATCTACACTTCAAAAGTTGTTTTCTGGTTGGGGAGGGGGGGGGGGTAGTCTAGCAGTCCAACAATTTGAAGAATTTTGAGTAAAACCTTCAATACAATCACATGCATTACAACCAAGCATTTTCCCTTATACGTGAAATTACAAACAGGGCTTCTGTTGTTGTTAAGGACTTAATATGAAAGATAAGAATGTCCTTTTTTAATACTTACCTATAGTCCCAGGAGGGCAACCGTTATACTGCATGGAGTTATATGCAATACTCTGCCACCAGATTCCTCCAGCATAGTTCAAGGGACACTCATCATACACAACTGAAAATCATATTAGATATCATATTATTGCATGTCATAGGATTGTTAACAGAGTACTAATTTTATTGTTTCTTTTTGTTTGTTAGATGATGATTTTCATTACTGCATTCCTGTTGCCCCTTGTGATTCACTAACAACTACTAATGTAGATGTAAGTGTTAAATCAGGACATGGCGGATTATTCTAAATAAAATACATACAAAATACTTGATATGAATATGCTGGAATTGCAGTTTATGTTCTTGAGTTTTGTGTGGATCTCATTTATGATTTTAAATTTGGTGTGATTGCACCTTCCAAGTATCCTTGATTTTGGCCCTTGGCAGGGGAGTGCTACTTTTTTCAACCAACGAAAGGCAAAAAATGCATCTTTAAACATAAATTTAGCAGAAACTTCGAACAACACAAATCAGAAGCTTGTATTTTAGTCACCTGAGCATTAAATACAATTGGCGAATGGGAGAAAAATATGTTAAAACAGAACTACAGCAATCAAACCACTTTCGGGAGATCTGGGGTGCCCCGAGGTAGGGAGGTGCAATTGCACCCCCCTCCGCAACCCCTGGTTACGGCCTAGCATGTATTTGTCTGATTTGCGTCACTAGTCTCCATTACACTAGACAGTTCAAATATATAAAATTCACAAATTTTACTTACTGACACAACCACTGCTTGTCACCTCAGCATGGACACTTGAGCATGTGTCACATCTTCTTCCGATAACACCCGCTTTACACAAACATTGTCCTGTCACTGGGTCACATGACCTTCCATCAGACCCTCGCCAATAACAATCACAAGGGAAGCATGTATCACTCCCTGATGGTCTGTAGTGGTTTGCCTATTTGAATAAAATATATTCTTCATTAAAAATAATGATTTAATGAAACATTCAAAGGATTAATAAAATAAGTGAAATATTATGATATGATCTACAAATAATATATATAAATGTGATAATTATAACACATAGCTTCCAGGCTTAAGGAAATCTTGAAGCATTATGGTCAATAATTAAACAGTTTCTGAGGTGACATTTTCAATAACTGTCAAATATAATATATGTTTACTTGATTGTGGCAATAAAGCAAGTCCTAATCATAACTGTGAAAACTTTGTAACATGATCAAACACATGTGTTTAAATTCTAAACTAATAGATTGACAGTTAATGTGTCGCAAACATTCCACTTGATATTAAATATTTATATCCAGGATGGTGACAAAATGTTTATAGTTGCGTAGAAACGAAGCCATTAATGTTTTCATTATGGTTTCAGCCCACACTCCATATTTAAGTTGAAAATATTGATTTCCCTTCGTCTTGGAAGTTTTGAAAAAAATCAACTTTCTTCATCATTTGCTTCCATCTCCTGAAGTTAAATTCTTTGTTCAACAAGTGTTGACAGGGCATTAATATATAAAATGTCACCACCTGCCATTTGTTACAGACACCCAACCACCGAACACCAACCAATGAATGCTGAACACCATCCACTAAAAAGTTGGGAACCATAACAATATGTCACCGATGTGTTGACATAATAACTAGACATCATTTTTTATGTTATCGACCATTAGTCAAACACACCTTTTATTATATTAAGATACTTACTTTGCAGTGGCAGACGCCTGTTGTTTTATTGCAAGCTGGGTCGAACCCTCTTTCCTTCGGACAATTACATGGACCACATATAGGGTACCCCCACCATGAGGATGGGCAGGGCTGAACCAAGGCATCTTCGCAATACTGCCCAGAGTGTAATTCGTCACATTCGCATGTATAGCCATTTGAGGACATGGGAGATTGTTTACATTCAGAACCAACGGTACAAGGATTCCAGTTGGAACAAACAGGACTGCAATTGGGACCTGTGTGACCTAGAATAAAAAAACATAATCAACTGTATTAATGAAAAAAAGACATACAAGAAAATCATATAATGGACTGTGTTAATGAACAGTGTGCCACACAAGAATAACTGTTCTCCATCGGTTTTCAAAGTGAAGCCAATAATATACAGGCATTATCTAAAGAATCCTATCAATGTCATTTTTATGAAGAACTATTTTGCTCAATTGTGATATGGTTTTCTTTTTGGTTTTACTGATTATAAATATAGAGTAAAAAAATTCATTTTTTCTTACCTTCATAACACATGCACTCATGGCGCTGCCAGCGATCCATACAGACACTCTCCTTGGGGCATATGCCACTTTCGCATGTATCTCTGACATCACATCCACTCTCAACGCGATGCAGCCTCGGATTTCTCAACATCGAGTTCTGTTCATTTCCAACCTGAATATTCTATAAGGCAAGAGGTGGTAATAATCACAACACAAGTTTAGAACTGTACATGATAATATTATTCTATTATAGCTATTAAATCTAACATCTTGGCAGATCGAAGTAGGGCTAGCTGATGAGATAAAGTGTGCTAAATTAGAATCTTTAATTTAAATGTTCCCCGTGTAGTTTCATACTTTCAACCTTCTATCACATCCACTACATCTTACTGGCTCTATCAAGAGTGGAAACAAGCCCCAAGTTACCCCCCCCCCACCCAACGTGTTTTGCCCAAGAATGGAAATAGAAAAACAAACACTTGAAGCCAGGTTAGATTTTACAAACTGGAAAGTGGAAATATATATTTATACACATACCTTCACACAGCCCTGCAGAGCCTTCTGGACAAGTGTATTAGATCCAACGTTCACTCCTACACCTCCTACATACACCTCCACCACACGTTGACCAACCACCCAGTCTCCCATAGGTATGACAACCTACAATAGAAATAAGAAATACTTTTGGTTTTGATGATTTTACATTTTATGATTCATAGAGCTTTGAAGAATTTAGTTTTTGTAATGTTGCTGTTTGTGCTTTCTTATAATTTGTCATCCACAAAAATGCAAATTGGTATGATAACTTACAACTTAAAATACATTTAGCTTAAGCCTCAGTTAAGTTACCTCTTTATGTCCGTAGTCCAGTTCAAGTTTCAAATCACCTTCATACCATCTGGCCTCCATGTAGTGCCACTGGCCGTCGTTAACAGTGACAGAATCCAAGATGGCCGTCTTCTCTGGGTGAATATAGTGGATGTAGCCATTGACGATCTGAAGTGACAACAACATGTCTTACAACTCTATTTAAAATAATCATCCATCATGGTTTTAATAAAGTTGATTCAACTATTAATTGTCAAAAAATTATATCAGTAAATACATTTCTTGGTAAATGGGCGTCACATAAAACATTTCTAGTAACTACATATTTTCTGTACTGGTGATTATCCTTTTTCACAAATTCAAACGAATGGTTTCTAATAACCATAAACATCATACAGGGTGAGCCAAAAAAGGTTACCCATTCTGATTGTACATGTATACATTAAAAAGCCCACTCTGTATAATACATACCTCTATACTGATCTTGTCCCCATTGCCAAGTTGTATCTGCATTAGAAGACCTGATGTCTGCCAGGTTCTAAATGACAGGCCATTGTACCAGACCAGGTTCTGTGATATAACAGGAACAGCAGGATTGTCATACGCAATGAAACTTTCATCCAATTGGAGTGCTTCGCTGATTTCTGCAAATGCAAAATAAGATAAAGTCAAGTAATAGTGACAATTAGGTCAAGGGTAACTTGAATTGAATTGAGAGCAAATCTACCAAGCAAAATGTGTGATTTTTGCAATATAGTCAGACATAAGAACACTTTTGTCTGGTCCTACTGACATTCGGATAAGACAGGTTTTACAGTGCATGACCAGCAGATAGTACCCTTTGCATTCATTCAACTTCGTTTCTTAAAAGAGAGCTTTGTCTTCATAGTCTCTAACTAGACTCAGCACCCAGGGTAAGCAGATAGCACCTTAGATTCAGATATCAAAAAGCTCTTGGTTGTATATTTTACTGTATCAAATTAAAGAATAACTTCTTTACCTTGAGTACAGTCCTTGCCTCCATACCGTGATTTACATTCACAAACATATGTTCCCCACACATCCTTGCATATTCCTGAAATATACAAGGTGTCCACATGAGTATATGTACAAATATACTAACACAAAAATCCAAATACAGCGTGTCTCATAATAATGAGCGAAACAACAATATTTCAGAGATTTTAAAGTACATCCACATAAAAATATCACACTGCATGAACTGCAAAATGCATAAAATTTTGCCCTGTGGAAGGATACATCTTATTATATAGTGGTAATCAACATTTTGCAAACTAAATACATAATTTATGAAAGATGATCCTTAATGCAAAGATAATGCAAAAAATATTTTCCTTCCAAGCTATTGGTAATTTCTTAAAAGGTCTAGTTTCCAAGTTAGTTTTCCACATTAAAAATGTCTGAACTCCAAAAGCAGCCAATTTTACTGACCTCCATTCTTGCAAGGGTTCTCTGCACAGAAGCTTCTCTTAGAAGGACACCCTTTCTGGGTCCCTGTGTTCCAGACGTAATCATCAAAACTAACAAACTTGTTATCGATATAGAGGTCTCTCATGCAGCCTTCATAGTCCACGCTGAGAACCTGGAAGTCTGTTGGGGCATTCGGGACAGCCCCGATGTGTAGAGGTCCTGTTAGGTCCAAGAATCTGTGACATAGCTTTGTTGGGTTTTTGCATCTACAATACGATGTTCATCAATATAATGAGAATAGAAGAAAACACAAAGTCAACATGACAAATGGTGATAGCAAATGGTCATAAATGTGATCTCATTTTGGTATGTGATATAATGCAACAATAATTATTTCATCCTATTTCTATTGAGATATATATGACACTTCAAAAGGTAATATTCCATTTGCTGTATAGACTTAAAGAGAGAATCAGATATAGCGAGCAGGCTCAACAAAAAATTGTTTCAATTTTAGAATATTTTTGGCTCATGTCATTCCTTGTCATGTCTATTTTCTAAAAATCACAAAAGTGCATACTTTATTCAAGGAAAACTAAAGATTTTTACAATAATGTATTATTTTTCTATAAGAATGGTAACCATTCTTATTATTTGGGAGAATTTAAACATTTTTCACCCATTTTTGCACATTGAATCATTAATAACTTCAACAATTTATACATACTCGTATTGTGAATCTTTTGGGAGATATTGTATTTGATAATGTAAGGGATAGTTTGGTAGGTCAATTATACAAGTTGCTTGAAATTTTTTCACCCCCTATAGATCTGATTCTGCCTTTAATTAAAAAACACATGTGAAAGATGCACATGGGTATACATCCCAAATAGATTAAAACATTTGAAAAGTAATTGTTGTTCTTACACGTCATCAAGGGTCTGTGTGGCTCTAGCAGCGCAGGAATAGTTGCCCAACTGGTCGCCATATTTCAGTGATATCTCTGTGTCACAGTCGGCTCCAACGCTGAGTGTCACTGTCTGTAAAACATAGGATATATTTTGTTTAAGAAAATGAACTACAGTACTACAGTAAAACCTGTCTAATCTGAATATCACTAAAATGGGTCATTAGTGTTTGGATTAGCAGGTGTTCACATTTCAAGTTTTTTAACATGGTAGTCAATGGGAGAGTGCAAAATTGGGACAGAAAAAGTGTTCATATTGAGAGGTGTTCAGATGTAAGGTTTTACTGTAATGGCAATTATATATCGAATGACCCATTCAAAATGATTCCAGATTTCATTGCTAATAAGACAAGTCTTGATGATGATTTAATCATTTTAATCATACTGAAGACGCAAGGAAATGATATAAATAATGTAATTATTAATTAACAATGGCAGTGTAGGAAGACTTTTCCATCAGTTAATATGTAAAGTTGTTATACAAGCTTGCATTCAAAGGATCTAAATAAGTGAATGAGCTAGTCTTGCGTCAAGACCCTTGACCGAGGACTTCCCCCTCTTATCTAAATCACCCTGTGACAACATAAATTGTGGGGAGGTGTATAGTGATGGGGGGGGGGGGGGTTCACAAGGGCTTGTAGCTAAACTATGAACATGAGCCTATTTATTTTTATTTTTAATGTTGTGACTGCAATGTGAGAACAAAATGCCTTACACAATAGAAACTAATGGAGAAAGATGCTATTTGCCAATGGCTATAGGCAGGTACTTAACATATTGCACATTGTGCAATATATCTAGCGGTTAATAATGAATATACAGTGTCACTATAATCAAATGTAATGAATACTTCCATTCTATTATGCCACTTTATACTCCTAGGTTTTAGGTTGTGTTATATATTGGAATTAGTCATACTTGTCCAATACAGGGAGACTTCAGATATTAGTCATTTTAGGTTATATAACACTTTATACACTACAGGAACCCGGAATCATTGTTTCTTCACTGTTCAATTTTATAGGTTTATATCATTTATTTGGGTTTCATAGGTTTATACGATGTTGTATCATTTGCTTTCTAATTCAACTGTTGGGTTTAATTGATTTTGTCTATATTTAGTCTGTCTTTGTTTCCAAGTATAATTTATGGCCTATTCAATAATCAAATACAGGATACATTGGATTCCAGAAATGCTTCCAAGGGTGCCAATGCTGAATATTATTGCTATTCTTTTAACGGAATTACCATCGGCCCTTGAGACTTAGCCCATTATGAAAATGAATAGAAAGCTTGTTTGTGAGAATATTAGATCATAAAACCGGCAGATTAAATTAGCCGATTCACACATTTGCTCCAGTGTAGTGATCTTTGTCTTGATGTATCAATGTCACAAATCTTGATTTGGTTTCCAGAAAAGCAATCAGTTATGATGAAAAAAAAAATCATTTTTTGTGAATATCTGCCATAATGGTTAGTACTCTTACCTAATGAGTCGTGGTACTGTACATTATCAAAATTATGAAATATAAATATTATACTGCCATATTTGTATATATACACATTGTTAATAGATTGGCTTTCAGCATTTTAGCATTTCACAAAGCAAGTTATATTATGTATGCATAGATTAGTTTAAATATTCCTTCAAAATTTTCAAAGATAAATTTCATTAATAATACCAATAAAATAATTGATGGCCAAATCTTCAATTGTTTATAATAGAGAGAATTATCAATAAAAATTAATGAAAATTGATTAATATAGCACCTGTAGTACAGATATATTTCAAGCTTTGAAAGAGCAATTATTACATATAAACCAATGGGACAGGAAAACACCCTGCTAGATCCATTTCCTCAAACATCAATGTTCCTTGGGTATAAAATATAACAAGGCATAACATGCAAAAATGTCACCACTTGCCATTTGTTACAGATGCCGAACACTGTCAACAAAAAAAGGCGTTAACAATATGTCACCATTTGCAGTGATGACATAAAAACTGCCATTTCAAGCATTTGCTTCGTTCTGGCATGAATGTTCAGTCAAACAGTAAGGAGAATAATTTCTGTACAATATGGCTCTTGATAACTCCCTTAGAATACATTTCCATGCCATTTGCACTTTATTACTTAATCATATACAGTAGACAGGAAAGAAATCAATACGAAAAAACTGATGAAACATTTACTTTCTCAATTTTCTTGAAATACAAAAAAAATCAATTAATTTTGAAATCAAAAGAAAATTACATTATATATATGGGGGTAGTTGAATGTTTTGGATGGGCAAAGTAGGCCTATGCAAGCTGCCTTCATAATACAGAAATATGCAAATGAGCGCTATGCTCATTAATCATGTGGTAATTACCCGAAACAGAAATATCTTCTGCTCATTTTTAGTGTTTACTCAACCTGTTTCTCTCTAAAATTTGAGTAAAGTGCCTGATTTAAAGAAATTTCTATATCATATAGAATGTATATTTCATGCTTATTTGTTTTATTTCTTGCTAATTCCTCTCTTTTTTTGTGCTATTTCATCATGTTTCAAAACATGACGTTTCCTTCTGGGTATGGGAATGAAACAGTAGTGCCAAGCATAACACTAGAATAGCATGCGTCACCCAAATATCACCTCTTATCAATGAAAGTCTATAGAAATAGGAACTTGACACAAAAAGATTTTCTATAATGAAAACTGTAATTAAAAAAAAAAAAAAAAAATTATGACGTGTGAAAGGTTTGTTTTAAATAATTTTATAGCTGTGCTTTTTACAGCTGATTTCATCCTGACAAAAGGTACTTTTAAAATACAGAAAGGAGTTCCATACACTTCCTTGATATTTGGCTGGTAATTATCAAATTATGTTAGTTATTATTGCAAAGATGTTCACATCGATATGAATGTCAGTTTTTTGATATTTTCATTTTTCACAAACAAATAATCAATTTATCACTTCTATTTTAAAGCATTGTAGCAGAATAACAGGTCCCTTGGTTTCAATATTCAATGAATGAAATATGTGGAAGAGCTCACAAAAATGATGTATGGGAATACAATTACACAATCTTGTAGTTTCAAAACTACCATGGGGACTCAAAATAATAAAACACATTTTCAGTTAATAAATTGACGTCAAATTCAATGCGAATTTGTTACAGAGGATGAAATATCTTTGTGGAAACTAAAATAATGTGATCAAGGACAAACTAAGACAGTCATAATCTCCCCTTGTTTCTATGGTAACCATTATGATTGTTAATAGCACCATCTTTGGATTAACATATTCAGGAACAATATATAATAGGCAAAATATATTGAATGGCTGTTGATTTTATTTAATGATTATACTACCCTAAAGCATAATAATATTACTGTATATAGGCCCGATGACCAGATGATACCTTCACCTTATTCGCATGTTAACATTTCTTATCATTTGGGTGAGGTCATGCCCTTTTGCATTTAAGATAAAATCTGATTTTATATTTACTGTATTGTCACATTAGGCACATCATCAGACAAACTTGAAGAAAAAATAACAAGGTATTCGACTTATTGTACCTTTTTGTGATAAAGACCAAAATGAGAAGGTTATTATACTTTACATTCATGTGTCCATCTATGTGTCCATCATGTGTCCATTCATGCGTCCATCTATGTGACAAATATAATGTTGAACATACCTTATTGAGGTAGCTTACAGAGACGTCAGTCCATTCCCCTGTGTTAACTCCTCCCTTGATGTTTGTTTTGACCCTCGTCATCTCAGAGCCTAGTGAGAATGCAAACTGGACCTGTCCGCCAATTATCTCCAAGGCAATGAAATCGTGACGTCCATTGTAGCGGCCATTGTAAAACAGCAGACCATATTTGGATTGTGTCGCAAACCTATTTATAAGATGTATTGTTGAAAATTAGAAAATATCATGCATTGTTTTCAATACTATATCAACTTGTTTTCTTTCAAGAAGCCTGGCAAAATGGCCAGTAGGTGAACTCTTAATTTTTCAGACCCCCCCCCCTAATTTGATAGAAGGTAGCAGTGTCATTCTCTATTAAGAAAACAAGATGTTTATTTCTTCAGGGTGTCTTTATATGTAAACATACAGACAATCTGAAATGTGGTTTCACACTCTGGCCTGGTAGCATTTATCAACTAGTTGAGCTAGTCTGGTCTGGACATGTCATATACTGTCATTTATATCCTGGCGGATCTCGGTGGGACAGGGACAGGAGACAAGGGCCTGGCCCATTGAAAAAATTCAAGGCCAAAAATCTGCTTCTCCCCACATGAATTGGGCAATTCAGGTAATTTTGAGACTATTTTTAAGAAATTAGACCCAACTTTTAAGATTGTTTGAGTGGTGCTAAGGTATGCCTGGTGCCCCAGAAACAAGCCATTCAAACTCACAAAACATTTTCCACAAAATGAAAATGAGGCCAAAAATTCATGACTGGATAGGAAGAGGGACTGACTATCGAATACAGTACAGTTAGCTGCCCAACAGATGATGTTTTGCAAGTTGCAATAAGGTCTGAATGGGGAAATAAATTATGAGAGGGAGGCCAGAGACTCGATGCAAAGAGGACAACTAAGAAAGAGTAAAAGTACACATTTATTAAAAATAAAAACTTACTGTAGTTGTATCTTAAAGCGATGTCTCTGCTTCATAGACTCGTACAACAGGAAGGAACCTTTACTGAAGCTCCTAGTCGTCAAATCGCAGAAATCGTTATAATAATCCTCATCGGGACAGTCGTCACATCTGAACCCTCCAGAGATCAGTGGGACACATTGGGACGGGGCTCGACATACATTCTCATCTGGGTTACATTTATCATGACGTGTATCAACCTGACAGTTGTCACCTGAAATCATAGAAAAAATATGGCTATAATAAAGAAATCAAAGAATGAATATGGCTACAATACTGAAATCATAGAAAGAATATGGCTACAAAACAGAAATCATGGAAAGAATATGGCTAAAATACAGAAATCATTGTAGGAATATGGCTACAAAACAGAAATCACAGCAGGAATATGGCTACAATACAGGACCGATATTAGACTAGGAATTTTGTATGTTTGCATAGATCTGCTTTTCCTAAGTAAGGATATATGACAGCATTTTTTTAATACACCTGAAAGGGTGACATATTAGATTTTTATGAAATACACAATATTGCAAAATCAAAGCCCAAAAAAATTGAGATGTTTTAATGAAGTACATGTATATCTGAAATAACATGCACGCTGTGTTGAGTTGAAATTGTGGATTTGTTTCTTTGCAGACAATGTTTCTCCACATCATATTACGCTTTCTGCGGCTCACTTAGTAGCAACAAGAACATAAGCAGTCTAAGTATTACAAATAGCCACACAGCACTCGTTTATTACAAAATCTTACAAATTCTTTTTATATTTTATCACCACGGCGACAAGAAACAACAAGTCCCTAAATCCTCTATTCATAAATCACAGGTAACAATTGTGTCAATCAGATCGAAAAACTACAAATCATAGTAATCTGTATTTTCTCTATCATATCTTTGTGTTATTTGTAAGATTATAAGGGTCAATATGCTGATCAGTAAGGCACATAAGAATATTGGCAATATTCTGAGACCCATGCAAAGTGTGACAACAAACTAAACTTAATATGAATTGAATAAAAAACATGTGACAAATTTTGTCAGCATGTCTTGTGTAGAACATATTTGATATGTTAACGTCATGGGTAAAGAAAAACGCAAGCAATGAGGATTTTAATCGAAAATGGCAAGCAAAATAAGATCAATGACAACGGTGAATTGTCTGCGGGTAACAAATTCGCTCAATCAATCACTAAGAATCGCTTATCTCTGTGAGTCATACTTTCTTTTGTTCAGCAACTTGTAGCTTGGAATTCTGCTAAAATCCTAATCAATCCTGAGATAATTCAAACAAAAACATTTTTCTTCCCAAACACAGATCCAAGAATTATACAAGCTATTAACATGCAAAATGGCACTACCTGCCATTTGTCACAGATTCCGACCGACTGACACCAACCGCTGAACACTGTCCACCAAAAAGTTGACTACTATGACAACACGTCACCACTTGTGCTGGTGGCGACATAATATAAGATGTGACGGTCAGGATTTGGGGATTTTCATTCTGTCAACTCCACAGTGGAAATTTTCAACAGAAAAAGATACTTTCCCGTGTCTTTTCTTCATTATACAAAAATCTCATATCCGTTACCTTTGAAATCCAAGAAGACACAACAAAATAACAGTTTGAACAATTTGAGTCAATCATGTTGATATCTATGGCTAAAGCAGATGAAACAGAACAGAGATTCTTTGCAATCTAATTATGTCCTCTTCAAGCAGGCTAAGTTATAGAGCAGGTCTGGAATAATGGAGAAAACCACTTTATTATAGACCATAAATCCGGTAAATGTAGAAATTACTAGCATCCAGAGACATGCTGCAATATGGAAGCCTGGATGGAAAAAGACAACTGATGAATTCATTTTATAAATGATGAAGAAATTAAATTGTACTTTTGTCATTCTTCAAATCGTTACTTTTACAAGAATATACTTTCTCAAACCTTTAAAGGCAGAAAATACATATTTCAGAAAATACAGATTACAGAAAATACAGATTACTAGTCACTAATGGTATTTTGAAGATGCTCTAGTAAAATAAATATCACTAGGTCCATGAATTTCTTTTTATATAAGCATATTTATGATCATCCCAGAACCGTATCAATATGGCAATAGGAATATACACTAAATCATACATCTGATTCACAACGAAGACTCACCGCAATAATGTGAAAATATGTCAAGAAATAATTGTTGAAATGATGAATGATGGAGACTCTAGCGCTGCTAACACTCATTCAATAATTGAAAAATACAATATCTCGTCATCAAAAATAACATTGTCGTTATACAGGATCATTTGCCCAATCTCACCAATTATCCCTGATGGAGTTAAATAACCCCAAAAAACTGTTAAAATAAGAGATCTAGAATGGTTAACGCCAGAGTATGGGGTCCCTTACTTAATATACTTACCGAAATATGCTTTAGGCTTAAATATTTTCTTATTCTCGGAAGAAGTACATGTAAGTGTAAGACATTTATAATCAAGACCCGGAGTCCTTTGAGACATTTTCTAATTAAAAACTGTCTTAGTTCAATCTTGCTTCGATTAACTCCAGTCATACTGGGAGAATAATAGAGAATTGACATGATACAGTCTAATGCTCATGCAGCAAGAAATGGCCAATGTTCCAATCATTTATAAAGGCCTATTACATTGTATTTCCATAATTTATCAATTTACACAACACTGAGTCCATCCATGTGTAATGGTAAGGATTCTTCTGGATGTTTTTTTTTATTTGTGCCGTATAAGGAGGTATATTCAGCTGGTGTTCTTTTCACTTACTTCTAATTACTTTATTAATTAGGCTTTATATAGAACAGTATATGTTATGAACAAGAAACAAGGCATTAACATGCAAAATGTCACCACCTGCCATTTGTTACAGAAACTGAATGGTTAAAACACATTTTTAGTTGTAATTTAGTAACAGTTGGTTGGGATGAAATCCTTGATAAAGATTACATGTGGTTTCTTAGGTTACTGTTTTTAGTTGCATAATAACATATTACTCTAGGAGCTAGCAAACATTTATAAGACATCTCGAGTACAAAAGGTTTGAGGCCTGTAATTAGTAGATGTGGGTCTAACATCCCCAAAAAGGCAACTCTTAAGTGACAAATTTGGGGCTACCACCAGGGGGCACTTTTTGAAATGCCCCTAAAATTAGTTTTAAATGACATCTCAAGTACATCAATGAAACCTTTGTCAAAATGTTCCTTTGGACCCTCTGAAACATTATGAGTCCTTAAGAGTTGCCAATTTTGGGGTTTAACCCATTTCTGAGTGAGTTAAAGGTCACCATGGATACAGCCACACACAATCAAAATGCTGTATCAGAGCCATGTGAAGTTGAATAAATTTGATATTCTGATATATCCATAAAATATGTAAGAAGACCTTTCTAACAAGTCATAATACATCAATATATGACAACTGAATCCAGAGATATTGAACTTTTTGCGTCAATGTTGATCTGAAAATGAACATTTTTAAGTCTCGTCTAATTTGCATTCGTAGCTTCAGGCAAAAGGTGACAGCTTAAACAGCTCAAAATAGTATTCCAAGAACATTTTCAAGGTTTGTGTAATATTGTAATACAACTATATAATGCTGAATCACTATTTTGTAATTTAAATATGACGTTATAGTGCCCCACCCCTTCAAAATAGAGGAAAGCAGGCATAGTCAATGTAATCATTTTGCAGCATTAAGTTGGAAACATGTAGCACTAGAAAGTGAATCAATGCATCCAAAGCATCTTCATATGTTGCTTTACATTGTAATTTATGTCTTACTAGAATATTGGATTCTTCACATTTTATATGTAAGTTGTTGATATAGTGCCTCTCTTAATATGAAATCAGTGAAATATTATGTAATCATGCAGTCTAAATATTATAATTATAACAATGTTTATAAGACATTCTCACATTCTGATTTGTCTATGTAATATACATGACGAAAAAATAACATATTTCTCACACTCTGATAAGTCCATGTCCCACACGTGACTAAAAATAACAAGCGATATTCAAAGGAAGTCATGTGACATCCGTTAAATATCAAATGATATTCACTAGTCACGACGTTGTTCCGTGTAATTTCAAGTTAATGTAGTCCTGGGAGTACATTGTTATGGTTAATCAGACATCAATAGTTTGTTGTTCCATTAATGTAAGTGAGGAATATAATAGTGAATAATAAAACAAATATTTAATTCTATTTTCAGTGAATACCTGTGACACTTTTACAAGATGATATTCCACTAGCCCTTCGGGATTTCTGGAATATTATTTGTGAAAGAGGTACAAATATTCACCACAATAGAATTAAGTATTTGTATTTTATTATTTCACTGTCAGATTCTTCACTCTCTGATTGGTCCATGTACTGGAAATAATAGGCGAAATCAACGGAAGTCCAAGACTAGCATCAAATATCAAATGATATTCACCAGTCACGACTTGGTCCCGTATTATTTCAATTTTATATAGCGCAGGAGTACATTGTTGTGATTGATTAGACATCAGTTATTATTCAAGGAATGTGAGTGAGGAATATAACAGTGAATAGTAAAACAAATATTTAATTCTATTGAGGTGAATAAATGTGGCACTTTCACAAGATGATATTCCATTAGCCCTTCGTGCTTCGTGGAATATCACTTGTGAAAGATATAAAGGTTATTTAATGGAATCGAAGGTTTTTGATACAGGGTATATCTGAGGGAAATACAATATATCTACCCAAGGGACAGGAGGGACCGAGGGTTGATATAATGTATTCACCTAGGGATATACCCTGTATCAAAAATGGAGCATTTAAAGGGGCAACAAGGCCTGTAGAGAGAAAATTCAAAATTTGTTACTTTTTTGATCTATCAGGTAAACATTTGGCTTAACACCTTCTTTGGCATATCTATTTTCTTGTAAAATGTATGGATAAACTATCAATTTCAGCATTAAGAAGTGTAAATTCAATTCAATGATTCTATAAAGGGAGTCCCACTTATAGATTTTTAAGATCTACTATGTTTCAAGAGGAATATCAGCTGAAATAGACTTCAAATAGTGTTCATCCAGGGGGTTTCTTTGTAGATAATAAAAATATAAGTAAGTCTTGATGAAATATCCAAACTTAAATATATTTTGACACTGGTTCATGATTGTTGAATTGCACTAATTGTTGCACCTTTAA